GGAATTTAAGATAGTTTATAGTTCTGATTAGTTTTAGCTGTATTTCTTCCCATGTTTTATATAGAGGTTTTTGACCAAAATTCATTCCAAGTACTTTTACGTCCTTCTTAATATATCGTCTGTAGGGAGATTGAAAGATCGAATTATATGATGATTGGGTAATACACAAAATTTGGGTTTTTTCTTTGTTAATTTTTTGTCCTGAAGCTAGTTCGAAATTGTGAAGTTCGTGGAAAATTTCAGTAATGGATGGTTGGTTCGAAACAGTAAAGGTTACGTCATCTGCATATTGATCGAGTTTGTGCTCCTGTTTTGCCAGTTTTATACCGCGTATGTTTTGGTTGATTTGAACCGACCTGGCTAACGGTTCCACGCTAAGTGCATACAGGAGCATGCTTAAAGGGCAGCCCTGTTTTATTCCGCGTCCAATCCTAATTTCCTGAGTCAATTTCCCGTTTACATCAATACAGCTTTTATTTTCTAGATACATGTTTTTAATAACGTTCAGAAACCGGTTTCCGATCCCTATTTTGTCCAAAATGCCGAAAAGAAAGTTGTGATCAACATTGTCGAAAGCCTTTAAATTGTCGATGAGTACCATCGTTGCGGGTATATTTTTGGATTTACAGAACCGAATTATTGCGTCCGTGTTATAATGGACGTCTGACATGTCCCTATGTGGTAGAGAACATTTTTGCGACGAACTAATGATGTGAGCTAGAGCTGGTTCCAGTCTTTTGACGAGTATTTTTGATATGATTTTGTAGTCCATATTGAGTGTAGTTATTGGGCGCCAATTTTTTAATTCTGTTTCTTCACCTTTTTTGTATATTAATTTAACTTTGGCCAATTTAGAGGATTTGGGGAAATGTCCGAATGTCATAATATTATTAACTAACTGCGTAAACTGTGGTTTGATCGTGTCCCAGAAAGTTATGTAGAATTCTCTACTCAAACCATCCATGCCTGGCGACTTATTATTTTTCATATATTTTAAAGCGTTATAAATTTCTTCTGAGGTTACGCGTTGTTCTATGACGGATTTCTCTAGCTCTGGTATTATACTGGAGCTCATAAGGTCGAGATAATGATCTTGATTTCTTTTTTCGGTTTCTGATCCGATTCCCCATAGCCTCGCATAGAAATCTTCTATGGTTGCTAAAACTCCCTTTTCACTCGTGACTAAACAATCATTACGGTCTTTAACGCTTTCAATGGTGGTCTGTTTCACCCTCTTTCTGATCCGTTCGTAAAACGTTCGGGTGGGTTTTTCGCCGTCTTCCAGATTTTTCATTCTAGCCATCACCACATCTAAGCTCTTCCGTTCGTCTAGTATGACATTCAGTTCTACTTTCAAGTTTTGGATCGTAAGTGCGTTTTCTTTAATTCCTTCATTTATGAGTTTATTTAATTTTTGGCGCAGTTTGAAAGTATTGTTCTTTTTGGTTTTAGCTAGGTTTTTTGAATAGGCGACCGTGACTTTCTTTATTTTTTGTTTGGTACTATCCCACCAGTCCAATATCGAAACGTTATTTTCTAGATCGAGAAGGGCCAAATTATATGAATGTCTTACAACTTCGATATAGGTCTTATCCTCGTAGAGTATGGTGTTATTTCGCCAGGTTCCTTTTCCCCACCGGATTTTCTTTGCTTGCTTGAGCTTAATCTGCGGGCATAACAGGTGGTCTGATATTGTGTTTATCGTATGAGTAATGGTTGAGATAGTACTATATAAGTCAAAGGAAGAGTATATTCTATCGATTCTACGTCTCTGGGTGCCAGATTGATAGGTATAAATTTGTTTATTGGGGAATTTGTCTCTATAGGTGTCCAAGATATTGTTGATTTGTAAAAAGCGACAGAAGATTTTTTCAGGCGGTCGTAGTTTGAAATTTTTGGTATCATACACATCAATGGGTTCTAGTACCATATTAAAGTCTCCGGCTATTATTATATTTCCCGTGTCACAGTAATTGGTCAGAATATACACAAGGTTTTCATAAAATTCGGTTTTTTGGGGTCCGTTCTGCGCCGGGGCGTAGACATTAAATATTTTTATATTTTGTTCGTCTATCTGAACCTCTATACTGTCGCAGCGATGCCTAATATGTATGGTATAACTGGACGGTGTTTGGGTGTTTTCTAATTTGACCATTATAATTGTTCCTTGCCAAAAGTAGGCGTGATGCTTTTCGTCCCTATCCAGGGTGTTAAAATAAGCATTGAAACCGAGTCGGTTAGCCCAATGCGTAATCCTGGCTTTATTTAGACGGTGCGCTTCTTGGACGCAAACAACATTTGGCTTTTCGTGCTCAATGAAGCCGTCATTTCCGCTAGATGGTGTTCGAGGCCATTGGCGTTCAAGGAAATTATATTTAACTCGGCCATATTGGAATGTTATTTAGCTGACTATCCTACGGGTTATGGTGGGTAGAGTAAAAAACGAGTTAAATCTAACAAAGAGATAATGTTATACAGAATGAGTTTACAGTTCTAGAAAAACGAGGGTTTACTCACTTTTCTTTTTTCTTTTTACCTGTCTCACCCTTTTTTGGGTTGCTGCTTGCGAGAGACGACTCAGACGAGGTTGTGTCTTCTCTATGTCTTTTGTTATAGTCTATAGTAGTATTACTCGGGTTCGATTCGTCTAGGGCCAGGGCCTGGTCCAGGTTTGGCAGAGTTGTTTCCATATTTGCCGGGGCCGAGAGAATCTCTTGGGGCGATGCGGCAAAGAGTGAGGACGGTGTTGTGTCCTGCGACTCGTAGTTATGGACCATAACTTTGACAAAAGTCCTTCCTTTTGGTGGTGGATGGAAGGGGGTGCTACCAATCGTCGATGTTGTTTTTAAACGTGGTAACTGCTGGTTTTTCATCCGCGGCGGCGAGGTTCTTATAGGACTGACGTTGTCAATTTCAGAACATTCTGACCAATCATTGGATTGTTTTGACAAGTCAGTAGAGAGTTACGTGGTTGAGATTTCATAAATGTCTACGTTTAATTTGTTTTGATTGCCTTTATCTAATTGGTCCGTTTTTTCCGCATGATTGATTTTTTCTTTGTTTCCTTCTATTTTTGTATTTTCGGGAACTTTGGATGTGTTTACAGCTTCTTTAGTTACTTCAGCAGCAGTTTGAGATTTTTGTTTGTTGGTGTCGCTCTCTGAAGTTTTCTTCTGAGCAAAAATCTCCCCTGGTTTTTCAAGATTATGTACTGGCTGCTGTCCGTTAAATGGGGGTGGGTTTCCAGCAGGGTTTGGGACAATTAGTTGTTGTGTCTGTACTCCTCTCCTCTGTTTTGGTAAGGCCCATCCATTTCCCGAGCTGATTAGGGCAGGATACTCCTTTGCCCGCAAGGTACAGTTCTTTTGAACGTGTCCAGATTTTTTACAATGCCTACAAACGGCTTCATTTTCGCATTGTGCAAAGGTGTGCCCCGTTTGTAGGCATCGACCGCACGTTGGTACGTACAGTTCTCGGGGAAGATATGTTTTACACATAATTCCATCGATTTTAATATAGTCCGGCATGTTTTCTTTTCTGAAGTTTTCCATAAGAAAGGATGTGTAACCATTATACACTTGAGTTCCCCTGTAGTAGTTTCGAACCGCATTCCTGATTTTTCCAAAACCGATGCTGTTGATTTTAGAAGCGGCTTTGGGGTATGGCGTCTCAGGCGGAATATCTCGTATAGATATTCTGATAGGTGCTTTACTTGGAAGAGTCACATCTATCTCTATATCCCTAGATTTAATTTTGCCGCCAGTGTCTCTGAGGAATTCCTCGCGACAGCTGGTATCATTGTTGTCGGTGGCAGCAAAGGTTAAAATCCAGGTCCCCTTTTTGCTTTCGAAGAGTGCCCTTATTTGATCACAATAACCACTTGTAGCCGGGTTATTGTATAATAAGTCCATTAATCCCGTGAAGTCAAAATTGTTGTGTTTTGATTTGACTGTTGTTCTGTTGCGGCTGCTGCGGCAGAGTAATCCATAATCCAAGTAAGTGCGTAATCCAATTATAACTCCAGATAGCTAATAAGTCCAAGAAAAATTCCTTTCCTAGCTCAAGTATACAATACTTTCTGCTATACTTTCAACGCTGGTGGAGAGGCCCGTACAAAATCGCGACGGGAAGGGCCTCTCCCAATACTTAATCAAATAGCGAACACACACGTAAACACAACATCGAGTCTCCAGTCTTCTAGTAATTTTCTACTATCGGTAAATTAAAAGAAATACGGTAGTCGAATTACTCGATCAGGAAAAATTCGATTTTTCCCGTCACTAATCGCGGTGTATTTAAATAATTATTGAATAAAAAGTCGGCCCGATTAACATCCAATTACCACGAGTAGTAGTTTCCAAATTTATGCACATTTAATCGATGCGACTTGCGAGATTGTTTTTGTACATATATACGATTGTAACGCCACTGACATCTGCGAGTTGTACTTTTCTCTTAAAAGAACCGTAATTTTCACTATTTTATCGTTTTATTTCTAACATTTGTTTTCCTCCGGAAATAGCTAGATCATTTATGGAACGATAAAAGGCGAACAGCGCGACAAGGTTACCGCTGATCACGAATTAATCACTGTTAGAGGATTAGCAAGTATATGCTTGAAATAGGACGTGGTAAACATTCACTAAACGACGCCTGGCACTGGAAGGCAAGCTACACGCGCAACACTGGAATGTATTCAGCTGACTTTCGCTGACATTTTTTTGGTCTTACGGCGTCGTGAATTTGTAGTTTTGGCGCCTAGTTTTAATTTCACCGTAGAGAAAATAGACTGGACAGTCTCGTGGCAAAACAGAACGAAAAAGTTGAATTTCTCGTCGAATCCACCACCAGTCTGCGCTTGACTATCGCGTGACGTATGATATCCCGGACTCGGGGAAAATCATCAAAGACTCGGGCCGAATCCGAGTATCAAATTACGAGAGATTCGGCCACGAATCCGAGCACGAGTCCGAATCTTGTCGCATCCCTATGTTGTAGTGACATAATTTTTGGATGGCGTAGTCAGATGGGGGTTAGGATTGACATATCAAAAAATTGTTATGCTACGCCCACTAGAAGTACGTTATGTACGAAACTACACGAGACCCTTACATTCTACCTATAAATTTTGTGCATTTATTTTTGTTGGAATTGGGTATTGTATTGACTGTGTCTGTTATGTTGTCAAGTTTTTTAATGTGTTAGTTTGGGTTATAATTGTTTCCAATGTCTCAGAAGATAAAATTCTGGAGGCCTGGAGATTCTTCTCCGCAACAAAATGTTCTTCAAGAACGTCAAACGAACACTTTCGATTCTAGCATTTTGTACAAGCCTACTGGAGCTGACCTATCACTTGATAACCAAAGGAAAAGATTGCCGATTCACAACTATCGAAGTCACATTATATATTTGCTAGAAAATAATCGAACACTTATAATAGTTGGAGAGACGGGATGTGGAAAAAGTACACAAATTCCCCAATATCTGGTCGAGTCTGGATGGGCAACATCTGAGAATCAAAAAATTGCTATAACAGAACCTCGTCGAGTAGCAGCAGTTTCTCTTGCCTCCAGGGTGGCAGATGAAAGAGTGGGAACATTGGGACTGGAAGTTGGATATGCAATCCGTTTTGATGAATGTTATGATGACAAGAAAACTTTAATTAAGTTTATGACTGATGGTGTTTTGCTTCGAGAAATGATGACAGATCCTTTGTTAAAGCAGTATTCTGTTATTATGGTTGATGAAGCACATGAGCGCAGCATTAATACAGATATGTGCATAGGTCTTCTCAAGAAAATACAAAAACGAAGACCTGAGTTGAGACTAATTGTAGCCTCAGCTACCATTGATGCTGAAAAATTTTTCGATTTCTTCAATGTAAAAGATGAGCAAGAAAATGATTCTTGTGCAATTTTGTCAGTTGAGGGCAGAGTTCACCCTGTTGAAACTTTTTATTCAGTTGATCCTGTTCCAGATTATGTTACAGCCACTGTTAAAACAATAATGGAAATACATCTATCACCTAAAGAAGGGGATATTCTTGCATTTCTTACTGGACAAGAGGAAGTAGACAGAGCTGTTGCTCAAGTACAAGAACAAGCTCGATCGGCTGCTAAAAATGGCATGAAAAAATATTTGATTGTCATGCCGATGTATAGCACTTTGCCAATTCATGAACAGCAAAAAATTTTTGAAAAAGTATCTCGAAACGCCAGAAAGGTGGTTATAAGTACGAATATAGCTGAAACATCCATTACTGTCAATGGTGTAGTATTTGTGGTCGATTGTGGTTTCGTTAAAATCAAAGCATACAATCCACACACAGGCATTGAATCGCTGATGGTCAATCCGACATCGAAAGCATCCGCTTTACAAAGAGCTGGTAGAGCAGGACGATGCAGGTAATATTTATTTTAGTAATTGAATACATATAAAGACCACAATAATTATTATGTATCTCATTTAAGCATGTGTAGGTCTACGTTGGGTAATTATGTCCAATTTTTCATCGGGTGATCCATTTTAGTTTGTCATAATTTATAAAATATCATGTTTTCACTAACCTCTGTAATTTTTTTAGGCTTGGTGAAGCATACCGACTTTACACAGAAGAAGACTATGACAAGCTTGATGATATAACTGTTCCAGAGATGCAAAGGACTTCACTTGTGCCTGTTCTTCTTCAGCTAAAATCTCTTGGAGTAGAAAATGTTGTGAGATTTGATTTCTTGTCACCTCCTCCTGCCCAATGTATGATTAACGCAATGGAAACCTTGTATGCATTGGGTGCAATAAATGAGAATGGCTCTCTCACCCAACCTTTAGGATTTCAAATGTCAGAATTCCCTCTCGGACCTCAATTTGCAAAAATGATTTTGAACTCGGAAACATTTGAATGCTCTGAGGAAATTATTACAATCGCAGCTATGCTCCAGGTAAACACAGTGTTTTCCATGTCTGCAAGGACAAAAACACAGTCAATGAAAGAACATAGAAAGTTTGCGGTAGCTGAAGGTGACCACATAACTATGTTAAATGTATACAATGCGTTTGTAAATGAAGGAAATGAGACTAAGAGATGGTCAAATCGCTATTGTTTAAATTTTGAAAGATTGAAGCGTGCCTGTCAACTGAGGAAACAGCTTGAAAAATACCTTAATAGGTTTAATATCAAGTTGATATCATGTGGAAGAGATACTGAAAAAATTCTTCGTTGCATCACATCTGGATTTTTTGCAAATGCTGCTAAACTTCAAATGGATGGTTCTTATAAATCATTAAAGGGTGGTAATACATTACAAATTCATCCCACTTCTGTTCTTGCCACAGAACAACCGCCTCAATTTGTTATTTTCAATGAAATAATGCAAACAACAAGCTATTATATGAGAGATATATCTGTTATCAAGCCTGAATGGCTTTGTGAACTTGCTTCTCATTATTATGAATCTGGGACTGAAAGATCGATTGGTGTAAAACGAATGAGAGTGTTTTGAACATATATTTTTGAATGTTGCTAGGACATCAAAATTAATATTGATTTTATTTATTGTTTGAAACATATAGTGATTAGTCAGTTTAGACACTATTTGAACTCCAACATGGAGACATGTTCTGCAGAAGATGAAGTTGAATCATTATTCAACAAAAAATTTGACTTCTGTAATGACTCTGATGCTTCATGTCATTGGACTTTACCTGTTTTAGAAAACCAAGATGAAAATTTATTCAAATTCGAAAATTCAAATTTGGAAATACTAAAATTGGAACTGAATAAACTTAAAAAATCACTGAATGATTTTGATATTATTAAATGGCACAAACACACCAGTAAAACTAATCCAGCCGGTCATATCAATGATACATTGAGAAACAATTTTCATCCTGAACTCTGTACACAAGCTTGGTGTAAATTCCATGAACTACTTTCATTTGGTAATGTTATTCCAGAACATGCTCTCGCAACCAATAAATTGAATGCTATTCATATATGTGAAGCGCCTGGTGCATTTATTTCAAGTTTGAATCATTATCTGAGATCACATTTTCCTAAAGTCAAGTACAAATGGATTGCCAATACATTGAACCCATATTATGAGGGTAATGATCCGGAGTGTTGCATAGGGGATGACAGATTGATTTTTGAATCTTTTGACTCATGGTGTTTTGGAAGCGACAGCACAGGAGACGTATTTTCAAGAACTGTTTTGGATGAACTTGAAAAAAGAGCATCTGAACTAAGCATCATCCATTTGGTTACTGCTGATGGAAGCATTAACTGTCAAGAATGTCCTGAAAACCAGGAGAAAGATACAATGCGCTTGAAATATGCAGAACTTTTCTACTCATTAACATTATTGAGTCCTGGAGGAAGTCTTGTTCTCAAGACATTCACCATGTTTGAGTTTCCATCTACAGTTTTGATATACATCTTATGCTGCACATTTTCATGTGTATCTGTTCATAAACCAGCAACAAGCAAACCTGGTAACTCTGAGGTCTATGTGATTGCGAGAAATTATTGTGGAAAGAATCAATGCATACAACTTTTGTCTTTACTTGAAAGAAGATTCCCCTTCGCATGTGAAAAAGATTTAGGTAAATTATGATACCACTTGTATCATTTCTATTACAGCAATTCATGCATGGAAGGTTTTCTTATATCTCTGATAATAGCACATCTATATCTTAAAATCTATTGACAACATTTATTGCCAAATTCTTGTGACAAAACTATTGTATTGAAAATGAGAGATAATTGCATCATATATTATTTCAGACATCATTTCGTTCAACAGCTTGCCTCCAGATTTTTTATCACAACATGGGCACTGTGTTGAAAAGTTTGCCAATTTGCAGATGGACACAATTAAACAAAACAAAGAACTTTTTGAAAAGAATTGGTCCACAGCAACTCATGAAGAGGTAGTTTTTCAAAGTCATTATATAGTATCAGTAGCATTGAGCATTGTACTTGATGCCTGTTGAATATGATAAATCATTATGACTTTGAATGTTTCAACCTTTCTTTTAGTACAAGCGCAAAATATGTGACACTGCAATTGAATTAATGGAGATGAGAAAGATACAGAAAAACCAATGCTTATTGAAAAGTGGAATGCTACGAGGGAAAGTGCAATCAAATATTAAACTTAGACCAAAACTTATTGGTTCCTTTTCACAGAGACATAGTAGACCTGATGAGGTAGGTGGACATTGAGATTAATATTTAGAGGAAAATTCTTAGGGGTAAATCTTGATTTTTTTTTGTACCAGCATGATAAGTTCCATATCACACACATGAAGATAAGGGACTGGAAAGAAGAACATACTAATAAAGTGTGTTGGGAAAGCTGCAATGATTCAGTTACCCCAGATAATGTAAACCTTCTGTATGGTAAACCAATTTCTTCAATCAAGATGTCACTTTTTTGTGACACTGATTTCCTGATGGAGCTGCATAAGGCACACAGGAGTATTAGCAAACTAAAATTTAATGAAACTGTTGTGGCTCCTGAAGTCTTCAATACGATTTATGAAATAGCATCACAAACACATGCCGAAATTTTTGAGTTGGAACTTGATGTCTCCCACCAGTCATCATGGGCGAAAGTTTTCATCGGTGCACCAATTTCATCTCTTCGACAAATCAAGAGAATTAGACTGGGAGAAACTGATTGTTCTGTGGGTTGTTCTTTGTTATTGGCGAGTTTAATTGACAAAAGTTTCCCATCTGGCTGTTTTCGGGAGTTGGATACAAAAAATTCTCTGGTTGACATCTGCATATGTGCTTTGAAATCCCTTCAACCTGGCTCAGCATTTGCTGTAATCCTACCAAGGTACGGTACATATATATACTTATTGTTATGTTTTTACATCTCCGTTATTTATTATTTACTAAATCTTGATTCATCATTCTATTAGCATGCTGACTAGGTTCACAGCAGGATTAGTTTGGATCTTGTGCAAGTGTTTTGAGAAGTATGTCATAATACCAGATAAATCACATGCTCAGTTATATTTGATTTGCAAGGGAAAGAAAGATTCTAGCAAGTAAGATTTCCATTATTTCTGGCAATTCCCCTTGCATTTTTATTAAAGGAATAAGTTCTAGTTCACCCACTCTGGAAGCGAAGGAAGTGATCTCTGAGGTGTATCCATCGAAACGCTACTGAACTACAGGGAATTATAGTGGTGAATTATGTTTTAGTACTGGCCTGAGATTTGAAGCAGCTGAGGTTAATATGACCATCTGTGATTGCTGCGAAGAAAGCTCCCGATGAGTCTGGAGCCTTTATTATGTTAATAGGTATTTATGCCTTGGATACATGTAGTACATCGTCCCCATAATAAAAATGGGGTGGTTTAATATCTCTGTATTTCAGGTCAAAGCAATTTTTACATCACTTTTTTTAGATTGGCTGAATTTGTGAATATTGTGAGTCAGGCAATAAAAGAAACTGATTGTGATACAGCACTTTTACAGATTATTCCTCCCCATGGTATACTATCGGTAATTTGGCTATTTTTGTCTTTTATGCTATTATTAAAAATGTTTTCAATGTAAATGACATTTTATGTGTTTTTTCTTTGTGCAGGATAAAGTGTTCACTTCTTCACTACGACAATGCAATCATTACGTGCTTCAAAATCGGTTTCAACGACACGCCAGTTATACTATCTGATTCTTGTATGTTATTGTTATTGCATTTCAAAACCTATTTAAAAATGTTTGTGTTACAATTAAACTTTGATTATGCAACGCAGGTCGTACAGGAAGTTTCTTTTTCCACCCTCGTTCGAAGCAAAGTTAAAATAATTTAGAATAGATCATTTTATGACAGCGACTCCCTATAAAAGATTAGTGCTTCTCAGGTCATAGGGGTGTTATGAGATTTATGTTGGAATCTTAGCGATTTTAAGTTTTATGACATGAATGTGATGAAGACTAGTGTGTGTAATATCTGTGTACTGTGGAAGAACTTTATGTCAATGGAGATCCCAATATAGGCCAAGCGCCCTTGCTCCTTTTGGCAAATATTAGTTTTATGTGCCATGCTATTTAATGTTGATAATTTGTTGGGGCTTCAGGGAAAGTTGATTAGCTTGGTGTGCTCAAGGTATTTGGGTTTACCTTTCTTTGAGGTAAACATGAAAATCCTATGCCATGAGTGCCCTGTCCTGATCAGAGCAATGACATTTAATGTCATTGATCAGAGGAAGACTATCCCATGGAAGCGAAATCATGGCAGCATTGTTGATTAATCTGTGTTATCGACTTTCTTTTCTCAGAATAAATATGAGAATTCTAACCACGGTGATGTGGTAACGAATTATACAGGGATGACAATATTTTCCAAGTCTCTGAAGTGATGATAACAGTTGCAAAAGCAAAGAGTAGCACAACTTCGAGACTTTTGCTGAGTTAATGTTTGATTTGAATTAAACAGCCAGTTTATTGATATCAGTTACTGTTAGGCAGAGAAAAATTTATTCTACAAATACCATCTAAACAAATATATAAATTGAAATCAATTTCAAAAGTATAATATCTTACATGATAAACGTTAACTTGGTCGATTTCAATCGCTGACAAAGTTACGATCGACCTTTGGACCGCCGTTTACTGCTGCTCGTTTAAATTATACGGTAAACTAGTGCCTCCAACGCGGTGACTGTTTCTGGTCAGGTATAACAATATTTAGTTAGTTGTCGTAGTTACTCGATGTTTTAGTTTAGATTTTTAGTTTTTACATATTTATTGAAATCACTCAATGGGTGAACCAATTAAAAAAAAAAAAAAAAATAGAATATTTACTAAACGTTAAAACGACCTCAATAATAACCGTTTATACTGTGATAGGTTGAACCTATACCAGAACCAGATAGCAGCCTGACTCAGTCAGTGGTGGGTATAGAATTTGACTACCGGTACACTAACTGGAACAGTAGAATGATATTTATAAGATGTGCATCAGCAAACCGGGTACCAACGTACGTTTGTATTCAAAACCATAATGTTGCAAAAGGCTCAAGGGCTGTCTTGCTAATAGTCATTAACAATTTGCATGAAGGCATTTCGCTGATATACTCCAAAAAATAATTGTGCTACAGCGGAAGTATTATTTCAGATAGATTATATTTAGGCAGTAATAACAATAGTAAAACTGTGTGTTTTTTGGAAAAGTGTGAGCGAGATATTCGTTTTCTTATCCCTCTTTAGATATATATTTAAAAACCTACCTTTTGGCATGAAGAAAGGTCAAAGTATATTTCTATGTTATTCTCAAAACATTAACTTTTTGTTGCCATAACTTACTTTTTTACATACGGTAATTATCATCTATTCTAACTCTGAACGTACATTTATAAGTTTTGGTGACTTTTTAACACTATCCTTGAATTGGTCATGCAATAGGTTCTCCCACACCTCATATTGGCTCTTTTCCATCAAGAATAATTATGAAATCTTTGCACCAGGTTCAGTTTTTTCTATCTTAGTAATAAAAATGGATGCTATTAACGCATTTGTCAATGCCCCAGGTAACCATGAGATGTTGGCATTGCTGAAAGGGATACGTAATGGAATAGTGTATGGAGCCAAAATCAGATTCCCTCATGCATTGGTTATGACTTTGCTATGGAGAAGAGGATCTATTCAAAACTTGGCAAGGATCATCTTACGAGCAACATATCAACATGCAAAAAATTTGGGGCAGTTTGTGTTTTTGTACAAGCTGATCAATACAATCTTACGGAGAATGGGAAGTGGAAAGAAAGAACCATGGCAGGTTTTTATATCTGCTTGTGTTGGTGGTTACTATGTATTTGGTGCCAACAATCCCATTAACATGCAGATCAACATGTACCTGCTTTCTCGCATCATATTTGGACTCTGCAGACTGGGTGTTCAGAAAGGTTATTTGCCAAGCCCAAATAAAACTGAAGGTGGGCGTGATCCTTTCCCAATATTTGGTGCAGTCGTATGGGGCATTGTATTGTGGTTGTTTGAATACCACAGGAAAACACTGCAGCCATCCCTACAGTCTTCAATGACATATCTGTACGATGATAGCGAGGAATGGAGCAGCATAAGAGACTTTCTCTTGTAATGTTTTTACAGAATTCAATAGATATTTTCTACAACACTACCTTGCTCATTGCTAACATGATCTAACTCTCGATTAGCAATAACCGAGCTGCTGCAGCATGATTCTTTTTTAACTTCAACAAAAATAATTCCCCTAATTTTCATCTGTTTCTGAAAAAAATATTCTGTGCAATAATATTTGTAAATAAAATTTAATGTTTATCATAATGTTTTTAAGATATCTGGTAAAAATAGAAGCAACTCTTTATCAGATAATAGGTAGTTGCCTTCTTTCCACTTGGCTTTCAAGATTTTTGTTACCATACCAACTGTTTTTCCTTTCGGAACGCCTGCTTCCTGAATGTAAATATTTTTAGTTGAGATTTAGTATGGTATTTCTCTTGTATATGTTATTAACTTATTACATAGGTTGACATGCTTGATAAAACCAGGGCGGGGCGCCGGTAGCAAGTAAACCCCGGCTCCTACTCAGACAACAAAGTCCTAGTTGAGGGAAAAAATTTTAGCATAGATATTTTGATGTCAAGCAAGTTTAGATAAGGCGTACACGATCAACATAGAATGGAGGGTAAATATTTTAGCATGTGTGTATTGGTTACCACTTATTGATGATATTAAGTATACTCACCATCAACATTCCCCCAGAAACTGGGAATCTTGGAATATTCCAATTCTGCAGCTGCTGCATCGTTTCAAAATCACCAATATATTTTAAAACCTCTATTAAATAACCTTTATGATTTCCCTCATGTTTTGGAATCTGGAAATGTCAAAAGAAAATAGCTCAGTTTAAAAAAAATCCTTACTTGACATAGATAAAAATAAGTTAATTCATAATTTAATGATACTTCAATATACTTAGTGCATTGCTAATATTTATCTAACGATGTGAGTGTCCATGGTAATAATGTAAAATAACAACTTTAGAAGGACATTTAATCAATATTTTTCAACTATAAAGATGTGCATTCTCAATTCACAGAAATTAAATATCCCTGACATTCGAAATAATGTATCAAGTACCAGATATCTTTCACTGAGTTTACAATTAATATGCGATGCCGTTTCATTGTTTAAATAAACTGCTCAGGTTATTTGCATTGAATAATTTATTCATGTAATAATATAGCATACTGAGTAGACTCTTATTAAACTGGTATATGTGGATACCAAGTTCATATTAAACCATTGAATACAGAATAAGCATCTTGTCAATTACTTACATCAACCAGTATATCTTGACAAAATTTTAATCGTGCTGGATCACAAATATTAATTTTGTTTCTATAAGAAACAATAAACAGAGCAATCTTTCTCTCGTTTTTTGAGAACTGTACCCTCTTTTCTAAATTCAAAACCTGCGAAACAAAATTAGCTTGTGTTAAACTGATACAGTATAATTTCCTAATGGATAGATATGACTGCATAAAAACGGAATTATACAGTACTTCTGATTCTGAATGATAGTATAAAATTAGATACCCTATCTGATTGCTAATCATTCCATACTTTAGGGCAAGGGGGGGGCAATCTTTTATACAGAAGGGCCAGATACAAATAGCTGGAACCGCACCTTCCTCCAAAATATGCTACCTGGTAGTTGCAGGCACAAAAATTTCTGTTATTGATCTTATGACATGCACTGAACGCTTGGCACAAGCTAGCTGTTAGGTAACATCATAGGCATAGGGTTTGGAATTACTCGCATGTAACAGAATAAACTAAATTGATAACTCGCTCTGCGGACCGCACAATTTTTCCTGGTGGGCAGCATAACATACCTGCAGGTTGCACACCCATGCTTTATGGCATTTAGTATATTCTATAATTCGTATTTCCCCATATATGCACAAAACATGTACCGTAATTAATTAATTCAGTATAGATTCCAACCGAATATCTAGTCTTTTGAGTTTGTACTCTAAAATTAAAGAAAATATTTACAAACAAGGAAACTAAGGTAACAATCTTACGTCCTCTTCAGTTTGAAGTAGAGCACTGGCATATGTCATATGATTCGTATTCAAATGAATAGTAGCATTATAAATTTTCTCAAACATGTCCATATCAACTTCCTCAGGGAAACCTTGGAGTTAAAGTGAGAGAATAGTTTTACCTTGTTATGACAAAGAAATTACAAATTATATTATTTCATGGAATACATACTGACAATTCATAAAAAAAAAAAAAACGAAATTTGGATGCAAATCATGCAACCTTTGATGCCACAAAGCTGAGTAATTGTATACAAGCTACAAGCATGTCAAGGGCGGACTCACCGATATATGAAAGTAATCCACACTCATGTATCTTTCGCATGATTTTAGCAACATAGCGTCCATTCAAAATCATAGTCATCTCTGACCATATTCTTGGCCCAGAAATTATTAACAAGCCACGCCCTTGTGATTTTATAGCTTGAATAGCTTCCTCATTAAACTCCGCTTCAGAATTTGCTATCCTTCCAAAGAACCTATATCAGTAGGTCAGAAATATCAATCCAATTTGAAAAGGAGCAGGTGGTTTAAAACAGGGCTGAAGAGCCTGAAGCTGATACCAAGCTTATGATAATGAATGGAGAGAGAGCTAGCAGAAGATTTATGGTCTCCAGACTCCAGCCTAATTATTTTTTCACATTTATAATTTTGTAGTGCTTCATACAAATCATGAAATCTATAATTTTTTTGACATAATCATTTGGCGAATCACGACTTTTTGTCCGGTTACCAGTTATTTGTTTCAGATGCATGGATTTGATAGTATAGAAAGCCCTAACCGACCAGTAGTTAAGAAATCCAGCAATCCGCTGGCAAATATTCATCCCTCAGGATCTGAACCAGTGCAATGTCAATAGTAGGTAATTATGGTAGTAGTCATTTTTTCATAAACAATATTCTCATTACCTGAAAAATCTCAAAATTCGCAAATAATCTTCACAGATCCTTCTACTAGCATCTCCAACAAATTTCACCTTTTTCTTTATCAAATCATCTTTTCCATTGAAAAAATCTATGACGTTACCATGAAGATCTGGCAAGATAAGATAAATTGAATATAGTATAATGCGTAAAAAATACTATATAATGCGGTGGGCATAAATGTAGGAATCGGAAAAATAGTTTTAAGATTAAACACCATTATAGGTATAGAAATAAAAATGACTGAAATCTTACCTAAAAATAATGAATTTATAGTCAAATCCCTCCGAGAAGCATCAAGAAACCAATCTTTTGTGAATTCAACTTCAGCATGTCTTCCATCTGTCACTCTGTCAATTCTTAAAGTTGTTATTTCAAAATTTTCTTCATTTATACGGCATGTTACTGTGCCATGAGATTGTCCACCTTCATTAAACATTCTGATATCATTTTTGCTGAACATCTCCTGAATGAGAAAACATAGGGATTCTTAGTTCTCATAACATTTGTCAGAAAACATATTCATACCATCAACTGCAGAACTGTAAGAACTCTCGCAGCATCCTGTTTTGCTGGTTGTTTAGCAGAGAAATGGTATTTGAAAATGGGGTTTACGAGTTCGGACATTCATATTACAGTATTATAATGGAGCAATACAGCATTAGTATATTATCTTATTCTTTTAACCATGGTTAACAACATTAAATATTTAACATCAAATATTATCTTAAGATATTGTTGTGACTGAACAATTTACATCATTGAACACAGATAAAATGGAAATGTGAAAAGGTTGACTCACAATCATTTGTTTAGGTGTAGCAGTCGTTGCAAAATCTATATCTTTCGGTTTGATTCCACTTAATAAGTCACGAACTGCTCCCCCAGCAATGCTTAGTTCATATCCATTTTCAAGAAATAATGTTCTAACTTTGTTTAACGCTTCAGTAAAGAGAGAATGAAACTCCGGAGAATCAAGTCTCATAACAACTGGTCCAAATGGCTTATAAGTTTGTGTTTTATCCATTTCTTCGCTCGTTCGGTCAATGGACGAGAAATTTTTAAAATCTTTATTAAACCAGAGTGTCTTGGAGTTCCGTTGATGACTAAGAGAATACTTCACATGAGAAATTCTAGTTGAAAAATCAGTTTTCTGTGAAACTTGATAACAAAATATGGTATAAAATCTTCCACCAGCATTAAATGTTTTTGTATATCTTGCTCCCATTTACCAATATTACTGTAACCCTATACAACTGTTTGCTAGCTGTATAAAATGAAATAAAAAGTGAGATAAAATTGCCAAATAGTGCACATAATTAATGGCAATGCAGCAAAGTATAAATGTTTGTTGGTATTCAACCAAAAAATCGAAACTAAGTGATAGCTATAAAAGTTGTTATGGTTGTTCGTTCGAAAATGTGTTTATATATAACAGTGTACTAATTATAAATTACCGCAAGCTCATTTTACACATCGTAAATTTGTAAACAACATTAGTTAACAGTAGTAAATGTAGAAATACCCTCGAGGCAAGTTGCATGATTCGCTAGTCTGCACATATGCGCTCGGCAATTCATATTTCGAGACCAACGATAGTCAAACTCGAATAAGTAAAAAAGCCAACAGGGAAAGAATAATTCATTGGGACAGCACCTGTACTTCACAAGGCAGCCGAAAAGATCAGTTATGCGGCACCGATAATACTACGCAGGGGAATTCCCAGGTCACGTGTTCGGCTCGTGATTAGCGACATGTTTGTTTGGATTAGAACAGCCCTGAGCCAAAGTTTTAATAGGGAGGGGTTGCGCGCCCTTAAAATTGTGCTTTGCGTGGTGGTTTAGTAAGTGAAGCGCTGTTTTTAGCTAAGGCAGTTGGTGTATCACATAGAATTTATGATTGCCCGACTAATTTATCATTCCGTGTGATGAGGAGCATGGTTTTCCGGAAGTATTCGTGACGCCGAAGACAAAAGTCCAGCAAACTTCTCGCGCTAAATTTTGCCCACGAAATTCGAAGTTGCGAATACTGGAATATGATTGGGCTCCGAAAATACATCTAATTGATTGGCTCAGATGAACGTACATCAGTAACTACTCATATCTTTACCAATTCATCTACCAAAAACTTTTTTCTGCTCTAATCATTTTTATATATATATCGTGTCTTCTGGTTTGACGTAAATATATACTACTACGGTTTGACGAAAACAAAAATAAATTCTCGCCTCTCTCTCTCTCTATCTGAACAATTGTCAATGTTGCTGTTGTGTTGGAGTAAATATAAAAAAAAACATCTTGAAAAAAAAAATCATAATTGTGAGCAATATCAGAATGTTGAGTCATTGAGTGTTTATCAATTATGACACAAGGGGTGTTGTTTGTAGACACTATATCTGGTGTATTTTTACATTCATATTCTGATTCTGAAGCAATTTAGAAATTCTGATTTAGTTTTAAACAGTTTTGATGTTGAAATGGGAGGTTCACATTGCAGCATTGAAGTGTTCATACGTTTCCCAGCAATAAATAGATGAAGCAGTTTAACCATGTAGTACTGCAATTTGACTAGTAACCTATATTTTATCGTCTATACATTTTATATATAAACTTACCTTTTGCAGGGTGCTTGACATTTTAGAAATGGAGGCGTACAATAGATTCATCGATTACTTTATGGACTTTCACAAAGTGCGAAAGTTCCAAGAGTTTTGCGGATTGTCTGCAATAGAACCTTCACAAGATTCCCAATCAAGTCCTGATCAAAGCACAGGAATATCATCAAAAAATTCCCAACATACCCCTCATGATGCATCTTCACCTTCTTATGCAAATGCTCCAATGAAATCAGTGCCAAGGAGTTGTCAAGAAAATAAAGCCCCGAAAAAGCAACCACTTAACTATGCAGTTAATAATAAATTTTTACATCACTTGTTTCTGATGGCATCTATGCTTGGCACTGAAGTGTTCTATATAACAGGAATCCCGATTATATTCTGGAATCTGGACATGTATATGGCAAGAATGGTCATTACAGTTTGGGTTGTCACAATGTAAGTGCATTAAAAATGTATAGAATAAAAATATCTTTAAGAACAACAAAAATTTTAACTTTTAATAAATGAAGTCTATGCTATGTAGTTCAGGATTCGCACATATATTATATTTCTGCATTTTATTCCGAGTGTCAAATTTGATTACTTTGTTTTATTTATAAATTGCGATATCATTTTAAATAAAACTTCAACCTATTTAGGTACCTTGGGCAAGCAGCAAAAGATCTCTTACGATGGCCCCGTCCAACTTGGCCTCCTGTTTTCAAATTGGAAACAAGGGTAGAAGCAGAATATGGATTACCTTCAACACATGCAATTGCAGCGACATCAGTGCCGTTTACCTTGTTTATTACTGCTATTGGAAGATATGATGTACGTTATGAAGATTAGATTTGTCTAACCTATTTTTTTTTTTTTCTTATACATCAGAAATTTTATGACATTCATTCATTTATTAGCCAGAATTTAAGATCAAATTGAAAAGATTGGTTATTGAGCCAAATTTCTCTAAGTAACAGTCACAAGAGTTTGATAAAAATTTCTAGCTCCAGTTGACACACATGCGTTTCTTATTGATAAGGTTTCTATTTGTAACTTTTATCATATATCATGCGTGAAAATTATTGATATCCATGAATAATTATTGCTGAGATAAGAGTTTCTGTTTTAATAGAAATTCCCAGCTCTATTTAACACACATGCATTTCTTATTGATAAGGTTTCTATTTGTAACTTTTCTTTATATATCATGCGTGAAAATTATTGGTATCAATGGATAATTATTGCTGAGATAGGTAATGTTAACGCTTTTTCAATAGTGTAATATTAAAACCTCGTGTGTAATATTTTCAATCATTTCCATTCAGGTGAATATCCCACTCTGTTTCTTCCTCGCTACATGTTGGTGTTTGTTGGTTTCGTTAAGTCGACTTTATGTTGGCATGCATTCCATATTAGTAAGTTCAATCCAAGTTTATTCGTGTTCTTCGTTAGTGCACAAACTGATAATCTTTTAATACAGCTTCTATATAGATGATAATATCAATGATATCATGGAATATTACAATATCACAGTTAGTATCTGGAAATCTGCTAATAAAATCCTCTATCCAATTTCATGGACAGTTAGATATTAATAATTGTTGAAAGTTTGATAATTTCCTATTTCGTTTCCTGCCCAATTCTTTACTTATTCGAAATAATATCTAGCGTATAATAGTTGTAATACGGAACTCAATTTGTTTCCGGTCGATGTGGATGACTCATTTGATAATTTTCAAAAGAATTTTTCATAAATTGTTCTGAGGATAAGTTACCGTAAGTTTATTTTTAATACTTTTAAATATAGATTCTATCTGATTCTAATTTTCCTTTATAATTGTGACGCCAGGTCTTTAAAAAGTGTCATGTTTTTATTTTTTTCAGGATGTAATGGCAGGAATAGCATTGGCTACAGCCTATTTATATTTTGGGTGGCCGTTCATGGAGATGGTGAATGATTACACAATATTTTCGAAATATGCTCCGTATATCATTATTATATCTCATTTCCTGCTTGGTAAGGGAGCATATGTGTATTATAGTTATTGTCTCTTTCATCTAGATATGGATATGGTTATTACAGAAAAATAATATGTCATTAATTGAACAGTGTGGGAAATTTGACATTTATGTGAAGAGCAAATTTGTCATTTAATAATAAATATTCAAATAATTTTGTTGAGTTGCTGTTATTCATGTAAAACAATAGTAAATGAATTCTTCAGTTATTTCTTTTTTAAAGTAAAGCCTTTACATGTTATTTAATATGATTCTATTATATCATAGGCCATAGCACATCCAAATTGTTTTAATAAATTTAGTAACATCACTGATAAGTATATTTTCAACGTTACCCAATGTAATTAACCATTTACAATTACTGAGTTGTTAAATCAATTTTAATGTCAAAAATAAGAGTTTCAGCTTTAGCACACAGTAGAACAATGAATGTGTGCACTGTTAATAACTTCATGAAATGCTTCAAGAGTCGCACACGACAAAATTCTTAAACTCATGCTCTTGATTGAGATATTTATAAAAGTCTACTATTATTATATATACTATTACAATATTAAATATTTTCAAAGATAATGTGAATAATGCCCAGATGATGTTATGAAGTCTTTGTCACTTGAAAAAGTTTTTTGAATGAATTTATAAAATATGAAAAAGTGTAACTGATTACTGTAGAACTTAGTCTGTTCATGTTAAATAAATTTTAGAATATTTCGAACTAAATAATACCATTAGCAACAGTATTAATGAAAATATAGTGAAATCAGTAAACTATAATTAAATATCTTTTACAACTGCAATATAAGCTGTTTTTCATTATTTATCTTTCAGCAATTTTTTATCCAATTGATCCTGACAGATGGAGTACATCAAGAGGAGACACAGTAATTATTTTAGGAGTTGGAGCTGGAGTGCATTGTGCATCGTGGTTTGGAAATTATTATGGTTTCAACTGGTACGATTTATGGTTTCCATTCATTATTTATAGATAAGAAAGACTAACTAGTTGGTTGAAGTATTTATAGCAATCAATCAGTGCGAATGTAAATTAGTATGTTCTATTTGTTTCAACAAATGAAGGGACCTAACCATCCGGCAATAAAGTATAAATTTTTTATTTTCTGAAACACAATTTTACCAACTTTATATGTGCATACTGACTATCCACAATTTGTATGGTACCATTACTTGTATCAATGAGGCACATGATTTCCTCATTGTTGGTTCAACACAATATCAAAATTCCCATACAATTCACTGGTGGTGTCATAATGGTTTCATATTATGAAACAATAAAGCTAGCATTTTTAGTATATAATGTGATTGTATTTTCTCAGTATTCAACAACATATAGAGGGTTCTCTATACAATTTGATACAAAATAGAAAAAAAAGCTGACATCATGCACCATGCCCTATTTAACTTATTCAAATATTTAAACATTATTGTGATAGGGGTGAGTAAACATACCCACATCTGACTGATATACCATTTCAAATAAGTCATTATTGATCAAAAATGATTTGCAGTTTTATGACAATCGTTACTGATATTTACTTAATTAAAAAAAATGCATTCCACGTAATGTAATTGAAAGTTTTCCATTTGGAACAATTTCCAAGAAACCTATAACTATTAACCACATAAATTTTTTAATTTAATGTTTCGTGATTCATATCCATGTGTACAAGAATTTAAAAAAATAGGAGAGAAGGCATGTGACTAAATCAAATGATCCAATCAATCTGTTAGCATTTCTGTCAAAGTTCACGTTGTGAGAATGTGAGGCTTGTGTAAAATTAGGTAGGAAGCTTTTCTCACATGAGGACTATCCTTGGCCCACACTCACATTCCCTGGCATAATGACTGGCCATTGTGAAGAATGAGTACTGTCAGCTTATGTTTGCATTGCTCACATCATACATATTATATTCAATGGGGTGATAACAGAATGCGTTCGTGATTAAATACAGCGGAAGCTTATTTCGTGTAGTGATAGAATGGCTTTAAGCCAATATATTGAATAGGCCTAATAAAAGTAATATGACCATCCAATTTATTGGTGATAAAATGGCAATAATTTTGTGATTCGTTTGTTTTTCAAATTAAATCTTAGTAGAAATCTTTTGAATGTACAGTATGCAAGCAAGAATCTTTCCCAAAATTCACATGAGTTATCAAACACGAAAATCTTCCTTATATACCTGATAATGTTACACTATTATTAACATTTTTTTTTCGAAACATGGGGGAAATGATTTTTATTTGTATTTTTTTTTTTTAGCATTTTATTTTTATTTTATTTGTATTAAATTCAAGGACAACCACACCCTAGGTGTTGGAATATTTGTAAAATTTGATTACTTGACTTACAGTAGGTTTCTCAAAATATCGAATATTATATTTTCAATTTACTGTGTGTTACACATACTTATAATAAAACTTATCAAATGTTCATAATATATATTTTTAGAATATTATAACTGCAATTTTTTGGGAATATCACATATTAATACTTCACACATGAAATTTATGCAGCTAAACATACATCAATTGATGCATGTGATTGATCTTTCACTATATCTTATTAATAGGCATGACCAGACTCTACTATGTTTCAATTTCCTCTTTCTGTTTAATAAGTGCATTGAAATAATTGCGCTTTGGTTTATTATACTACCTTGTAGCATCAAGGTAGTTTAATCATTGACTTTTGTCCAGTCAATTTGACATTCTAGATGCATAAGCGAAATTACCGGTGGAAGTAGTAATTGGTGAGTATCAGTACTCAGTACATACAAAGACAAACAGTTTAGCACATTCACTCTCATGGTTTTTAGACGAGGTGCAAAGTATAGATAGCGTAATGAGCGATTTAATGTTCAGCGTGTCCCTTGAGCAAACAATCAAACATGCTCTGAATAATAAATGTGCATTGGGAAAATTGTATTTTACATTTTCAAGTAATTATTTTATTTTTTTAAGGGAACCGGCGGGTGAGATGCCATATGCCGTTGCTCTTCCAACATTATACCAATTTGGAATTGGTGTTGTTCGATATGTGTTTGGAATTGCAGTACTTCTGTTGGTTCGAGCTCTAATGAAATATATTAGTCTCCTAATTCTTTGCCATGCTGTAAGTGTACCTAAAGATGATGAGATGTCCCGAAGACGTACAGAAATCGAAGTGCCATACAAGTTTGTTACTTACGCGTGTGTTGGCTTCAGTGCAAATTTCATTGTCCCAATGATTCTACAACATGTTGGTCTTGTTTTATAGTTGAATAGTTTTAAAATATAATTGCCACACTTTAATTTTCGTTCAGGCAAATTTAGTGTTTAAACAATTTTTCGTGCAAATATACTTACAATTCTACCAAAGAAGTTATTGAAAAATCAATTTTTTGATTTATACAATAAAGATGTGATAATTCAATGATTTGCTTTTCCTAAACCTTACTATTTTAAATATATCTAAAATGGCAATATAAATTTAATGCAACTATTGCATTGCATCACTATTACACCACTTCACAATTTTAGAATGACTTTTATCATTGTTGCAACTCTTTCAGTACTACTTTCATCAGATACTACAATCTGCGACATTTCCTCTTTTGCGTTTCGAAAATTTTAATCGTACATTGAATCACTGCAGTGCCAAAGCAAAAAGTTTCAAAATAACAAAAAATCTATTAGAACCATTAATAAACTTTTCACTCTGAATAATATGTCCTGGCCAAAGTATGATGCTCATGAATGCTTGTGAATGATAAAATTTTGTCAATCTTTCAAAATTATTTTTTGAATTTTGTTTGTTCTATGTTATAGTGAAATAATTTCTTTCTGGCATTAGTACCTGCTGTAAATTATTTCAACGACCCTGTACACCTTTGTTTTTGGAGTCACAACTGAGATTGAGTTGAATTTGGCATGTGGGTTGGATTCCATATTACTCGAAAACTATTTGGGTGGTATTATTTCCTTTGTTAAATATTTTTAAAATCGTACTCAATGGCAAAAAGACTAACTAATTATTCAAGTTTGATTGTTTTTTCCAAAGCTTGAATTTAAGTTGTATAATGATTTTTTCTAATAATGATATTTAAACATATAAAATTACTAATTGAATTTACCACAACCAATAATTTCTTGTATGTTAATGTAGCCATACTTCTAATGAAACCTCATTTTCTTGTTTTTAATTATGCATAAGCCTTAATTATTGTTTCTTAATTGTTTCATCATTTCCAATGCAGCCTTGTTGTACGTTTGAGGTGTTTTTTTTTAGTATTTTTGCAGGCAGTAGTTTGTATTTTCTTAATTTTTCTGAATTTGATATCTCATTATCTCATTTGCATTGACCAAACTGTGTTGAACTAAAGTTATTTTAAATAAAACTAGATATGCTAGTTATGGTTAAGCTCAAGTAATAAGATAATTTTTTTGCTACAGTTTATAAGTACTATTGATTTTGCATTTTTTTTTATTGCAAGTCGACTTTTTCAGAAAATTGGATTAGCAGCTTCCATATTTCCACCATTTTCAATGCCTGATTTAGATTACGATTGTCATAATTTGTCACACTTTACAAGTACTATCATTTTTGAACACTATATTTTAATTATGTTCCACCAATGAATGTATAAGGAAAATGCAGAATATTCTAGCATTGATTAATTAATGATTTGTATCGAATATGTGCTATTTACTCCGTCCATCTATTAGAGTCGAAAATATATTTTTTCTTTATTTTTAAAAAATGAAATTTTATCATGATTATATATTTTTTCATCGTATCATGTAGTACTGGCATTTTGTATTACAGTTGGTACAGTACAACCAAATTTTTGATGTTTTTGAACATTCCTTCTGTAACTATTGTTATACATATATTACTATTGTTAACCATTTAATGGGCAAAATATGAACACTTGAACTGCATGATATGAAAATCACAAATTTGTCGTCAATTAATGAAATTTATTGTTGCAAAATAGACTTGAATTTTCCCGCAATTATGCAATGTGAAGTGAAAATGGAGTTGAGCTGTTTTGTTTTTCTTTTTGTATTCTGGTTGTAAAACATAATTTAGGGTCTAAATTTTAGACAGTACACTGAGTAGAATTATATTTTTATTAACAGTTCTGGGAGGCATTGATATAACCCCTATATTGGTAATTAAAGCTTTACAAATTTCTGTAATCTAATTGATCCTTCACAGAGGTGACTCTCCAAATCATGAATCAACACTATCCTCTTTGCAGAATCTTCATTCCAAGTTACATATCTACTTTGAATTTCAATCAAATATATTGAAACTTAATAGTGTTTCGCGTTGACCTGATTTTATGAATGATCTTTTGCTATTTCTGCAACTCATTCTTTGTGAAAGATTGGGGATAACATGAAATTGGTGATATGTGTAACAGTGTAAGTTTGTGTTTTCTTTCGTTTTGTTTCTTTCCACAAATCAATGCATAATTAATATTTTTTTCAATTCTTAAAGTGATAGCATCTGATATTGAGGGCAACCAATGATTACAAATGCTTGAGCTTGTGTTATTTTATTAACCATTTTATTGTTAATTACACCACTAACACTTATCAATTTAATTTTGGATAAAAAGAAAAAATACTTAACAGTGCATACTTTTGTTTCCTTAGTGTAGGATATGAGAAAACATTAAAAGTGGAAACATGGTTAAAGGATGCTAGTGTACCAGCATGCTGAGAGGTAATTATAGAAGTGTATTGCGACTTCTAATAAACACGGCATAATACCGGGTAGTGTAGTAAAACAATAGTTTTTTTTTCGAGGAGACAGCATGGAATGAAGTTTAGAGAACAAACTCCGACGTGGTATCTGCAAAATAAGCTTATGGAGCAACAGTGCTTCTTTGCTCGAATGGATTCTGGAAGCCAGGATACAGACACCATTGCAGTGATGTGTTGTATAGGTTTATTTCCACTCCAGAATCAGCATTATAGACGACAAAGTAATTGATAAAAACGAAACAAATAAAACTGATTATAGAATCGGGAGAGCAAACAAAACCCCAAGTGAGGTTTGAAACGTACAGATTTTAGATGGAAAGGTATTGATAAAAGAAGTAGTACGTGTTCGCTTACTCAAAAGTATCAAAACTAATTAAGGCACGCACGCACACACACAATCACCGAGATATGATAAGATCGGAAGAGAAAAAAGCGATACACAAAATCAATCAATCTCCCAGTTAAAAACGCATCCAGCAACTATTGAAAAATACTACTTCTATCAATCAATATACTATTATGCGTTTTATTCAATACCATGAGACAGTCTACCACCAAAGCAGTCTTGGTAGCTAAAGCGTAGTGCTTGGAAACAATACTTTGTTCGGGTGGAACATTTCAAAATTCGGTGCTTCAGAAGTATGCGCACCAAGATGTCGCACAACCTGAATCCTAACCAATACACACATACTATGTTCAGGTTGTGCGCCATCTTGGTGCAGATACTTCTGGAGGTCCCAAAATTCTGTCTATCATAAAAAGGGCGATCTAGAAGTATGTGCACCAAGATGGCGCACAAACTGAACATAATAGTTGTACCAGGTTAGGGTTCAGGTTGTGCGCCATTTTGGTGCACATACTTCTATAGCGCCCTTTTTATGATATTTCGCTGCCATTGTGATATTCTGACCATTTTTCCGCTTTGTTCTACTTTTCGTCCTTGTTCTCTACACCTTACGTTGCACGGAGAGGGGTATTTTCACAATTCACTCCAAACTTCAAGCGGGCAGGAACATCATATCAACTAAAATTGCCTACGTTCTTGTATAGGATACTACTGGCCAGAATAGATTTGTGCAAGACAAAACAAAATTTAATCATATCAAAAATTTCATTACTTATTCTGCATTTACTGCAAACCTACCGGAGGGAGGTTAAAACTTTCTGTTGACAAAACTTTAACGTTCCAAGTTAACATTCTAACGTTCCAAATTCGGTTGGCTGTATGCGCCCATCTCAGTATTGTAATGTATTGCTAAAATAACCCAAATAAACAATGTTGATTAGTCAACTATAAGTTGCGTGTAAATCTACAGACTTGGTGTTTTAAATAAAATTTGAAAACATGGTACTTGTCTGAATGCAAAGTCGAGTCCGATCCCCACCTTAGTTGATACACCTAAAGGCATTAACCTGAGGTAATAAAATAATACCCAACCCGAATATGTATGTCGTTTTAATCGCATTTCAGAGCATTTACACTAAATTGTGTGCGATGAAATATTTTCTATTATGTGTGCTCGGGACTTATTTTCTCTGATGTGTGCTTCGATTTTTTGCGACGAATGTAGGGTTAGCGAACAGCCAAAAACGGCAAATTTGAAAGCCAAAATTATAATGCACTAAAATACAAAGCAGGCTTCAGTCAAAAATTGGAAAATAAAATAAAATTACGCAATAGAATTGCAGCACTTCCGCTTGCTTAAAACGGGAAGTCTTGGTCAGATGACAAACCACAGTATAGCGTAGCCATTGCAGCACAGCTAATGCAACTTAAAAAAAAATGTTATTTTATTATTCAAATTCTTTGAAGAAACAATTACGAAAATCTGACTACAAGGCCGCCACAGCAATAGCAATTTACACCGATACCCGTAAGACCTCTGAGCACCCACAAATACACGTGTACACTTTGTGATTGTGACCAACTATTGACCCCCAGCCTTGCATCATGAATTTTGTTTTATATTGGTGATGCAAAACGCACATATATATGCTGTTCAATAAAGCAATTTGTTAGAAATCCATATTCTATTATTTTTATTTATTTGCATCAATCCTATGCAAAATTAAAATAATATTGGACAAACAAAATAAATGAACAACATAAGAATACAATCAGTGACGATGACATCATGTACAATTCCGGGTTCGGCAAACTTTTTTCGTTCGAGGGCCAAAATTAAAGGTTGCAATTCATTGGCGGGCCGCACATATTTTTAGAAAGTTAAAAACCGAAGGAATGGCCAATAAATCACATTTTTTCACACAGATTTCAGTTTAATTTCAAGCAGTGCGCGAAGACTGATCATTTGAATATTTTCTGCGTCATTAAACCATTTGCACATAGCATCAACTTTTTTACGTTCTGTTGCCAATCAATTATAGGCTCATTATTCATTAAACGAGTGATTGTGAATTATATACTTGTTAGGTTATAATATAATTTAGTGTCTTAAAACAAATTCTGTCACGTAAAGAATATAATCGTCAATACGGCTGTTTCGTTAATATAATTCAGTGAAGCGTCGCGGGCCGGACCCCGATGTACATGGACACAGTTTCTCAGAGATAAATGAAATAGAAACGCCATCAGCCTACAGGGCCAGAGCAATATATATATATGCATATACCGTATCATAACGGGCTATCTTTAATCATGCTTCCTTAATTTCATTGCACGTATTTTGATGTTACATATTACAACAATCACGTCTAATAATAAACGTTGTGTCGTGTACTGATTTTGATGCTAATATCAAGAAGTTTTCGTTTATAATATGTAAAAATTCAATCATGGCCGAAAATTGTTCACACTAAATGTGCATTGATGAAGTGTATTCATTTCTATGACATGTGTTAGTAATAGACTGTGCTTGGTAAAGCCCACGCTCAAAAAGCACATCGGGTTCAGGTCTCTCGAGAATACTTCCTACTGTGAGAGTTAAATCTGTAGTGTACAAGATATCAGTAGACCTTTGAAGATGATTGTCACGAAATTTATATCAATGCTGTTCATCAGCTACTGGTGTTTTGCAGAAAAAGACTGTAAGTACTTTGTGTTGCATTCAGTTTCCGGTTGATTCGTTGTAATATGTGAAAGACTTATATATAAATCAAGTTTAGGATGTATGCATGCGTAAATATTAAATTAACATTTAGCTAGTGTGTATTTGAATACCACTGGTCGTTTCATTATATTTGTCTTGTATAGTATAAGTTCCGATAAGAGGGCATCTTACAATTTGCCAAAATTGTAACAAAATAAAAATATATTATTAGGTGATCGATATACAAAATAGTTCGTCGATTTGATCTATTTTGATTTCTTGTTTTTGATTTGTTTCGCTGCCTGTCAATATTGTATCTCAGACTGTTTCATACAAGCAGTTCCATATAGGTATAATGTTTTTTAGCAAACAAAGTTTCATCAGACGAAGATTCGTGCCAACGGGATGATCCGAACTGTCAGGAGTTTGTCTTCAAATCGGTAATTATTGCGTTACTGCAATTTTTGTACTTGGTCTTGATGATATACGACGCTAAATCTTGAATTATACTTGTGCTATTTAATTTTATAGTCTTTACTTGATCAGGTTTTAAACATTACTATCGTATCAAAGCGTCCATAAGTTCAATTCTAAAAGGCCCATTTATTGCATTAGAACTGGAAGACAACAGTCTATCAAAACATGTAATCGAAACTACCCATACTTTATTTTAAAATTATTAAAAATCAAATGCATTCCGGGCGATGAAAATTAAAGCACATTTCATTCGTTTTTACAGCTGGAAGATTTGGAAGGTAAGTTACGTCTACTAAAATTTGCTACCTTCACGCTTGTCATTTATGCAATCTGAGCGAGGGAGGAGTGGAGACGATATTGTTCTTCGATGTGTGGCCTATCTCAGTTAAACCATTTATGGAAGCAAATAATTTATATAGATATAAAAAGCGGTTATGTATTCTTTGAGTATCGAACAAGTTAAAAAGCTTGCGTGAATTTTGTACTATTCTAAATCAATAACACATACAAGTTATTAGGAAATTATTCGCAAATTCAAATTCTAGTTGTTTGGTATCCTGACCTTCAGTAAGGCATTTCGAGTTTTTGTTACTATTGGAGCCATTCCAAAATTTTTGTACTTTTATCAATTAAAAATACGTGAATATATACGTTCCGTGAAATCGAACATTCATATTTTTATACTATGAATGATAATATTATTGTAGTGAGGCTAACCGTATAATAAGTCATAACGCCACAAATTATTACATTGTGTTACTAGATTAACAAATTGTTCCCATAATATATTTCATAGAACGTTTCAAGAAAGGCGGAGATGTTCAGAAATTTATATCGCAATATGCAACTGGTGAATCTGTCGACTCGAGTAGTGTCTGTGAAAATATAGGTTACGGACCAACAGGTACTCCTATTGACCACTTACTGATTACTTATTCAATAAATTTAGAAGGCCGACAATTTTCATTAATATTTAGATAAGCATGATTGTTAGCGCTCTGTTCTGAACGTTAAGAATCGACATACCATGACACCGGTGAATACGCTTTAAACTCCGTCAGAGCTAGACCCCCAACTGTCGTAGTTTTTGGACACGTAGTGGACATAATGATCGTTTCAATATTATGTTGTTGTTGTTCTTTGACACGTTTCGAAGAAATCGCTTTTCTTTTTGATTACTGGACCACTACTGCTTTGAAATTTCAGTGAGTAAAGCTTATATTTTTCGCTAGAGAGCTATTACTTTTATTTTTTGTTATGACGTCATCAAAATTATGTGACGCTACGTGTCCATATATTTGAGCATAGCTCTTTTGCTTTTATTTATTTAGATACACGATGGTTGTTTACGGTTTTCCGTGCCCTCTCTCTCCGTTGCTATCTCTCGAAAAGAAGTTGAAAATCCTATATCGCTTTTGAATATGTATATATATATTCCAACCTCTGTCTAATAATTAACATGCTTTCAACCAATGTGTGCAAAACAGTCATTACAGAATCTGCATCAGCCGTTACAGAAAGTAAAGGTCCAGTGACAACCCCAAACCAATTACTAGAAGACATATCGACTCCAGACACCTCAGCAGGTGTAGTTACCTCGGACAAAGACAAGCACAAAGCCAGATGCAACAATAACATACTAACGTTAAACTGCACAAATGCCAAAATTCGGAATATCTATATGTCTATAGAGAAAACTCCGTAAGTTTGGCTTTTTCGAGCATAATAAGGAATATCTCATAAATCACACAGTCACCGATTTGACTCAAAAACTATAACTATCAGGAAAACTGAATAAAAACGTGAACAAGTTATTTAATTTACGTAATGCAAACTTCCAAATAATTCTATTCGTACTCATTGTAACCCACTCATAGTAATTCTACGCCAGGCTACCTCCCATTTATCATAAATAAATAAAAATTACACAGAGCGGTAAAAATCATTTTTTAAATACCCAGGTATATGGAAAAGGCAGAAGAGTGTTGTAACGGAAAGCAGAGCTGTCGTATCGAAACAAATATCAACGAGGGAAACATTTGTTCCTCCTGGAATGAAGAATTATGGATCAAATACGAATGTGACGAAGGTATGCCATTTAGGTATTTTCTTCGAAGAGAAAATTTCATAATATATATATCTGGTTTGATGAGACAATCAAACACTGTAATTACATATTTATTACAGTGATGTTTCACGGTTTCCTATTACAATTCGTCTCAAGTAACTGAGAAAGAATTTTTATTTTAGATAAGATGCGATACAAAAGATCTAAAAAAAGTAACGGAAAAAAAGGAAAAGCGGAAAAAGGGAAACATTTTTCCTCTGGTACTATTTGCACCGCTACAAGTGGGTCTGACACAAGTGGATCAAGTTCCTGACAACTAAGATAAGAAGCTAATAAATGCCTATTTAACGCCCTACTCAACGCGAACGTGAGCATATACAATTAATAATTCACAGAACAATTATAAATTATATAACAATAAAGACACAAGTGGATCAAGTTCCTGACAACTAAGATAAGAAGCCAATGAATGCCTATTTAACGCCCTTACACGACGTTAACGTGAGCATATACAATTTATAATTTACAGAACAATTATAAATTGTATAACAATAAAACAAATTGTAAACGATTTTGCCAACATTAACCAGGGAGAGGTATTTACAACTGGGATTTCTGTACTAAACTTAAGCATGGAATAAATAATTTGAGGCGCATCATTTGTGTAATACATATGGTTCAGAAAACTGGACATTGCGAACAATTCTTCGACATTGGATTTTAACATAAAAATATGTTATTGGTCAGCTTTGGTAATTTTTTGAGCCTGTGGTTAACTCTCCGATAAGATGACGCACACAAAAGAATATAGAACGATTGTCTTTCTCGCTGTACCATGGCCGGCTAAGAAGAAAAATAGTGTATGTTTTGCGATAAACTGTGCTGCACACTTCCGAATTATATATATATAAATATGTTTATATTACACTTTCTTCCGTCATGTGCGAACCATTGTTCTGCGTTTTCATTTTCCCTGCATTTACAATTCTGTCTAACATAATATATCGAATTAACCCATTATTCACACGTGAAGTACCTTTTTCATTTTATAGGTCAAACAGCTTCTTTGTATGATATGTTCTTGCGTATTTTTATTATATTACGCATATACGAGTAAGGCTAAAAAGAAACGGGACTGACGTCACAGATTGCGCAACACGATTAACCATCGGTAATCAACACTTTTGCAGTGTGGCGTAATATGTGTTCTTTGCTTAACAGCTGTTTTGACACAATATCGCAATTATTTTTGCTTTTCAGGAACCATAAGTGAATGTGATTAATGTCTTGTTGAAAAAAATGCTGTGCAAGGTCTGATGGAGTGGCCATAGGGGGTTCAATTAAAGAATGACGAAAAATGAATGTAAATGAATTTTTGATAGAAATGTATTAATAAACATTCTCATGTAGTATAAATCGACCTGATAATGGAACTCGCTAGATGCAACATTTGCACATATCGCAGATTCACATAGCCTACACATGCTGAGATTAGAATCAGTTCCAGGTAGAGGAATCCGAGCTTGCTTTGATTTTAGACTTGATATGTTTTAGTTAAATGCCGAATAAATATTGACCCTTTGTGGGGATTGCTTGCATTTTATATAACATAAGAATTTAAGATGATTATTTTTGAAGTCTGATGATTAGACAATGACTCGACAACGCGTGGTATACATTCCATTTAGAGACAGATATATCATCTTCAATCATCGAACTCACTAACAGTAAGTTCCTTCATTCCAAAACATGCGAGAGACCTCCAGAAGTATGTGCACCAAGATGGCGCACAACCTGAACATAGTATGTGTACACATCCAGGCATGTACAGCCCTAGATTAATTTTTTTCTCTCTTTTATTATGTAAATGGCGCGGCGGTGTGGCTAATCGTGCTAAGCGTTAGGAATACGCACCGCATCTCTGATTACTCTGCGTTGGTTCGCAGGTTCGAATCCCATACGGGGATAGTTATGTGCGAGAGGATTGCTGGGCTCCTCATCGCCGTAGGGTGGTTCACGTAACCTTCCTCCACCATCAAGTCCATGCTACCGAAAACAAAAAACTAACTAACCGAAAATCGGGACAATGCGGATTTTATTTCGAGGTTTAGTGATAACAACACTTCTACCGTGTCATCGCGGATATATGCGTACGCCATAATTAGCTGTAGATCTCTACTTGTCTTTAGATTAGAAAAAAAATAGTTTACTATTTATTTAGATTACAGAGAAGAATCCTCCCTACAAAATGTTATGTGACGTATTGAACATAATATTTATCACATAACAATAGAGTGGTTTTCTTTCTCGCTGAACTGAGTCATAAATCAGGGATAAATCATAGATGTGCTGCCTTCGTTAAAAAAAAACACTCTTGTAATACGGTATTATCAAATAAGAAAAGTATTTATGACTACCAAAATATATGAAAGAGTCATTTGAGTCTATCGGACGGGACAGCGGTCAGCTTGGAAAACCGGGACTGTCCCGGTTGGCTAAATCGGGACCTGTGGGAGAGGTTCATTCTGCACATTCGTGTTTCAGGTAAGCACTAGTGCATGAATCCTGTCTCCTAAATTGTCAGCTCATGTATATTTTCATAATTACAAGATGAATGAACAAACATACATCCTGTTCACTTACATACAACGACAGTGGAAGTCCCACTTGAATGATTTTCGTTGAAGCGAATATGAAAACAACATTTGCATTGTCTGTTGCCATATTTGTTCCAGGTAATAATTTACTTTATTCCAATATGACAAATAATTCATATATTTTTGCATGTAATCTTTTTAGTACTACAAGATATATGTACAAAGTTCAATATAGGAATAAAAGAATAACAACAAAATACCTTATAAAATTCATAAAGTTTGTAATTTTGTCTACAGGGGTGACGTATGTGGTAACAGCACATCTGAGTAGTTGTCTTGGAAGTGGCGTCGCTTTCAAATCAGAAATATTCAAATGCGCCAAGTTAGGTTGTATTCCAAGTATATTCTGGTTTAAAACATAATCAATTTCATGTGCTTCGTGACATATTTTATCATCTTGCGGCTGTTTTTTATTGTAGTGAATGCAGGGATACAGTTCAACTCAAAGTGACTAACTATAACACGTAGACACTTTTGTTCAACTGCAGCAGTTAGGTTTCATTTAAAATATATTCTGGTTTATAATGAAATCAATTTCATCGGCTTCATGACATATAAGATAAGGTTTTATTTTGATTCATTTGCAAAAAACAAAATAAACATATATACACTGAGGCGAAGAATCTGAAAAGTGAAGAAAACCTAATAAAATAAGTTTAAAACGTATTAAACGCGTTCACTTACTGAAGAAGAAAGAAAAAAAGCCACAAACAAATAAACATGAATATTGACGACGGTCATTACTCAGGCGTTTCACTTTGTAATCAGGTTGCGTGCAATTTTTTCAAAAACAAAACAGTGAACTAAATACCCGCTGTGCATGTGATGCGGCATGTAAACAAACATTCGGAAAATCCTAGAATGGGGTGCAAATGCATGTTTCCCGCTCCATGCTCAAAAATCAAAAATATATCTAGTAATATCTACTAAAACGTTGACACACAAATGTAAAAATCGATTGTAAGTTTTCAAATATCAGTTCGTGCAGTTTAACTTTTGTATATCCAGTCACATTTTTGAGCAGAGCATAATTTCGTTTAAACTTATCTTCACAATTTCTTCAAAAATCTTCCATTCTGCACCCACGTTGCACATTCCCAGTCCATCAGTCAAAAATCTGTTATTTGTTTCTTGATGTCACTAATTCTGAGATATACTCCTCGAATACATATCTTCGGCTCGAGATAGCCATGTCCGCTCGTGACGGCGGTCGGTACTGAATGAAAATCATCTCACATCTATTTTTCATTGTAGTGAATACAGAGATATAGTGATTATTTACTCTTAAATAAGAAGTTCCTATAGAAAAAGTAGGGTATTTTATCACAAAAATACATGTACTCAGGTATGGTAATACTGTAATATGCTAAAAAGTTAACAAAGTATTTGGACCATATCAGCAACATCATGGATGATCCCATGGCAGCTGGAGATGCTACAAAAGTGAGTTGAAAACAAATCATTCCTAACTTACAGTATTACAATTTGTTGTTTTCTGTAGCAATATTGAATAGCATTTTTTTTATTTATTCCATACCTGTACACGATACACCATTCTCAGTGTTATTTCAACAAACTGTATCATCCTGAATCATTTGGTACTACACAAAATTAGGCTTTTTGAATCATTAGTTCAGGATTGAACCTTGTTATCTTTCTTACCTTTTTGCTGAGAGTAGGTAATATGAAAATCCTATCTATTTGGATAACATTTGATTCAAAGATACATTGAGCCTTTCTGTTCATTCTATCTAATCTAATTCCATTATTTTGCTTGAGATCATGCAAGAGAGATTGATCGGAGCTGAAAAAGATACAAAGGAATTAGCTCAAATGTTGGTTGATCTTGGTATCAGTCCACCTAAAGAAAAACATGAGAGTGAATTGTGAGTTTACGGATTTAATTAACTATTTCAGTATTTTTTATCTTAATTTTTTTTAGAAAACTCTGCTTATTTTATATTCTTTATATTATATATTATATATATTCTTTAACACACATTATTATACAAAACTTTTTTTTTTGTGGCCTAGTGGTTAAAACATTAGGTTTAACTGTTTTTGTGCAGATTCCACACCTCGGGTTCAAATCTCATGCCATCCACCTCATTCAGGGTGTAATAAATTGTGTATGCTATGCTGAACTGGAAAGATTCCGGCCTTTCCAAATAAAAGTAACTTGTGTTATTAAATGTTGGGACATATCAGTGGCTGCTCATATAGAACCTTTTTTTATAAAGAATGGCATGAATAAAGCTTTGTATAAAAAAACAGTTCAACTGTCCAACACAACATTATTAAACCCTAAAGTATATGGAAGGCATTGATATTTCATAATTCATATAGATCAGGGGTTTCCAAACTTTATTGGCCGCGGGCCAAAATTAGAATCGGAAAGATGTTCGCGGGCCGGAAGAATGTAGCGCCCAAAACTTTCATTTGACATTTTTTTTGAAACATGCTCGTTCGACTTATAATAGCGCTCAATGTTGTATTCCTTCAGAACTGGAATAGTTCGTTGGCAAAGTAGACAAATCTCTATAAAGTTTGATACTTTTCAATGGAGAAATACGAACACTGCCATTTATTCAAGAAACGTCAGTTTTCTGAGTCTAGTTTTCGTTTGATTTCTGACATCTTTAAGCTTTCCTATATGACTGATAACTAAATTACTTTCCTTTGTAATTCTAACACCGGTACCCATAATTGATATACTGGTACAATTGAATTGTTATGATAAACACGTGCTTGAACTCTGATAATGACATAAATTAGCGGTATCTAGATCGCAAAAAGGTAGAAATAAAATCTGTTGAACACTATTTCACGTAAGCTCGGCGGGCCACTTTAAATCGTTACGCGGGCCGGATTTGGCCCGCGGGCCGCGGTTTGGGAACCCCTGATATATATGCTTTGAACTGCCAGTGTGAGGTTTAAGAAATATTTCAACATGGCCACTTATAAAAGTAAAACTATATTGAAATAGCCCAATCTAAGGTTATTCAATTGTATGTTATTTATTCTTGTTTTTCTATATTTTCAGACCAACTCCTGATAATAATGATGGTGTAATGACAATTGAACGACTTCTTTCTGATGCAAATGCATTGATATCTAACAACAAAGAACCTCAAAAAATTGTTTCATTTGGACCAACTGTTGAAGTTCCTCTCAGAAATAAAGAAAACAAACCTCCTGTGCAATCTATACTTAAAAAATCGACTGTAACACCTTTGAAACTTCCTATGGTATGTTTTCTTCAGATATCAGTGCTCATGAAACTTTCCAAGTAATATTTTAGTTGCGTATATGTTACTGTTAATAAGAAATTGTATCATGGTATGCTTATATAGTGAGTTGTCTTGTGAATGTGATGATTTTCAAATTGGTGTCATTGAACATGCGTCAGCACTCAATGTTACAATCGTATCTTTCCAAAATGTTTGATATTGCGACATCAACACATATTAATTACCGTAAAGGGATTCTGTATACTTTATCCTCTTGAAAGGAACTTTGTATTTAATAATTATGAAGTAATTTGGAATGATTGAACGATTGATGAGTCTTGCATCACGCTATCACATTATGTACCTTTTCATCTGACCAAAGTCAAACATTGTTCTGATTGTCTCACGGAGTCGTAATCTGGTGAAACATTACTAATGAAATTTGTGAAAGTGTGATGCAACACCTTCAAACCATCCAACGTAGACATTTGGACCTTGATGATATATTCTTACACTCAGTTCATAGAGATACAATAACATAAAGGCAGAGAGAACTGACATGAGTTTATAAACTGTGTTTTAAATAGTGGATCATATCTAACCTTTACTCCATGAATTCCCTTCCATAGAGTGAAAAGGAAAAATCAAATGGAAATGCAATAGCTGCACAATATCAACAATTAGTAGGGAGACTCTGCAAAACTGAAAGTGTAATTCAGTCGTTGAAGTTATCATTGTGTTCACTACAAACCAACAAAGAAGTTTTAGAACGAGAAAAGAACTCTGTCATTCAGAGGTGAAATTGATTTTTGACAATGACCTATTTTGAAAAATATGTGGAATACATTTTCAATGAGGATGCAAAATATTAATGCTTTTGATGGACTGTATTCGTAAAAGCATGTCCCCTACATAGCATGGCATAAACAGCTGTGTATTTTTATAAAAGGTGTTTGTTATAATTGCAACACAAATGTAGCTGTAAACAATGTCATATCAATTTGCGATTTGTAACCTTTATTTGCTTCTAAAGTGCTATTTGTTTGAAAAGTATAAAAAGGAGTTTCAAGTTGTTGTTGGTTGGTATCTTTGATACAGAACAAAAGATATCATATTTCATTTTATAATAACTATTCTTGCTCATTCAAAATTGTGTTCGAATGCCTGGATGATATCCGTTTTTTTTTCTCACTTGATTTTTACATTCATGTATACTATTTTACTTCATATAAAAGGGATGTTTTTTTCACCAAGTGTGTACTATTTCATCATTTACCTTAATTGTCATGCGCAGGTTGAAGGAAGAAATCAATGAAAGAGAATCTGAAATATCTTTGAACAAAGAAAAATTGAGAGAAGCAAATAGAAATGCAACTGATGCTGATAGGAGATGGCAAGAAGCAGAACACGAAGTTAAAAATCTGCATCAACAAGTACAAGATCTATCAGAAAAACAGGTTATTTCATTTTCATTGCCCAAAATTACCTTACTGGTGTGAAAATTAAAAATTTGAAGATTTAAACAAAAATATTGCATATAAATATGAATCAATGGAAATGATTCTAGTTTTCTTTATTTTCAAAAAAGTTCTTGTATCAAAGTTTCAGCCTTTAATCAGATATGAAGGAAGCGAAATTGAGATGAGAAATTCATAATATTGAAAAACCAATGACAAATGTTGAGGAAGGATTTGCTTCACCAGAAGTATTTTTATTATGGTGGCTTATCACGCTCAAACCGTGGCAAAATGGTGTCCCTCATGTGTGTGAAAATTCCTTCAGAAAAATGTTGAAAATCTTGTTGAAACCGTAATCGATAATTCACATAACAGAGATCGTGATTTTCATTTTATACAGCAAGGAAAAATTCTGATGTCAGATAATGAAATGAAAGTTTTCCGAGAAAAATCTGCAAAGCGAGTAGCAGAAGCAAAAGAAGAGTTGTTAAAAGAACGAAGTTTAAGAAAATCTCTTGAAGAATCTCATGCTTTGTTGTTAACAAGAGTCAACGATGTAGAAGAAAATGTTGAACATGAAAGACAACAGGTTGTGTGAATATAGGAATGTCCATTTACAAATGCATCAATTTTCTAAATGTTGATCAAAAATAGCAACGGGTTAAGTGGATATTTGAGCTTCCACATCAACCTCGATATCGATACCTGCAATAATACAGTACTGTTGCTTGTGGCTGTCACTTGTGAATATAATATGTATAGTTCAAAATGCAAAGATAAGGTTTGGTATTTTTTTTTATTACCTAAATAATTGCTATTTTTGAAAATACTTGTTCCTTGCGGTAATCCCCAAACTTCTGTTTTTCATTATTTAATTTTTGAGAAAGAGAGCTCAAAAGAGTGGCCTGGAGCTGTAATTTTACCTGAAAACACTATATATAAATATTGTAAGTCTTGCACCAAGAGCTTCGTTATTCACGTATTGTCGCTCACTCAGGTTTGGGCGATTGACATTTTAGACAAATTGCAAAAGTGAAACCTCTAGTTACTACAAGTAGGTGAGTATGCTATGATATCTAGATTTTATATTACAAGGAAGAAAAATGTCAAACTTTATGTTTAGGTTGCCAATTTGAGAGATGAATGTTTGAAACTCAGAAAAGAGAATGAAAGTTTTAAAGATAAAGGAGATGAATGGACAAAACGTGCAAAAGAAATGGATGTTGTTTTAAAAAACTTGAAAGAAGAATTGGATGCAAAAGAACGAGCTATTAAAGTGTAAGGAATTATCATTATTATTATATTTATATATATCTACTTTATATCAACTATTAATTTATCTACTTTGAATGCTGTGATTCGTTATGTGAACACCAACTAGCTTCAATATTGCCTGATTTCAAAGGAAAAGTAGGTGCAACAGTCGTGGTACTCTCGTAGCGTGTGTACCAGGTTAGGGTTAGGCCATAATTTCATTCCGATTTTCCTTATTTTAGTTCTATTATGAGTTCGGGGACTGTCTGTGTTAGCCAAGTGAATACATCCCTTGCCCATAGTTTTCAGTTCATTTACACAACTTGATGTAAAGTGGGCGAACAAAATTAGTTATTTCCATATTAATACACAAACTTCTGGAGCACCACAGTAGTTTGCATCTTACTGTTAGCTCATAGTGAAAAGGTAGGAAACATAGACATCGACATTTCGCTATTGTTTCCCTCATTAAACAATGATGCTAATTTTTTTATATGACGCTTTTCATGAGTTTGGCTCTGAACAAGGTCATATCCAAACTCAAATTTACTAATTATATTCTGAAATCATGTTTGAGGATGTCAATAAGCTAACCAAAGCAATTGTGAAATTTAAAGGATTCAACTGTTTTTTATTTACTTTATGGTATTTTTTGAATACACGTTATCGGATATCTATTATCGATAGTTTTAATATATCCACAACTACATAATGCTATTCATTACAATAAACAGGCTGGTTAATGAACAGAATGCAAGAGATCAGGAATCAGATAAAATTTCAAATCATCAATATAATCTCAACAAACAATTGAAAGAATGTAACGTTGTTCTAGATGCACAGAAGGTTAGTTTTAATTTAATTAAACATACATTTATAGTAACTATGCTCCATATAACGCAAGTTTAGCTTGACTGGGGATGTGCCCATATATAAACCCGCCAATGCTCTTTCTTTAGATGGCATCATAACCAAAGCTAAAACATATGTGGGCCAAGCTATCATACAGTAGTGGTTAATCTCCTGTTGCTCAAATTTGAATACGACTGAATACTTTTAATGCTTGAATAATATCTCTATAACTCTTTTCAAATTATCCTTTCTCGGATAATGTGCTTCATAACATTTGGAATATGGCATGTTTTATATGGCTGATTAGAAAAGTGTGTGCCTGCTACTGCCCTTTCGTCTTAGTAAATCCTTGTAGCCAACTGACTGGATTCGTAGTTGATTTTATGATTCATTAGATAATTAAGCAATCCAATTTAAAAAAAACCTTACATACTGTTATTTCACAACATTTCCAACATGGTTGTTCATGTCTTAGCATTAAAATAAACTGTTTAGTTTGACTTTGGTTAGATGAAACATCACAGAATAAAGTTTGTAAATGTATCATGCGGTCCTTTAAATTCAAAATACTCAATGTAGCATGTTTTTGTTGAAAATTCCACAATACATAATTTTTGACTCTACTTTCACTCAATATTTTATTACTTCATTCATATTTTTCAATTCTCAAATGATTTTTCTCTATTTAATACAGGCCGCATTCATAAAACTAGAAACACAGAATAAAAATCTTCAAGTCGAAATAGAAGACAAAAAGACTAAAATCAATTTACTTGAAGAACAAATAAAGAGAAAAGATTTTGAACATGGAAATGATCTGCGAGCAAAAGAAGTTGAAAATCAGAATAAATTAGAATCAATGGAGAAATATATGAAGAAGGTACAATCTATGACTGATTTTAGTCTATTGTTTGTCTATGGAAAGTAAGACAAATAATAAAACTTCTGAATGTAAAGTGATTGGGCTAAATCAAACAAAATTATGTCCATATTTTTTAGGGTTATTTCACTTTTGTTAGGCTATGAGTAGACTTTGGCGGTGTGGCGCATCATGCTAAGCGATGTGCTCGCCACCGCACCTCTGATTATTATGCGTCGGTTGAATTCTGTGAGGGATAATTATGTGCGAGAGGATTGTTGAACTCCTCGCCGCAAGGTGGTTCATCTAACTGCTGGTCTGTTATCGCTTCCTCCACAATCAAGTCCATGCATCTGAAACAAATAATTGGCTAAATAATTCCATACCCTACATGGGCTGGTATCAGTCAGAGACCGAAGACTTATCGATCGAAAGTTAGGGGATCCCCCAAATCAGCGCTCTTACTCCATAGTGACACCTTGTGTCCCATCACTAATAAATAATAACTCGCTAATTATACGACATAATTCATCCAAAATCAATAGGCTTCTGGTACGACATATGATGAATGCACATGCAAAATCTGGAGCAGATTCAATCACGCTTTCGTGAGATATCGCGTGCATCTAACAGACAAACAGATAAATACCTATCAACATACTTACCGATAAAAATCGATAAGTAATAACTATCATAGATTACCAATTACCATGTTATTATATATCCATTACTGGTCATATTCTTGGCTGATAATAATACATTTTGACCCTGTCATAACAAAGACAAATTACCTATTGTTTCCCTTGTAAGTCAATTTATCACTTATTGATTAACAGGATGTTAAACTTGAAAAGACAAATGCAGAGAAATTAGAAGATCGAATCAGAATATTAGAAGATTGTGTTCAACAACAAGAAAAAATTATTCAAGAAAGAGAATCTGATATTGAACAAAATACTGAAGATTTTGATAAGAGATTGGATGAGGAAAGACAGGTAAGAACTTGAATCAAAATGATTTCCTGCTATGTGAATTGATAGAACCTAAACTAATAGAGAATCAGAATTAAACTGTCTTCATCCTATTCAAAATTATTCTAGGGTGTACTCATATATGGTAATCGGATGTCAGCACAAGTTCAAGGCTTTCTGAATCAATTTGTATGCAAGGTTTCAAATAGGGCATTGTGTTTGGAAGAAAATATTTGTTATATATGAGCGCTTTTACGTTTGGTGCCAGGTTTCCGTGCCGTGTCCCATGTCTTTTATATGGATACCAGTAAATTTATCCGACAAAACCCGGCAAAAAGTGATATAACCTTTTTCAGAAATTACGAACTGCAACAAAGGAAAGAGATGAAGCTTTAAGATCGAAAGAATCAGCAAGTAAAGAATTATCAAAAGGAAATTTAGGTCTTAAGCAAGACAAGGATGTTCTTGAACAAAGACTTTGTGAATTGCAGGTAATAATTTTTTTCTTGCTGTATGATTCATTTAAATTAAGATACAATAAGGTGAAACTCACTTAATAGAAAATATACTGATACAGAGCAAATCAACACAATTAATAAACTGTACATATATACGAACACCACAATCAGAAAAGGCTTATCGAGGTGTGGTTGCTCCAAACATGAAATAATATTGCCTATTGCCAAATTAGTCCCGGATTTTTCTGACCAATAATAATGTTGTCAGTTGTCACACAGGCTGACAATGATCAATCTCTTTTCATACAACTTTTATTTTCACGTCATAGTTTTAGCTTTATACTTTTTTTATATAAGAGATTCTCATTTGAATGATAGTAATGTCTCAAGGCATTTTAATGCTATTTGGCCGTCTTTCTTCATTGGCAATGCCCGGTATTTTGATAGCCTGCTGTACAGATATTTTTTGTGACCTCTACTCTGCCTAAGTCTAAAGTTGCATACTGAATATATATCCACTTCTGAAATCTTGACTAATTTAGTATTTATTATTCACTATAGCTTGAATATGATGCTCTGGTGGAAGCAAAAAGAATGGTAGAAGAAGAAAATGGTAGATTGATGGAAAGATCATCTGCTGTTCAACAACAAGAATCATCTTACAAAAGAATGCAGGATGCATTGACTAGTAACAATGAAGCAAAAAGCAGATTAGCTTATGAAAAAGGGAAATTACAGGTGAATGCCTAGTTTTTGAAAAAGTGTAAATTAAATTATAATTCGTTAAGTAGTAGGAAAATTTTTTTCTGAAGCCCACTGACTTTGATTGAGCTTGCTCCTGATTCTGGGATAACAAATTTTGATAGCTAAAAAATTGGCTTTGTCAGCCTTTTTCAGTTTCTTTGGAAAAATCTAACAATCACACACTTTTGGAATTGTATTGACCTCCAACTTGACAAACATGAGAATATGACTTCTAGTCTAAGCAAATACCACAAAAATACAATATACATGAAATTATGTAAAGCAAAAATACCATTTAATCTTATGGAAGTGCAATTGGGTGCAAAGTACACGGTATTTTTGCTGATGTGATGTTTTATACTTTTGGAATTGAATCTAGTATAAATGGCCAAACTAGAGATGTAAACACTTTTTCTTTCAATTCTGCACTGATTTGTTGTAAATATTCATATCATGCGATCATCTCGCAGATTCAACGTAATAAATTGATCATCTCAAATTATAAAAAAGCTAACAAAATTTATTTTACATTTACTCGTGCTTTTTATAATTCTTAAATTAATAAGAGACATTCCAGGATCATTGAGGAAATATAGGGCCCAACTGGTGTTAGCAAAACGATGTAATTTGCTGACATCTGAATGTTTATGCAAAAAAATCACCAGCGAGTGCTATGGACAAAACACTAGCAGTATATATGTATAGTAATGAGAATTATCAAAGGCAAGGCGTGATATATATAAAAGTATGATTATACGTTTTTACCATAACACGCCATGGTAACATTTTTCTGTATAGAAATTCAAAATTTTATCATTTTGCTAACAAACACCTGTTATGTTCCCTATAAATAGTAAACATGAATACACCTGTTGACAATCATACGTTATTCCAGACTCGTGTTGAACAATTGGAAGAAGAATTACAATCACTAGCTTCTGTTCAATCTCAATTACTTCAAGTCAAAAGTACCAATCATACCTTGGAACAAAGATACCAAAGAGCTGCTTCTGAACTTGCTGCTGCTAAAATTGAAAGACAAAGAATGGAAGCCGAGGTTAAACAGGTAGGACAGTCAGTTATTTGTAAGGATCAGAGGCATTGTGACCATACATAAAAAAAATTTCATGTCTAAATCTATTCCGTGCAAATGTATGATTTTAAAAAATTTGATTGAAAATGGCCGATTTACCATATTAACATACCACACATTGCCTGGATAGAAATATTGTTGTGATGTAATGGCATACACGAACTGGATGTTCGATAATTTCATCTCTTTTCCAATAGCTCACAAAATGAAAAATAAATTTGCTCTTTCATCATTTCATAATATGTTTGTAATATGGAGCATCAGTACCATTTTAAAATTGTGTTTTATATTCAGATGACTGTGGCAATGAAACGAAAAGAATCAGATTTTACATTAGCAATTGAGGCAAGAGATCAAGCAATGAGAGAAAAAGAAAGTGTTGAAAATCAGATGGAAACTGTCAAGGTAAATAAGCTTATGCTGAAGTAACAAACTTGGAAATACCTAAACAATTTGGTTAAAAAAAGTTTTTAAAATTGTTACCTGAAAACATCCTTTCAAGAATCTGGGTGATGAAGTTATATGATAATAAAATTAGCAAAAGTATTTTTAAACTGAGATATAAAATGATTGAGTTTCAGCCATGGTTGAAATTAAAATTCAAAGGTTTTGTTCTGTACTTTTGGATGTTGAATGGTTTCAATAGAATTACAAATTTGCTACACAACTCCATATGCATTTATTTTACTAAGCTTTCTTGACAGTTCATTAGATTGGTGAGTAAAACTATGAGACTAGTCTCATGAATATGAATTCATATGATCTAACATTGAAGAAATCCCAAATGAAATAGGTTGAACCCGCAAAACTAAAACATATTCTCTTTTTGCCTGGCCATGGTTTTCATAAAAAAATTCACATAAAATTTTAGAATACCTCTAACATTTCCAGCACGACTGTTGTTAAACAAGAATTTTTAGGTTTTTGAATAAAGTTACAATAATGTTCTTTATTCCCATTTTAATAAAGGAAAATGAAAGTAGCAAAGTACATCTACTGAAAAGAAGTTTAGCTGAATGTAAATCAGATAATGCAAAGATGGCAGGGACTCTAGAAAATATCATGATACGACATAATGATCTTCAAGAAACACTCGATTCTCTGCAAACACAACTTGGAAGAAAGGATACTGAAGTTGATGCATTGCAAAGGGAGAGGTATAGATTTTTAATATCATGTTGTTCAGAGCGGGATTTGTCAAACTGGGCTCCCTGTCCTCTTATTGGCCATGGAGATGTTCTCTATGGCCTGTGTACCAATTACGCTCTCCACAATATTCAAAAATAGGTTGACTGTGAATTTTTTAACGCCTCGACTGTAATGCCACAAGTATTTGGAAAGGAACCATGAATCACCAGGGTGTAATAAATGGGTAGGCAACCAGAAAGTCTCTAATCCTTTCAAATTAGATGCACTTTACATATTTCTTGTGGAAGAGCCTTGTAGGGGTGAAAGGAATACAAAGATGTATAAAATATTTCTTGTAGTTGGCGCTTGTCACTGCACCTCTGATTACACTGTGTGAGTTTGTACTTGAGTGGGAGAATTGTGTGCGAAGAGAATTGCTGGAATTTTCGCCACCACTAGGTGAGTCACGTACATCAGCTAGTTACGATCCAAATGAGAGGTTGTGGTTTAGCATATGATAAATCCCCTTATCGACTTTTCTCTCATTTGAATGAATTTGAAAATCCTATCCTATGCGATGTTCACTCCTAACATAAACATCCTCCTAAGGATGTGTATGAGTAGCCAATCAAACATTCAGGTATTGCAATTGAAACCCAGATTTTCTAGGCTTGCCATGGCCCATTGTTTGGCACATGTTCACTAAACGAGGCTTGCCACAACCCTTTTTTTATATGTTATTCCTAACCCCCACCTGGCTCCGTCATGCAAAAATGGTTGTGGCACGCCAACTAAAAGTACCTAATATGTCGTGTTGTGAACTTGGCTCCATTATTTCTCTGGTGAAATCGTTGTGCTAATAACATGTTCTTCTACCATTTTTCTCAGGCAAGCGCACATACAACAAATTCAAGCTATGCATGTTGAAATGGAAAAATTGAGAGCTCAATTACAAGAAACAAATACAAACGAACAAGCAAGAATAACTCCTGTACTTGCAGCATTAGAGAAAGCAAGACAAGATAATGATCAACTTGCTACCTCACTTGATGATGTTCTCAAAGCAAATTCACAAATGAAAGAGGAATTGCAAAGGTTACAGGTAACTCAGAGCAGCAGTTCATAGTTTGGATGTTTTTGGGAAATTTGAGAATAGATTGATTTTAGATTAGGATTGAAACATAAAATGAGTCCCAAAACTAATCAATTATTCATTATGCAACCCAAGTGTGAGATGATAAGGAAAGTATTGTTAGCTCTCAATATGTTTAAGATTAAGTCAAACTATCACACCTCACCAAGAATTTAATACTTTGGGTATGGGATGCTGGTTCTCTCGAAAATAGTGGCTTTTCTATGTATCAGTGGATACTGGTACAGAGCCTATTTTGGAATCAAGGCATGGAAACCCTACGTCAGTCATATGCTCATACCAGTGTGCAATAAATTGGACATGGCACCAGTGCTTGTATATGATCAGATTGAGCCATGTTCAGATTAAAGGTGTGAAAGCGCCATATAAAAAACCTAATAAGACATGCGGTAAAGTGTTTCTCATCTAATGCATCTCTGTCTACAAGCAAACATAATATATTCGGAAAATTTTCCCCCATCTTGATATGTGTACTTTTCATGTCAATGCGAGTTTCGACTAGATATGTTCGAAGTTTTAAGTTGAAAGATCAAAAATAGTTATTATTTGAAAATGCTCCATTTAAAAAAAAACACACAATTTGAGACCTTTGAAACTTATCTGGCAATTACAGTGAAATAATCTATTTGTGTTGAATTTCGCTCTGCAATAAACAGTTGTGGGAACTCGGAGAAAGTTTAAAATAAAAAAATTCAAGTTTGACTGAAAATTAAAAAAAATTTGGCTCCTCACTTCAGGCTGATGGAAATTTCGACCTCATCTTCTCCCAAAGAAATCAAATTTTGATGATGAAAACTTTGTGACATATGTAAGAATTCCTTAATAAACAGTTAGGATTGCTTAGTCAACTTGATATTTTTTCAAATTCTTTTGAAAATTTTGATTTCAATCATTACCGTGAAAAGTCAAAATTTCACAACGGCTATGTAGAAATTTTGCTCAGATGAGTTAGAAATTATGATTCCGACTCTGATAAAATCATGCCAAACTCGGTTTCGTGGCTTCCATATTCATATTTCCAACATTGCTTCCATATATTATTAGAATGAAGTAGACACAAATCAGCGAGAAATCAACTCAATGAAAAGAAGAGAAGATGCTTTATCAATTGAAGCAGAAAACATGTCACAAACTTATGCAGAACGAATGCAACATACTAAAGATCAGTTTGAAAGAGAAAGAGACGTTTTGAGAAAACAACTTCAGTCACAAATTCATGAGGTACAGTTTTTTTTTTGTACATATTTTGATTTTCGCTTTGTTAGCAATGTTCATAATTAAATTCACCTGCTACAAATGACATGTATGATTTTTAAGCATTTAATTAAAAAAACACTTCTCAGAGATTGATGTTTATTTTCTAATAAGCTCTTGGATCGCATTTGGTTGTGTGCTCCATCAGCAGTTTAAGTATGACAGTAGCTCCTGACTCTTACACAGTTTTTTAAAATTCAGACTTCATCTTATGGGAATGCAAATTTTCTATTTTCTGATCCGACTATGATAAATTTAGAAAGTCAACTGGGATTCAGACAACCAGTTAGGTTGTTTTATATAATGAGACATTTGTAAATAGGATTATTTAATACTGACAGGTGAAGAAGGCACTCGAGGCATCACAGTCTCGATGTTCACAACTAGCAAAAGGAAATTCTGAATTGAGAGGAAGGTTTGCTGAAAAGGAAAGAGTGCTCGAAAAACTGAAAGAACGAGCAAAAAGTCAGAAATCCAACCTTGATCGTTTACAAAAAGAAAAACAGCTGAATCTTCACACTAATGAAAAAATTAAGGTGCTTTATGAATTTCTAATAACGATTGATGTTCTCTGCACAACCTGATTCTTGCTTAATGATGGCAATTTCATGGCTATTATCCTTTTATAAACTTGGCAAAATAAAAGATCTAAGACTGTATACGTCTGAAAAGACATTGTAAAAGTGAATTCCTGAAATTTCCATGGATGGCAAGAAGTATGAAAAATAAGTATCCCAACTTTGTTGTCCATTGTCCTTTGAAATTTGGACTTCCAACTGACTACCCAATATGAAAATTTCAAAATTTTGACTGCTAGCTTCACTTTGTTTTTGCTATTGTTTTTATGTCACAGGAAATCAATTCAGAACTTCGTGAACTAGATAAAGTGAAGAGTTTATACATGGAGAAAAATAGACAACAAGCAGCTACTATCAATACATTCAATGCGGAGGTGGGATATTGAGCCACAGGGATTTTGTGGAACCGTTTTGGTTCATTATCAATTTACAATTCATTTCTGAACAGTTTTCTATGCAAATAACTCTGCTTTAATATCATACCCTTTGAATAAATTATGGATACTGCTAAATAATTTCAACTTATATCATTATTCTCTGATTTTTACTGATATCATTGTAATGCTAAACAGAGAGATCGCATACTACACATGCTTCGGCTCTCCAGAAGTGTGTGTACCAATATGGAGGGAACTTTTTTAGTTCGCCTACTTTACATCAAGTTATGTGAAGGGACTATATCTATCGACAGGCGGTATATTCACTTAGCTAACACAAACAGTCCCTGAACTCGTAATTTAACTAAAATAAGGAAAATCTGAATAAAATTATGGCCTCACCCTAACCTGGTACACACACTATGGGAGTACCCATACTTCAGCGTTATAAATAAGCATCTCTATATTTTTCTTTTTAATTATATGTAGTTGCTTATAAAATGCTACAGTTATTCTCAGATCCCAAGAAAACTACTCACAGATATAAGTAATCCATAACTTTTTTTTGGTTTAAGTGAACACAACATTGAAGATTTTTAAAATATTTTTTGCATCAACAGGTCAGCTCATTGAAAACAGATATTCTTGCCTTGGGATCAGCTCAACAACATGTGAAAGATTTGAATGGAAGACTGGAAAAACAGTTAGAGAAAGAAAGGAATGAAAGAGTGACTTTGATGTCAAGGACAAAAGTGAGTAAATTTAGTTATTACTTATCGATTTTAATTGGTAAGTATGTTGATAGGTATTTGTCTGTCTGTCTGTGTGTATGTCTGTTAGATGCACGTGATATCTCACGAAAGCGAGATTGAATCTGCTCCAGATTTTACATGTGCATTCATCATATCTCGGACCAAAAGCCTTTTGATTTTGGGCGAATTATGTCGTATAATTAGCGAGTTATTAATTAATTAGTGATGGGACACAAGGTGTCATTATGGAGTAAGAGCGCTGTTTTGGGGAATCCCCTAACGTTCGATCGATAAATCTTCGGTCTCTGACCAATATTCTCGTTTCAAACCTGAAAGTTGCTATTACTGTTTGTTTGCTAAAAGTCTGTGTTAATTTGATACCTTGATACACATTAAACATTATTCAGTGCTCCCGATTGGCGCACAACCTGAACCCTAACCTGGTACACATACTAGGTTCAGATTGTCCGCCATCTTGGTGCACATACTTCTGGAGGTCCCATTATTCTACACCAACTAATGTGGAACTGATAAGGAACCCAAGAGCTTATCGAGCGTTGTCCAGGGGCTGTAAGTGAAGATATAGATATGATTCACTTGTTAATTATCCATCATTCTATATATTGCTTTCAACTGGGCTAAAACTATTTTGATTCTAGCACATTTTTAACCAATCTTGCTCGCTTCCATTGTCGCCACCATACCCACCAATTTTTTAAATTTTCATCACATTTTATTTTAAATATCACAGAGCTGCAAAAAGTAGACAATTTACCGAATGATAATCTGCTGATATAAATCCTTCTTATTTGTACTCAAGGTAATGACTTTTTCAACTGCTTGGCCAAAGCTATTTTTTCATTTGTGTGTAGGAATTACAGTCGCAATTAGACAAAACAAGAAAAGAGAAGCAAGAAGCTGATGAAAAGTTACAAAAAGTTCAGCTTGAGACTATTCATGTCCAGGAAAATTTGAATGTAAGTTTAATATTTATAGTAGTACACTAACATATAAAAAGATTTAAATAATATAACAGTTATTCAAATATTTCGAATTTGAAAATTCTATTCAGATATTCATACGCAACCAGGTTTTCATTTATTTATGCTTTTTTTGACTCAAGCTTACATATTATCGTAAATATCTATATCATGCTTACTTCATATTTGTTAAACAATTCTCTTCTAGACTTTCATGATAATAATAATTTTTTGCAGGAAGCTCAGACATGGTTCACACACAAGTTTGAGACGTTGCAGGCTGAGTTAAATAGAAGTAAAGGGATGAAACGAGGTGCAGAAAGTGAAAGCAAGGTACAAAATGGTGTTTTTCCCAATGCTCCAAAATTGTATTTATTTCTTTTTCTGTAATTTAAACATAAAAATTAAATACTTCAAATCTCTATCTTTTTGTGGTGCCGTGTTTTTCAAGTTATTTTTATGCATTTATTTGGTGCATATACCCCTGTCATTACCAGGCTTGTATAGCTCGTTCGTAATTAACAACATTGTACCTGAATAGTAATTTTACACCTCCATGGAAATTATTGTCACTGAAAAGTAACAAAATAGCCACTGGAAGGTTCGAGCATTCTCACTCAATTTCAACTATTTTGTTGAAAAAATTTCAATTCTCAGTACATGTTGAAAAATTTGGTATGTGCCACGTTGTTTATGTACAAATCACAAAACTAATTTTTTTAAATGTTTGGTTTGTTTCACTGAAACTGTATTCAGTTTCCATGGTAGTTGGTGGGATTCATCATTATTCGAAAACATGTTACCTATAGCATAATATCAAACAGATTTAATCAAGTATATAATATTCAACATAATGTTGAATCACTTTGACGAATTTTTTCTTATAAGCCAATTTCAGGAATTTTGTCTAATGACTGTATTTAAGAAACTTGATATAGCACCCTGCCTCTGTGATGTACTTTTTCTGTGTTTATTTATTTATTTTTATGGGCGATGGGTTGTCCACCAGATAATGTTTGTGGCGCTGCTTATCTGACAATGTTTATTTTTTATAAAGGGACGTCATAATGATGACAAAGAGAATCATAGATGATAAGAAGTGGAAAAAGAGTCGTCTTATATTACTTTGATGTTAGTGTGCCATTGGTCAGATGTTTTACTGTGTCAGATTGTGGAATTATTTTTTTGTAGAGTGGCTATATTTATAGATGATAAAATCAATATATTTTTATGGATTGGATGAAGTTTTTGTCATTTAACTGTGTGAGAACAGAGTGTTAAGAGTAACTGTTGCAAAATATAGTAAGACGAACTTGTTCTGTGATGTTAGTCAGATGAGCAGATGATCGAAATCTTGCACTTTGTCAGATCAATGTACTCGATCTTGAATGAATTATATATAAACAGCCAAATTTGTAGTTTTTGTTGATCAGATGCAGAAATAAAGCTTTGTGCAAACAGATATGTGCACTTGTATATTGGCCCACTGTGCAAAAGTGACAACAGTGGGAGTGGAACAGTGGAAAAAGGTGGGATGTGGGAATTCAATAAATTTGACAAATGTGCAAAATTTTCCTAAAGTCTGCTCTCTGCAATTTCGTGAAATTATCGGATTTAAACAAGTGTACCCCCCGGTGCAACTATAAATTTTCAACAATATTTACAAGCTATTTTCTAAATGAAAAAAAAAAAAAATGATGAAATAGAAAAAATATCAAAGTGAAGTAAGGTAAGTGGTACTGGTAAGTGCAAGTAGAATACTTGGAAACATCTGACACCTATTTCCTCTACCTGGACTGTTCTGACGAATGTATAAGAAATTCCATATTCTACAGTACTTTCAATTAATCGGCATTCCTCTAATCCAGTGGTTCTTAAACTTTTTGAGCCGCGCCCCCCTTTAAAAAATTTTACAAACTTCGCGCCCCCCCCCCTATTTTTGCTTCGAAAAAATGCTTTTGTGATAGGCAGGTTGCTATATATTGGTTGCTACTGTTGGTCTCATAGCTAGGCTTACCATATTTCTGAAGCAAAAAACCGGGACGGCGCGGATTGGACAAGCCAACTTTGATTCGATTCTAGGGGCTTAGTAATAGTTTACCCATTTCCCATACCATTGTGGGTAGATTACGGGTATCAAAATAAGCTGTAAATCCTATTAAAATTTCCTCTATTGGTCTTTGCTCCAAATAAGGTAATTGTTCAACTCATTATAGAACTTGCACTTTGTTTACGGCATTTTGATGCTTTAACGACAGTACAGTTGGGTGTTAAATTAACGCATGGTTCATACTTCCTGTTCCTGTCATATGACTATGACACAATAATTTTTCTCTCTACCTGAACCAATGAAGTGAGACGCAAATCAGTGGTGAATCGGCTGCCTCCATTAAAATAAAATTTGTAATAGTATCAAATAGAAAAAGTATTTATGACTATCATACTGCAAAACCGGGACAATTTAGTCTATCGCCGGGACGGTGGAAAAACATGCTAAAACCGGGACTGTCCCGGCTAAACCGGGACGTATGGTAAGCCTACTCATAGCGTCATTGCTCAGATTGTTTAGGCATAAAACGCTTCGGAGTACAACTTCGCCATTCACTGTCGTATGTAAAAAGCCAAATAGTGGTTGGTCGTCATACATTCTCGTGTTTCCGCTCAGTTTGCAATACTTGGCAAAGTCGAACTAATTATTAAGTAAAACTAAACAAGCAATAAACCTATGCTTTATTGTATTTTCTGTTTAAACGTTTACATAAGACACGTAAAATTTAAATCAATTGTTGTCGCCAAGGCGTTTGCGATTGCATTTTGTTTAAATCTCCATTGTTTACGCCAACGTGGCGGCGTGTTATTTAAGCCCTAAAAATCTTGATTTCGGTGTTTATTCTTCCTAAAGCCGAAATTTCCCCTCGACATACACACATTTACTTTTTTTGGTCTCGAATGGAACCATGACACCTCAGAGGAAAACGAGTTAGTTTTTATTATAATCATCAGCGACGAGATGCTAAAGATAGAATAAAGAAGTGAATCCGTAACTAAAAATTTCTTTATTGTAAAAGTGGCATTATAAAATACTAAAAATAAAACGGAAAACGCCATGAGTTTAGTTTTGGGGTGGACCGCGACAAATTAAAAACACTTTCTTAGACATTGAAAATCTCATAAATTCCTTGCGCGTGCTGCACACCAGTAGTGTTTGTTCTAAAACTACAGACTTGATATAAATTTTACTCCGTGGGATCGCAGACTTAGAAATATCTGTAACGATAATATCTTGAAATTAATCGAGTGGCGGCATTGCGATAGAGCGGAGTAAGAGTTGCAGGGACAGCTCATATTGGTGAAATTGGCAAGAATACAAATCGAAACAAAATGTAATCGACATTTTTATGGTTGCGGATTACCGTGTTATTTTGGAGTACTGGTGGTTTTATTTTATCGACGCAATCGCAAATTTAATTTATCACAATTAAATGAATAAAGCAACCATTTTAAATGAGTATATCAATCATGAATTGAATATTTTATTCAACAGAAAAACCATTACATATCCGTTGAAAAAGTCGGCTGTGTTAATGACTGGCGTAATCTCGTGGATTGACTCAGAAGCCGTACCGCGGGGATTTCGTTTCGATGAATATGTATTTTTCATCTACTAATATACTTTACATGTATTTTAATTGTACTAAATTAAATATACTTCCTGGGATATTATACCAGATCTTTCTAATGACGACAACGAATTTTCATGAGTGCAATATATGTAAAAACTAAATATAATCGGGCAGTTGATCACACTTTATTATGTCCGCGGATTGGCGTGGTATTTTAGATAGGTAATGAGTTTATTTTGTCGTGAGTCGCCGCAACCGTGAGTTACCTTGAACACAAATGAATTAAAATAGAGAGACATTTTGAATTATTGTAGTTATTACGAGACAGAAAAATTTATTATAACACGAAAAAGCTGGTATTTTTAACAAACGCGGAGACCGTTTCAGGAGCCGTTACATGTAAATTTCCGATTCCATCTTGTGACCTCTCGCCCCCCCCCCTGTGAGCATCTCGCGCCCCCCAGTTTAAGAACCACTGCTCTAATCCAAGTAAAGAAAACAAAAATACATTTGCCTGGTTATAGAATTTATTTCCATACAATAAAGGATACAAAATCTCATGGATACAAAACTTATTGACATTATGAATCAGTCTGATGCTAATCATTAACTATAATATATTCATTCATAGTATAGACCAGGTTTTGGGGCAAGTTGATATACAGAATATTTCCTGCATTGGCAAATCCCGTTGGTTGACAAAAATGAACACCTCGGTTAGCTTAATTCATGAACATATATTCAAGTTACAAAATTTTATATGCCGATATATAAACACACGATTCACTCACAATGATTAGCTTCTACCCTTTTGAGATATTGGCAAAAATTGAAGCCCAAAGGAAATTGAATTGAACCTTGGAAGTCAACAACAAAACTATCCTATACAATGACCTTGGAACTTACTAATGACTGCTTTTTAGCATGAAAATGTCTAGAATTAGCCTATTGACCAAACATACATAAGATTTTACATTATATTAACTACCCGGTAATTAAATTCTTCTGATTTCCATATTTCATTGCGAGTTTCATTTCTTTCAACCATGCAAATTTGAAGTGCGATAAATCATAATTTTCATACGATTAAAACAATTCGAATATCCTTGTTTGTCAACATGAAACAAAAAATTTCCAATAATGATTATATTCCTTTTCATACTTTAAAAAGTTTATCTTTCTGATCAATTGATAACACTATTTTTTGTTATTAGTGTTGAATTCAGCAAATCATGCGAGCAATTAAAAAGTTGAAGTCATATTTATATATTAAATCCTTAAAGTTTTTCCAATAAGAATAAACCCACTACATAAAGTAAACAGCGTCCCCATAAAGTTGGGAGGGGGTCATCGGCCAGCGCTCATTACAATTGCACTTGTACAATTTTAATAAACCAACTATAAAGTTAGAATAGTACACTACCTAGTGATGGGCCATTTTCAAATCCGTATATTTGAATATTATTTCCAGGGCTGTGGATTCAGAGTGAGTCGAAATTGCAAATTTTGAATGTTGATAAAAAAAATCCAAATTTTTTATGTTATCTTCAAAAGCAGTAACTTTCAAATTTAAACGGATACCTGTTTATTACAGGCTGCTAGCATAACAAAATGTTTCCCAACAATCAATTCTAAATTTTTCCATACTTCACAGCCCTTGTTGTTTTTCTAATTTACGTAATTTCAGTATTCAATTATGGTAGATATATTATATAAGCAATACAATCATTTTGCTGCCGAAAGCTTATCTCAATAGAAAATTTGAATTTGTGCCTTAATGTGATTTTACTTAAATCTATTTATTGAAATAAGTGACACGGCGTTAATCTTATAATTAAATAGTAAATCATCAAAGTGAACATTGTATTTATGCAGAAATAATATAAGAGATGATAATAATTAGAAGGCTGTTGAAATATTCAGAAAAAAAATTATGAATCTGCCATCGAATACATTTGCCGATCGTCTAAAATACAATAGAGAAAACATATGGAAATCATTTTCACTTTCTGGGGTACGTCATAATCATAACCCCAAAGCCGTCTATAACGTTTATTTCTCCAAGTGAAATTTGCTTGATAAGATGATGCAGCAGGTCATTCCCCTCCACTCTTTTGTGACAATTTACTTCCCAATTCCTTTACCATTTCGATTTGGTTTTTCTGGTCAGACAGTGGCTGGCTTGACCTAGAAATCACAAAAAAGCAAATATATTTACATCATGAAACCAAATTTAGTTTACGCAATAAGTCATGATTATAGAAATACTATATAATTTTACCATAATTAAGAGATTGGCACTATTCACTCGAGCATGTTAATTTTGACCTGTCTTTGTAAAATATGAAAAAGCCTATAGAAAAGTGTGTAGATATAGGAATCCTTATTCACTCATCACCTGCTGTGCAGTTGGGTATAACTTAGATCTGACTCTTATGTGATAAAAATTCGGACTCGATTCCATAATAAGAACATTTTGTTTTCTGCTCCCGACTACCAGACAAACCAAATTTTAACCATAACAACTTCAGCATATGATGTTGTCGATTTAATGCTTTTTTAGTGTTTAAAACGTTGACTTCGATGCAAATTTAAAAAAAGTTTTTCGAATTCCAATATAAATAAAAATATCACAAACTCAAGACTACAACTCTTCAGCCTGAACTTGTACCCACTTTAGAGTTAGACAATAATACAACAGAAAAGAAAAAGAGAGAACTTACAGAAGTGTTTAAAAACATGCAGAAAGTGCAGAAGAGAGAGGAGAAATTGTTAGTTTTGTGAGGAAGAAAGAGAAGACATTTGAGATAAGAGAGTGCGTTGCTGTTTATCCATAGTAGTTTTATCACGAGTACTTGAAAAATTATACAACAGAGTTAGTAGTAGTATTTCATGACTAAAGTTCTCATTTCACTTAAAAGTAGATATGTCCAGAAAGTTTAGTTTCAATGAAATTATGATTGTTCCGAGTAAATCAGCGGTCTTGCTGTATTTTGTGATATTTCGACAGAGTCTGACCAAGGTCGAATTTCCTCAAACAAGGATATTTTAACAATAAAAGAGTGATTGCATGCATATAAATAATGGCTTTCATATAGTTATAATAATGTGTAGCACGACTCCTCAATCAGTTAGAATAGCCATCTTTGCTACTACCTCTTAGCGTTAAATGCTTACATATTTACTAGCTTATAAGCATGGGAGACAAATAAGTGGTGACTTGAACTGCTGTCTGATAGACATCAAATTTTTTCGAAGTAAAAATTCGAAATAAACAAATTAATTGAATGACCAAGTACAGAATAGAAACACTTCAAATATGGATTTTCCTACACTTCAGATCGTTTGGTTTTTAGCATAGTAGAGTAAACCAGCAACATAAGGAAAACAGATCATTTTTCAATTATGCTAGACGGTTAATTAAACTAGAAAAAGTATAAAAGCAGATTTCAATATATAGATCATCCGCAATTTCGGAAAATGATCCATAAAATTTCAAGTGGGAAATGAGTTGAAGGATTTTCCATATTACCAAACTGATATTTATGAAGGCTATCGTTTCATATGTAGTGAATAGAAAGTAGTTACAATTCATATTGCTGTACCGGGAAACATAATTTCAAAAATGATTACCGTAAGCTGTTGACAATATCCCTTGTTTTATCGAAATAGATACTGCTCAAAGTATTTCTGATCTTATTCTCCATGTCTTCAACCAAACGTCCAATATTTACAATATGTGGATTCGATTCATTGACTGGACAGTCTTTCTCCACCTAAAGAAAGATGACATCAAAATATTTTTATACAACGTATTTTTGTCACAAACAAGGCACTTCACAAGCAGCCACTGCTGAGTAAAGAATTACTATAGCTTGGAAGGAGAGGAGAGTATTTTCAGTTCTGCATTACCTGCCCAATTTATTACAACCCCGGGTTAGGTAGTGGCCACGGGATTTGAACCAGAAATTACAAACTGTGATGCTGTCATAGTTAAGTCTATCGCTTTAACGACTAGGTCACCACACTCACTAATTTCAGGTACATCATTATTCATGGCCATAAATACACAAGCCTTTGTTATTAATGCTCAATAAATAGTCACATTTATTTTTTACAAAATAATGAATTGTTATATAAAGTAACCTTTTAGCAACTGAGAAGGAAAAATTTAAAAAAAAATCCCTACTGTGTGACCTTCTGTCCTAGGAAATTTTTGAAATTTTCACAAAATATCAAATTTTCTAGCCTTATTGTGTTCCTTTTACAATTGATGATTCAAGCATTTTTTCATAATGGTAGAAATCATTAGGTCAAACATCACTATTACTGCATAACTTCCAATCAAAATTACGTATCTACAGTTGACTAAATTGAGAACCTATAAGGAAAGGTCATCTGGCACCCCTTCCACTGTTATTAAAGCTGATAGTAATACCCAGGGGTTCCCCATCAGGGGTCACAGTGCAGTGAGAGAGGCCCAAATGCTAGGCGCAAAATTGATTTCTTTTTTCACTACGAAAAACGACAAGTTTTTTTTCACTACAAGCAAGTTTTATTGCTTGATAAGATCATTTCACAGTGTGTTTTCACTTTTTTGAGCATGGATTGTTTGAACATAATGTAATTTACCAATTTATCAATCAAAATAACACTATGTATACCACTGGAAGGTAAACAGGAGGGCCATGAGTGCCAAAAGCAGTGGTTCTTAAAGTATGGGTCGCGACCCAAACATGGGTCGCGGAAGGTTTAAAAATGGGTCGCGACAAGGTCGTCAATGCAAGGGCAATCTAAGAGGAGAAGGACGAATTTTCAGCTTTCCCAATGTTTCAATTTAGCTTTTAAACTCTGGGGTATTTGCAAATAATGAAATATAAAATTTCATTCACGGAAAGAACTGTCTTGAGCTCATTGTTACATCACAATTCTGATATGCCAGTCACGTGTATTATTTTTATGGTATCGGTAACCATGCACGTCGCTTGTCATTGTGTTGACCGCGTGGAATGTCGTCTTAGTGGATTAAAATAACCATAAATGGGTGTCTTTTTGGTAATGTAAATTGTAATAGACGACGCAATAAAAAAGCTCGCTTCTCGACATTAGATTATTCAATATCTAGAGAAAATGTGACTTCATCTCGAGACACCATTTACCGCGAACGAAGCAGTGTGTGCACATTTGATGAGTAAAAAGTTGTATATTGCGAGAGATACCGAAGGCCAGCTAGGATGTCGTGTTTGCGACGGACAGCGGACGCCTTTTCTGCTACAATTCGCGACAAGGCACTTGTGCGAGCGAGGATATTTGGCACTGACGGTTATCAAAACTAAGCTCGCAATCGCCTCGATACCCGTGACAACTTGCGTATTGCGTTAAGTAAAATAGAGCTGTGTATTGAAGATATAATGAAAAGGAAATTTCAGTTTCATCAATCTCACTGAGTCAATGGACTGTTTCTAATAAATAGTTGTCTGTATTTGAGTCAAACTGTACTAACATTAAAACCACATTTTGCGTTATTTAGGATTGGGTCGCGAGTATTCATAAAACTCAGATTTGGGTCGCGCTCGAAAAAGTTTAAGAACCACTGGCCAAAAGCCTCCAAATGGGGCTACGAGCCATTAAAGGTTGAGAACCACTGGTTATACCTAACTTATTATCACCAATGTTTTATTTAATCACACAAGATGGGCAGAAAATCGAACTCAAAAATCGAAGCAGTACAGTCTGATATTTAACAGTTAACAATGTTTTAAATGTGTGTCATACCTGTCTAGTTAAACTTCCACCAAGATTCATTGTTCCAGAAGCAGATTTTGTTGTTTGAAGCCACAACATAACAGTGGATGTCAGCTTGTAGTGAGCATTGCGTCCACCTGACTTGTCCTGAAAAATCAATCAACTTTGAATACTAAAGTATTCATTTTCCAAATACAATTGTACTCAGCTTCGCAGCAAGGGTGAGTTTGGGGTGAAGCCATGATTTTATTCCGATTTTCCTTATTTGAGTTCTATCACGAGTTAGCTTAAAGTGGATATACCTCCTGCCAATAGGTTTCTGTCTCTTTACACAACTTGATGTGAAGAAGGCGAACAAAATTAGTTACCTCCATATGGGTACACACACTTCTTGAGCGCCCTATCAGGCACATACATACCGTATTCGACAATACACAATTTCTCAGGTTTGTTTAAACTATGGTAAGTTTAATTAAAATAAGTAGTTAAAATATCTAAATATGAGATTGGTAGATAGCCAAGTATTCAGTGAATCCACCTGACCAGGTTGGTATCATAAGTTATCGAATTATCGCATAAGAAAAATTGACAACCAATACCAAATAAGAAAGAGTAGCCTACATTATTTCATACCCAGTTGGTCTAAATGCTGAAATCACATAAAAGTTTTCTAAAATAATAAGTTTTCTTCATTAATATTTCAAATCATTGTTTAAAGATTCTGATAATCAGAGTATAATTTAGCTTTCTCTTATTGAACTCACTCATTCATATCTCAAGATCCTGTAGCAGAATGGATAATATATTCAAATATTCAAAAAAAAAAGTGAGAACTCCGAGATATTCAGTCAGGGATATTCCAAGAGTGAAAAATGTTTCTGGTGGTACATTCACAATTAGCATTGTATCAAAGAACGCATGTTTGCATTTACATAATGTGTCTCAGCTTTGAATAATATGAAATGACATAGTAAATATTATAACTGCTTAATTAATTCGGTCAAATACAAATACCTAAAAAAAAATGTTGATTTCACTATGATTCAATTACTGAAACCCAAAAGCCCATAATATCCAAACGTACAGAGAGGCATATTGAAATTTCACAAAGGGTTATCATGCCCCAATATGATATTAATGTACCGTAATAGTCATACCAATTGAATAACACAGGTGTGATTAGAAAAAAAACTGTTTTATATTGTTGTGTAGAATACTAATCGCAATCATATGTTGAATGATATTTACAATCACTTCCTACCTATTCAACATAAGTTGACTCATTTAACATTAACACAAATAAATCAAATTTGTATAGTCTATATATGTATCATACCATCTGATATGGTATAACTTTCTATAAATCAATGATAAATTTCTTAATTGTACATATTAACTGTCCGGTGTGCAGTCATGCTATAGCAGACTATTTATATCAATACCTGAAGAGAGCAGACATGATTGACTTTTATGGTCATGTACAATGTGTAAAATGCAATTTTGAAAAATGTGCAAATTTGATGGAATTTTCATATGGTCAAGATTCTACCAATAAAGTGTACAGATAGAGTATGATTACAGCACAGAAAAAATGCCAAAATTGATAAACTCAAGACTCAACCAAATTTGAAATCATTTAATACAGAATTATAAAGCTGAAATAAACTATACTGAAGGCTAAAAATTTTGACGAATATTTCAATGACCACATCATCACATTTGAATGACAATAACAGAGTCTCGAGATTTTTCAAGCAGCTGTATTCAAAATTCAACAATTATGTTGTTTCAAGAAAATGAGTAATATAGCAAAACAAAGGTCACTATAGGAATGTTTCACAAGCTTTTCTTCACAAAAGCATTTCAAAGCAGGTGACAATTCACGGAAGTAACCTGACCATGAGAAAAGAAAGGTTTATATTGATTATGAAACCACTATAACATAAATATGATGAGGTATGAAGTGGCATAACACATTAAAAATTAACTGAATATTTGATGATTACCATATATGTACAATTAAAGGTTGAATATTTCTCCCAAATGGCACAATAGTAGATCAATGGAAATGATAAGAATGGCAGTATGTGTGGTCAGAAAAATCCTTCCCATAAATAAATCAACAGATTTTATATTTTTAGAACAGGAATGAGAAAGATATACATATCACACATAAACTAAAATTTTGCCTGCTCTCAATTTTGAATATTTTCATACACAGATCTAGACCTAATCCAATACAACAAACCAACCGTGTCTAAAACTTATGTTATCTTGGTCAGTCTACCTAACAGTTAGTTAATATGATACTTCAATATCCTAGTAATATTATTCCAAATCAGGATTTTTATAAAAATCGCTGTGACCAGCGATGTGGCCGCTGAGCTTGGGTTCCCAAAGGTTCGTACTAAAGTACAAAATGTATCTAATCCATTCAACAACCATGATAAATGGTAAAGTCCATTCCAAACACAATGGGCATAATACATGATTCACTTGCAAAAGAAGATAAGAGCTGTCTTCAACCAATTCTTTCAAATATTAAATTGTTCCGAAAAACTTTTCACACATCAATATTTTCAGGTTTGAAATAAATTAAATTCTGTTCATAACACCCATCACATAAACAGAAACACACTCGTGTGACAATAATCTAGCAAACTAGAGTTTAATAAGTAACAGGGTTTGAGAATGTCCAAATTCAAATAAGGACCTGTGTCGTGGCTGTCTGTATGTATGTAAGAGCCTCATATATCAAAACTAAAACATCTGATAAGACTGATATAAACAATAAACCAACCAATTTCAATGAATTTTCTGTAAGTGAAGTCCTAATTCAGCCAAATGTACGTGTCTGAGTCTCTAACAATATTTCTGGAATAGTTTCTCAACATTATTTCTCGAGTAGTTACCGTAACATAACATTATTTCTCAAATAATAATACAAAAATATATATCTTAGAACATGCTTACAAAAAAACTTACTCTGGAATAGTTACTAACATTATTTTTTGAGTAGTTACTCTAACATTATCTCTAAAATAATCAAAAAAAAGAATATCTTAAAACACGCTTACAAGAACTTCCACAATGTGTAATGAGTCCCAGCAGCCTTTGACTTTCTTCGTGTTATCACCAGCCTTTTTAATGAGGACTGCACCAGCAAAACCATGATCAAGATCCCAGAGGTACACAGATGATACACCACCTTCATAATACCTATAAACGTAAAAAAAAGAAATAGGATGACACCACAATGCAAAGTACAATGTAACAAGGATTATGAAAAGAAAAGAATTTGTTGTAAAAAATGCAAATGCATAATCTCGTTCCAGTCAGGGATGGCCAAAATTGAATATTTCACATTTCCGAATACACTCTGAGAAAATATATTCGAATATAGAATATCGAATACATTCTGATTTGGGGGCGAGTTCACGTAAAAAATTACATAAATCACTATATCTTCATGTTGATCACATCTGGCACAAACATAAAGAGCATTGGTTTCTCTGTGTTGTTTCCTGCCAGTTGACATATTGTATGTTTTGATTAGTTCTAATTCATTCCTAAATTTGAAAATTCGCTATATCGAATATAATAAATTTCGAATGTGTTTGAATATTCGATTCGTTTTGGACAACATCCCTGGTTCGAATATTAAAATCGATGACATCAATAACACGATTCATATAAAATATAGATTCATAAGCATCAGGTATTTAAAAAATACCAGGCCAGCGCACACAAACTAAGTTATGAAATATTTAATAAATTAATGAGGTATTCACTGTAGAATTCTTCAATTTGAGTCGACTCAAAGCTTCAACAATATGAGCAATAATATTGGTGCCAAATACTTAATCACTTATAGGAAATAATATAGAGTTCTTTAACTTGTGTCGATTCAAAGCTTCAGCAATATAAGCAGTAATATTTATTGCTGCCATGCAATCATGGAAGATTTAAATTGAATCAAAGAATATCCTTCACTGTCCGGCCATCACTGTATTTATACTTACATTTCCCTATAGGAATCAAATGCAGAATTGGCTTCAACTTCTAATTTGCGTAATCTATCTGAAGGTTCAGCACCATCTTCTATGGGTGGATCATATTTGTTACTCCATGGCGACCTGCAATAAAATTAGCAGTGACATAATAGGATAAATATAGTTCTCGATCTACTTAAAATAGGATTGTCATATTCATAATGATGATCCATCCCTAAGCCATTAATTATATGGTGGAAGGCGATAAACATGCCATCTTTCTCTGTTTATGGATATCCATATTAGCCGGAGAAAAAAACAGACTATTTGTTTTCCTTATTATCAAAGACACAACAATATTATTAAAGATATAAAAAACAATAATAAAAATATTATGATTAGGAATGTAAAAACTAATAGGAATCGACTATGGCCCAAATCGCCCACTAGTCTAAATCAAATACATTTCAAATTGAAAATAAATTTTATATTTGTATTATCAAATAAATTCTAATTTGAGTAATGTCAACAGAGAAAAAAGCTCATACGTAATAATTCACTATAACAAATATCTCTAATTTTCAATGCTCCCAAATATTCAGATTCTTCTGAGCATTAGCAATAGGATTTAACTTTATGCAATATATATAACTAAGCTCAAATGAAAGATGGTTTAATGTTTGATTCAGAGAAAAGATGACAAAAAGTGAAACAATAAAAGTGACAAAGTTGTTTTCAAAATAGAATCTCTGTTATAATAAACATGTATTTGAATGACAATAATCTAACTCACAAAAGCAAAGACGACACCAGAGGCAAGATTTAAAGAAGTTTTAAAGGATCTTATTAAACTGATTACGTGTGATGAAATGTCCATACAACTAACCTGTAAGAATCACCATCACGATTATAATCACAAAGAAGATAATCCTTTCCACTGTGCTTATCTCGAGCTATTTTGAGTGGTTGATCAACAGACGACAGAAGGTCTTCACATAACTCTGGAACAAGGTCAATGAGGTCTGACAAATTTTTCTCAACTTGTTGAGGAGGTAACCTTCTCATCAAATCGAGCGCACAGTCCAACTGCTGCTCCGTCTGTAAAATAAGAAGATTATTGACACATGGATGTAGGCTCACTATTAAATATTTTCATTCTCCTTCATGACTGACATCTGAGAAAACCATTAGAATAAAATAATAATAATTAAAAATACAAATCTGACAAAAACGGTTAACATAGACACGTATTTTGTTATTAAAGGACTAGGTATATACACTAGTTTTTAAATTGGCTGTGTAAAAACGTATAAATCGTTATTAACAACTTTTATTATTTACAGGGTGAAATTTGGCATGTGGCCTGGACAATATATCAATTAACTAACTATCTTGGGAGTTTTAAGGCGTTTTCGATAATTAGTCGTCGATAACTCTGAGTTTTCGTTGAATCACAAAGAAAAAAAAAATATTATTATTATTACGTTCAAAGTTGTATTAAATATAAATATTTCAGATACATAAATAGACAAATAAATAAATGTTATTATTTCAGATAGATAATCTGACCCCTCAAATACCAGGTCACAAAAAGGTTGTAGAACCATTGTATCAATGTTTGTTTCATTAGCAGAGAACAAAGTTGATGGCAAACTGGATAAATCACCATAGTAACACTTACTCACCATTTTGCTTTTTGTCACAAGACTGAAACACCGATGTAGAACACTTCTTTGGGAAGTAATAAACCTATAATATGCCTATTATAAATACACAAACCTGTATATTTCAGACAAAAGAATATTTTAATAATCATATTAAAATTACCGGTACTGTTTCACAAAATAACTTTTATAGACTTTTTGTGAGCTTCCACATCTGAACTTTACTTTACACTGAAAATTAACTATAAAGTCATTATTTATAATACAAATTTATCAAAATAAAGGAGTAATCATACACTTGGTAACTACTTTTCAAATGCCTTCATCAAATCACTTCCATAATAAACTTTTGACAGTCAGCCCCATAGCAGGAATGGCAAACCATTTTTACTCAGTGGGTCTTACATTATATTTATAGCATGGAAAAAAGAATGCGGGTAACAGATTTAATCAATCTACATCTACATTGCTGTGGCATCTTTTCCGCAAGATTTATAATTCTGGCTTGATATTATGTTGTTTTGAACTTCACACATGCAGGACTGAAGCGATTTCTGGTACTGAAATTCATGGCTAAAAAACATGGACTTGTGTGCATATAAAGAACCAAAAAGAGATAACAGTGCTCGACAAATTCATTCATGGTTTTAAATAAGTTTGGGATGGAATTCCACTCGGAAAGAATCGTATTTTTTCGCTGGCTTTCAATCTTACTGCAGTCACTATCATGTAACATGAGCAAAGAGAACTGAAGTAGATTCAACAAAAGTTGCTAGGAATGAACAGCTTTATTATATTGTTATGTCACAAAAGTTGTAACAGCATTGTTGCCAGTAGCTGCAGAGGTATATCTGAACAGATATATCAGTTCACTTAGTGTTAGATAAATCGAGGGTGGTCTACTAAAAAATGGCTGGATTATCGAGAAACATAACAGTTGGTTGTTCGTCATCCATCCCCTATAATGAAGTCATTACAAGGTACCGATTTTAATAGTAAAACACTAAATCCAGTATGGCACAGTTCTGATTCCAAGTATAGCACCCACATTAAAATATATCATTTAAAACAGTGAGTGCAAACTCCTCCTACACGAGTCTGTCTAGGCTTCCATAACGACGAACCAGCAGCTGCGCAATAAACTAAAAAAAAGCGTATTTTAAACATGTCACGAATAATCCTATTTACCTAAAAGAATAACATATACCGTAGCATCCAAGAGTTTTTTAACAAAAAACGGCAGTGTAAAAGAAATTTGGTCATGTGATGGCCGACACACGTTGTAATTGATTTAAATTTTTATTGAGACAAGCATGACATGATCTACAGACGCATCAGGATGCCCTTGTTTTCGTGAAAAATAGAGTGTTTACTCTATTGAACTAAATGTCTGGACATCTCAAAATCAGAAAACTGTGCCATACTGAAATCTCCCATATTGCCACATGCTTAATGAAACTAAATTTAAACAAAAATGCAGAAAATGTTTTGATTTATAGATTTTTGATTTATTTATCAGAAAATAGATTTTGACAATTTTCTTCTAAACCGATCAGTTATGTTATTCAAATATATCTCAATTCCCAATCCTGCATTCATAATTTAGTTCCATTTAAATAATTATATTCAATATGGCAGAATCCCCGATATCAGGATTAATATAAGATATTTCCACCAGAGAGATTATCATTTAAAGTGCTTAGGTTTTGCCATTCACAGTTAAATAAAACAAGTACAGGCCATTATACTGTTTTCCATGATTTTGAGGGTTTTACAAAACAATACTGAATCCTAGTAATACAATTATTAAATCGGCACAATTGTGTTATACCACCCTCGTGTTAGTTAATTAGTGATTGCAGTATATCAGGGATCGGCTTTCTCAATAATATTACCATTTGAATGTTTAGGAATTCCATATTCTGATATTAACAGTAACAGAAAAATTTTGACATACTGATATATTATGTTTATATTCCAATTTTCTGATGCAATAGTTACGTACTGTTCCAATTTCCACCATTGTTTGGTAAATGGGTATTTATGATAGGAGAAAATGAAAGAGACAAAATAAGTAAAATATACAACACACTACTGCACTATGTATGCGCACTATTATCGATTTCAACAGGGAGTGCTATGTTGCAATTGCAAATACTGAAATATGTGTATGCTAGGTATTGAATAGCTGACAAGTAAATTCGGAAATTAGGTATTTACATAACAATTTCTAAGCCTTCGAAAGAGGTTGTCACACAATACTTTGATCCATTCAATAATGTCGCTAATTTCGCTTGAAAGAATGTTTCATATATTTTATTTATTCATTCCATGTCACCAATAATATATGATATTTTCAAAGGTAAACATGCACTTTTCGGTTGATATGAAATGTGTAGATATATTCACAGATAGGGCATTACTGCATTAAATTACAAATCATATTCTCTGTTCTCATCCAACAAAAACAGACTACATCTTTTTCATTTCCATCAAAAGTTATTTTGCAGTCATTATAGCATACTTTCAGTCCATACGATAAATCACATTGCGATGAAAATGGCAACTACCTCATACAGAGATTCATGACAGCTAATTATATTTGACTTTCTGACTTTAGCATGACCTTCGTTCGATGATTATAGGTTTGAGATATATCCAACCTATTTAAGTATTTGGCGCACTTACTGCGGGACAGCATTATTGAATATAGGAGTATAAATTCAAAAATTGACAAGCAAATGGTCAGGCATGCTGGCATCATAAACACATAAACATTAAAAAGTTAATTTTGCCAACCACGGTGGAGTACAGCGGTTCTGATTGTGAGACATTGTGAATTTACGGCGATGAGTATTTCTATTTAATACAACCATTCGCGTGTCGTCCTTGCCCAACAGCCAAGGCAGTAAGACAAAAATCGAAACTGCATCGGTACGGTACACGTCTGCCAGCCTGAGAGCGATTGGACAAACAAGAACCGGAACACTCCCATCGCAGAAAGCCGACAGAGTTACGCATCAATGCTTGCCCACAACTTCCTTCACGAAGGCGGGCACAGTGGTAATCGTGAGTGAGAGGGCGTGAAAAATGTACGCCCGTGCTATATCGAAGAAATTGAGCTTTTAATTTTTGATGTAAATGATGGTCATAATATTTTCTGAGCCACGACGTTCAACTGTCCTTGACAGACTCGCGCACAACCAGTTCTCTAAATAGCGCACCAATTCAGCGGCTATGTCCACAACAACCATCAATTAAAGTTCTAAATGTAATAAATTGTTCAAAAGCGTTGATACAATGAATAAAAATGAAAATAGGATAGGATTTACATATTTATCCCAGGAAGAGGAAAGCCGATAAGACGGCTTATCCATATGGCGAACCACGGCCTCTCGTCCGGTTACCATTCAAAGTCGGGTATGGGATTAGTTTTACTGTATTGTTTGTTTGGTGCTCCCGAAGTATGCGAACCAAGATGGCGGACATCGGAACGTAACATGGGTAACAGGTTAGGGTTAGGCGATAATTTTTTTCCAATTTTTCTTATTTTAGTCCTATATCAGTTCGAAGACTAGCCAAGAGCATCCTGTAGTATTTATACCTAAAATTATGGCCTAACCCTAACATAGTACACATATTACATTCCGATGTCCGCCATCTTGGTTCGCATACTTCGGGAACCCCGTTTGTTTTCGGAAGCATGGACTTGGTGGTGGAGGAAGCCGTAACCGACCAGCGGTTATGTGAACCACCCAACGACGGCGAGGAGTCCAGCAATCCTCTCGCACATAACCATTCCTGCATGGGATTCGAACCTGTGAACCCACGCAGAGTAGTTAGAGGTGCGGTGGCGAGCGTATTCCTAACGCTTAGTCCGTTGAGCCACACCGCCGCGCCGAATAACCGCCGCGCGAAATAACAACTCTAGTTCAAATATTAGGGTAAACATTGCAATGAGCTCTAAACAACTCTGTTTGAATTATATTCGAAAGACACTGATTTTGGAGTTTTTCGTTAATGTTTCATATAGGATAGGATTCACATATTTATCCCGGAGGGGAAAGGAAAACCGATAAGACGGCTCAATCATGTGGCGAACCACGGCCTCTCGTCCGATTACCAGTCCAGGTCGGGTATGGGATTAGTTAGCCAGTTATTTTGTTTTCGGAAGCATGGACTTGATGGTAGAGGAAGCCGTAACCGACCAGCGGTTACGTGAACCACCCTACGGCGGCGAGGAGTCCAGCAATCCTCTCGCACATGATCATTCCCGCATGGGATTCGAACCTGCGATCCTACGAAGGGTGATCAGAGATGCGAGCGTAATCCTAACGCTTAGCACGATGCGCCACACCGCCGATATATCCTATTTGTCAGGTGAGCAACGAATTTCTTGCAAGTCTTGGTCATATTACCTGGTAATTCCTTCACTTTTTGCTGCATTGGTACGTTATTCTTCTCTCTATGTGTTATCATATTTGTTCTGTAACCAAAAATTTGATGACAAAAAGATTTATATAAAAAGTTCACACATACCCTGAAAATTTAAAAAATACATACATTTATATTTTTGTCTTTGTTTCAAACCGTTTTTGGTTGAATAATCATTAAATCTTTCAATTTATGAAATTGACACATAGACAGGGGCGCATCAACGCTGCTATTATGACGACGCCGCTGCTGATTATATTTACAGAGTAGACAAGAGCTGAAAACGTGTGACAAGTACCAACTGGTGCAAGTTTGATAGTTTTGAGTTTCTGGTACAACTTTTTTATGTTTTCTAGTCTTTTTGCTGATTTCGTAGAGCAATATTATTTTCTGCTCCACGGGAAGGAAGTGGGGCGGAAAGCAAGACACGGACGATTCGCTCATGTCGTTTTTTTACCAATGGAATGGTCATGTTGGCACCGTGACAAGGAAAAATATCTGTTTCTGTTATATTTCTTTTCAAATAATGTTTTTGAGACAAATTAGCATAACCGGCATGGTCGTATAAGATAATATAAGATTTTCATTTCATCCCGGGGGATGAAAAATTGTAGTAAAATTGTAGACAGGAATAGAATGTAAAACTAATCGTGAAGCTGTAATTATAACGTCGCACCTTGACTTGTTTACGACGTGCTTCCCGTATTATCATTGGAAAAATGACATTCGTTGTATTAGGAAGCCTCTTTGCAGTAATAGTTGGATTTATAAGTAACGATTTTAGGTATATATAAAAATGGTCGTGGTATTGTTTTGTTGGAAAATAACACAAGAAAACGTTACAATTAAAATCAATTAGTTCTAAACCCTCTACTAGACACAAAAACATTTAAGTTGAAGGTTGTTTTTTACGAATAATGGGCATTAGGTAGAATATTATTAGGTAAAATATTATTGAAAAAGTGGTGTAAAGTTATAGAGCCGAATAGAACTCTAGCACAGGCTTTTGAAGCTGTGAGTGACGTTTTAGTGGCCGATGGTTGATGGAAATAAAACTTCGAAAATGGCCTATGCAAAATGACCTCGAGAAAGTGGCCTGAGAGGAGATTATGTGCCAGGTACTTCGTTTCTCAAGTCTGTAAATGTGGGGCGATGGAATCAAACCTAAATACGGAAGATGGCGCAAATGTGCGGATTTCCTAGTTGCTATGCCAACAATTACGCTTCTACCTAGCAAGAGTTGGCGAATAATAACATTTTTCTAACCGGTTTAGAGCGTTGTTTAGTCATCAGTGAATGGAAGGTCCTTGGTGAGTTATCTATGTGTTGTTCTTGACGACATGGCAAGTGACAGCATTCAACCTACCATTGAATCTGCAAGACGAATTCATTCTCATATATCGGGGAAGCTTCATAAAGGTTTGATAACGGCAATAAATTTTTTCACATAAACGATTATCTCAGTATCTGCGCATAATTAACTTGATGTCCCACTACAGCAGGTTTCTCCGCCTAGGGACCACGAGAAGATTTCCAGGGGTACTTAATGGCAGTTGAGTTTTCATGTGTTGCTTTTTTGATATATTTTACCACAGTAGATAACTACCAAAGGAATATGCATGGTGCTGATTGAAACTCTGCCTAGATTTTCCCTGATCTTGCCAAGTAGTGACGCAACAAAGTGAAATCCACATAGCCAGACTGTGAACTCTAAAAAAAAACAATGTGTCCCAAACATTGCAAGAATTTATCGATTTGTTAGTATACAATATATTACAACTATGTTTGGTGTCTGATCACTGGGGGTTTGGGTTAATTATTTCAGGACACGGGGGTACTTAACAGGAAAAAGGCTGAGAACCCGTGCACTACAGCAAGATGCTGAACTTGATGTCTTCATACCAAATGTGGTAACAAGATATCACGAATTGGTACTGTATAGGCTATGCAGTGATGCGCTGAAAAAATCATAACAGCCAGAACGCACAGAACTCGTGAAAAAGTATTGACGTTATGTTTACAACACGTCCACATATAGAAATTTTTGTCTGTTTTAAGATAGAGAGGATGAACTACATTAAAATATGGAGAAGTAATTTGAAATATGCCTGTGTAAAATGACAAGTATGTTTATAGCAATATAATATAAATGGCAATTTTATTTCAACAACAGGAGCTACCTTGAACAGCCACATCTCTCGACTGAGTATAGGCCTATAACCCTTCACTAGGTTCTCTACGATGTTCTAAACACTGAATCTTTAATAATATAACCATTACAAATGGACAACAATTGAATACACATAAGAAAATGACAGCAACAGGTGACTTTATCACCTTCCCTGTTTTAGTGCTGGCAATTTTCCAAAGCCTTCTTCGAATCAGGTCCATCCAATCTTCAATATCATTTGTTTGTGATATTTTTCTTTAGAATTCAAATTTTTCCAGGTCATGGAATTGCAGCAGCATCAGCTTCAATTCCGAGTAAATACCAAACTATCGTGACTGACAACTCAGATAAGAAGGGGTTCAATTCAAGAGCAAAAAGATTCAGCTCAGATTATTATGTGGTGAGTTTCAAACATGAATAATACTGTATGTAAATAGCAATATTTCATGATGACATATTCATTTTTTTCCCTTATTCCAGACAGACGCCCCAGGCCCTGGTAATTATCAATGCAGACATGATGCAATTGAAAAATTTTCAACATCTTTCTCAAAAAAAGGAACTGGAACATTTGCATCCAAGGTATGTTGAAAGTGCCACAGTTTGGTCAACCTGAATTTTTTCAAAACTTAATTCGTTGGACATCACCCTTAAACTAACGCTGCCAAGTTGGCATCCTCAGTTTTTAAGACAAAAATTTCACAAGCTTCAACAAAACCAAATGAAATGGATTTGTCCAAACATCTCCAGTGATCCCATAATCCCTCTAAAACCAGAAACATGATTATGTATCACAGGGTGAAGGGTTAAAAATAGAATTTATTCAAATGATCTCTGGTAAAAAAGTATAATCCGATTCCAAAGCAACTGTATCTCCAAAAAAAAATTTTCAAAACCAAAATATTATTTGCAGACAAGGCATCGGACACTCCAGCACATGGATGCCACACCAGGTGCAGGTTCTTATGAAGTTCCATCATACTTGCTTTCCAGAAAAGATTTCAACAAAGCAAATTCCAGTTCTTTTCACTTGCCAATAGCAATAAAAAAGGATAATATGTTAATAAGCAGAAGTGATGCACCGGCACCAAATGTCTATACGGTAGTGTTATGATTATTTTCATATTTTAAATGGCAACAATCCTCAACTCTTGTCCAATCACACATTGGATCTGTAATCAAGTGTCACAATCCTAACCAAAGTTAGCAGATTTTGATCATGTTTTATAACACTATTAAAAACAACACAAAATGATGAATATCAAATTTAGTCAATTTTAGTTGTAATGACCTGCAATTTAAAATACTAAAAACGTGCAAGTACGAAGAAAATTCCCAGATTTATATTTTTTCGTCATTTGGCCTAAATGTGCCTTCATTTAAGTACAAAAGGCAAGATCTCCCGAATAAAGTTATATAGTATAAAATATGATATACATTTACATATCCATACCAATTGGGTTCCTGCAGAGCCGAATACTGATCAATTTGATATGCTTTTGCACTGGTGCATCAAATTGCATGTACGGTAATTCGCGAAGGGCAGGTAATTCGCGAAGGGCATAGCATAAGTGAAGACAAGTATTCTAAGTCTTACTGCACACAAATTAATTCATGCTAACGAGCAGACTCTGGAATTAATTGAAAATAATTTTTCAGATTAAGGACTATTCATCTGCGAAAAACACAGCAATAGCAGCTGAGGCTGCTTTTAAATCAAGAACAAAGCGTCAATCAATACAAACAGGAAACACCAGGATACCTTCACCGAGTATGTAAACTTTAAATTCTACAATAAATTAGATGAAATTTGAAGAAAAGTTTTCCCAGTTTGGAACATGTGCTAACATTAAGACTAAAACATTGAAAATCACTACCAAAAAAGCAAAATATTGTTACCTTTTTGATGCCCTGCATGTTAATTCTAACAAGTTCTGCTATTCTTAACAACCTTATACAGGTAGTAACTCATTATTATTTGAATTTCCAATGCCACAGGTCACTACAATGTACAAGACACCATATTAAAACCAGGAACAAAAGCTCCAGTTTCATGCTTCAGATCAACAACACAACGAAATTTAAATGAACATATTTCTAAAGTTCCTGGACCAGGAACATACAAACCATTTCAATCTGTAACACCACCAGATAAATTGATTTTACCGTAAGTTCAATTTTTAATAGTTTGTTACGCTACAACAGTTTGAATCAAAGCTATCACACGAAATATATGGCAGACTTACATTACAACCTTGTTAATAGTCAATACAATGTGCATGATTCCTGTTCAGAATACTTTCTTGAGCCTTTTCTAGTCAATAAAATAAAACTTTCACATACCAGGAGGAAGCATTATCTCTGCATAAGTGCACCTGCGATGCCATTGCCAGCACCAGTTGAAAATCCAGGACCAGGCGCATATGAACTTGTTGACTATGAAGGGCCACCAAAACATTATATGTCTTCCAGTGCTTTTGTCTCTAACACATCACGGTGGTCTTTCGGACAATTACAGACTAAAGAAAACCCTGGCCCAGCCACATATCGTCCAGAAAGAGTCGGAAAACAAAGTTTTATATACAATGCAAACAATCGCTGGATACCTTTATAGTGTTTTTTATTCATTTTTTATCAGAATGGAATAGGTTTCAGATTTTAACTATATACAATTCTTGTTCAGATTTTTCATCCTAGCAAATGAAGCTTACTGTAACAGTGTCATTTTTTTTTAAATAAAATTGCAATTTATAGTATATTATGGTATTACCACGAAAGCACATGTATGATTTTTTTCGTTTCAACATTCAGACTATACATAGAAAGATTAATTCTATTGAGACCAATTAGTTAGTCGTTTCTGTTTTAGCGTTGCACTCTTCTGCAAGAGAATTTAGTCTTTTACCCATATCCAAGCAAGAACTTGTGGATGTCTAAGCAATATCACTAGTATCTGTTAGCCAATTTGTTGCCCTTGTTATGAATTACTGACAGAGAGAAATCATCAGGATAGGATTTTTATTCCGGTTGAGTCACTTAATATTACGAACCACTCGTCCGTCAGGTTACCAGTCCATGGCATGAGCATAGTTTACCACATATTTGTTTATTTGCATGGACTTGGTACATTGTAAGTTCGTATCATAAATGGTTGTGGTGGACAAATCATACACATCTCGCCTAGACGTCCCACTCAGGCATATACCATTCAGAAAATTCTGATGTCAAGACAAACCAGTATGCATGTAAGAACTGAAGGAACCCCCAGTTAGAGTCCATCCATTATAGTTCTACTTCTTAAACTATTTAAATATTGGACTGCCATACCATAAGCGGTGTCCTTTACTTGATACTCCGGTGCTTGACCTTCTCTTAGCATTACATAGTAATGGCAAAATCTGGATTTATTCCAATGCATATAGCCTTTACCGTGATATCTTGGTATTTTTCGACTTCCTGATGGCAATACAAAGCTGTCCGCAATATGAAGATTTGACTTAAATTCAACATTGTGATTTGTAACAGCTTCTTCCTGTGCCTCTTTCAATACTTCTGCAATAATTTTAGCTGCTTTGTAAGGCAATGTTTCAAGGTTTTTAAGTGCTTCATCAATGTTCATATATTGAACAGATTTGTGTGTATACCACATTTTCTTGGGGGAATGTCTTATGAATGCTCGACCATGGTGAATCTCTGCTGGGCGAATCATTTCACCAGGTGCTGATGGAGGATAAAGCATTTTGTTTCTATCTGACCATTCTCCCATATCCCGGGACCAGTAGTCACTGTAATATTCACTGTGTTCCTTTATGATTCTGTTTTGTCCTGGATTTTTGACACCATAGTTCAAAGTTGTAGTGTGAATGAAACATCCTCCGACTGCCCGCAAGTTGTTACCTGATGTTGCACCAAGGAACAGTAGTTTTAATGAAATCATTGTCACCAAACTAGCTTATCTTAAACCAGTAAACAGAATTTTATTAGTAAATAATGTACTTGAGAGAATAGTCTAGTTAACCAGTTATTTGTTTTAGATGCATGGACTTGATAGTGGAGGAAATCGCAAGTGACAATATTCACCTGTCTATTCATTAGCATTAATTATTAAGAAAAAAATATCAAAATATATTAATTTCAATAGGTACTACAGTACCGGTGCCGTTACAGTGTTATCTTTTCAGCGGAGAATGTTTGTTTACATCTGCTCGCTTGTGATTAGTTGAGAATACGGATGTTTTGATGTCGGGGAAAGGTCCATTGAAGTTGTAAATGAAACAGCCACCTTTCCATCTCCCATTACAAGCAGAGCTTTCGTGCAGTTGCGGGCATACCCGTTAACCGCCATCGCATGGCGAGTGGTCCATGGCGAGTTAGCCTCCACCCTATCTGACTATGGACCACATTGCAAAACAATTTTAGAGGTAGACTAGTAGGTAGACTTTGATATCGCGTTTTTCATTGTGAAACTAGGATGTTGTCTAAACTTCTCTATATATTTCCTTACTATTCAGCTATTAGGAACATTTCCATTACCGTACCGGTATCAGACAGTGCTGACATTCAGACATTTGATTAGCATTATGTAAATGACTGCATTCCTTTCTAACCAAATTTTACGCTTTACAGTGCACAATACTAAAATATAAGGCCGTTATGCTCAAAGCTGGATAACTGGCGGGCCATATTACAAAAGTCATTTCATTCGTCTATAGTCCATTTTCTGGGTCTGGTATAGTTTAGTACCACAGTTGGCCTGGCTTAACAATTTTTGCATATGTCAATCCTAACCCCCACCTGACTACGTCACCGAAAAATTACGTCATTCCGACGTCACAGTGGCGTAATAAGGCCCACTGAAGTATGCGGATGGTCGTCCAAAACACGCAGACGATAACCCGAAATCGAGCAAGCTATTTCTCTCGTTTTCTCGTCGCAACGATCACGATAGGAGAGAGATCGCCGGCTTTGGCAAGTTCTTATCGGCGGCGCAGATACCATTTCGGGCGATTGTAATTATACTTTGGAAATCCCTATGACGTGATGGTGACGTCGTAGTGACGTAATTTTTGGATGGCATAGTCAGGTGAGGGTTAGGAATAACATATGCAAAAATCGTTATGCTACGCCCACTGGAAGTACTTGTGGTACTAAACTATACTAGACCCCATTTTCTACTAACGAGAGTCTTTTTTTTTTTTTTTTTGCTATTGATTTTTTTTTTTTTTTTGTGCCAAATAAATTCCAATGCCAAACGGAATTTTCGTATTAATATTTTGGTATCAAATCATTTTATTATAAATATATAAATAGATATTTTTTTTTGTTTCCATGTTTTTGTTTATCATTTTTAAATTTAATCCCATTCCCCCCAATACATATGAATAGTAAAAATCAAAATAAAGACAAAATTCATACCATTACCATGATGTCATTAATTTATTATAATCCAATATATGTCCAAAAAAGTTGAGTTAATCCACATGTAATCCACTCAGCAGTTAGTTGAATATAATTTTAATTTACAGGTAATCAGTTTTTATTTTAATTTTTTAGTTAGCATGAAAAATACAAGAATACACAAATTAGACAGCACAGAGAATATGGAAAAATCCACGCTTTCATATTGGGTTTTTCCCATTCGCCATCTATGTTTCATAGTCGATACATCTTCCTCTTATGAAAATGATGTACAGATAACATACTTTCAATAATTTTCAGAGTATGGTATTGCATATAAACTTACATCATGATTGACCTATGTAAAAGATCACCCATGTGCTCATATAACAATAATTCATTTCTTTCGCTTGCTTTTAGTAAATTTAAAATCCCTACCAGTTTACACTTGAAAATTGAACGCATACTACTTTTCATTTTATCTATTTCATCATATTTTACTGAATTTCGATATTCCCAAATTGTTGATTTTCCTAACTAACTAACTAACGAGAGTCATCGTAGATCGGATCGGAGAAACAATAGGCATGTCTTGAAGAAGATGTACTAATTCGTATTGCGGCACCGAGCGGATATAATCCGCTGAAAATTAATTTCTTTCGGTCCGCATACTGTACATGTTACAATCAAATGTCACATTCGCAATCAGCATTCTCACAAATAAGAATGAGTAAAACGATGAGTAAACGAATTAAAACGATCCATGTTACAATTCGTGTCCAAAAAGACCAATGCCCAAATATACGGACATTGTAGTAGTATATATTTACTGGACAACAGAGTCGAATACCTACGTTAAAGAGCCAGCTGTGGAGGAATTATCATGAGGAATTTGGCATGATACTCCCCAAGTGAAGTTACCAAAACGGATCACTTGCGTATCAGTGTTGTTTCAATTTGCAGTCGTTCAACAGTATTTTGATTATTTTATAATCTCGTTATAGAGGAGAAACTGAAGTAGAAAATAAACCACACCCAACATCACATTTACATCAGGATGTAGGTAAGGTAGTATTCAATTGAACTGCAATGGATACCGGATTTTAGACCTGCGCCGAGAGTGATGCAGCTTACAACTTCGAGTTAAAAAAAAAATCTGAATTTGTATTATGACGTCATGGGTGACAGTGTGACGCGGACTAAATATTTCTACTCAGGTCCAATTCAATTCGTATTACAAATATTCCGTGAATATGAACGAGATATCTTTGCTTGTCGGTCAATTACATTTCGATCTACTTTATGACGTAACAAGTAAAATAGTTTACTGAATTATATATCATTTTGTGTGGAAAGTAATTTGAGATTAGCATATTAGCTTGATGTTTGTCGGCTGTGCGTTCATCAAAAATGCCTATTAGGCGAAATAAAGTCGGACTCGCGACGGAGCATGACGGCGAAGGGCATAGGGTTTCATGTGGCCGTAAGCGACGAGGCAGAAAATTTCGGAAAAACTCTCACCAGGTGAGTGACTTATGATTGAGAATTAAGATATGATTGAAAACTATCGCCATATATTCGAATTAATTGTTGAATAACTTATGCTCAGGCTTCGCGGCGCCAACTTAGAAAACCAATTTCACATTTAAAAACTGATAATTATTATGATTGGACACGAAATGTATACACATGGATTGATTTGTTATTATGTTGTTTTTGATCTTGTGATTGTTAGAATTTTTTCCTTCTCATTATTATTATTCATGCATAACATGTTACCAGTGGTACGAATACGCGAGAGTTACATCGCACATGAATAGCTAGCTCAAATCTTATACGCTGTGGAAACTCGGCTAAATAATTTGATATCACAATAACAATGATCACTTATGGGATGAGGGGTTCTATACGACGCCTGCATCCGCATCGACATAAATGTCAACTCTCATCAAACCTCAATAAAAATTTTTTTTTTTTGAACGTTTGCCTTTGAAAACATACATCCGTCCCGTCTCCCAAGAGTTTGAAATGCTGGCTCCAATGTATCTCGAAACATGGCTTAAGCGCGCCCTGAACCCCAGCCGTGTCGTCCCGCACTTTTCCTCGCTCCCCTTTTCTGGCCCTACAATTTCATTCTGCTGTGGATTTTGGCTCGCCGTCAATCAACTTAGGGGGCCTTCATGAACATCGTTTCTCAAATACATACCATTTTTTTAAGAATACAAATAGCCTAGTTTTATCTCTAAAAGCAAATTATTTACCACCCCCTAAATTTTGAAACATCCCCCTAAAAAGAAAAGCTGGGGAACATACTGCGTCAGATTGTTGCCAAAATTGCAGCTTGTATTTCAAATACGGTATATGAATAACTCTCGGATTTATAACGAAAACTGAAAGTGAAGAAACTGTCAGGACTTGCTATATTTTTTGAAAATTCTGTTTTTAGTCCATCATATCCGATGAATGGAAATTTTTGTCTAGTTCAGTCATTACTATGCTTATGTTAGCATATTAGGTTAGAAATCTTAGATTAGAGTCCTGCGCAGTCCAGCAGTCAATTCGACATACAACATCTCACCCGTGGTGAAATAAACTGGCGAGCTATATCGGACTGTTCATACAACGATTATGCCAAAGCCTAGCAGCTAATCAACCCGGTTGTAGGGTAGGCCGTTTGTGTACAGGGCCTTATTCGGAGCGGGGGATGAAACATTTGTAAAAAACCAAAGTAAAATATTTATTTTCAAACGATTTCATAATTTCTCAATCTGTTTCTAGCAGCAAAATGAAGCTTCGTCCTATTTGACCGCAGTACAATGCATATATGCGTTTGCATCATGGTTTGGTCGGGGAATAAAAAAGACTAACAAGATCTTGGTAAGTCATGATATTTTTCAAACTTCCTATTTGAAAACTAGCTTCTATCAGTCCGGCCACCACCATTAAATAGTAGGTTGGCTGTAGGAAATAGATCCAGTGGTTATTGTGCTGGCGTTCTGATCTACCTATTGACATCACAACAAGTATAAAATCTCGGGTCCGAATGAAAAGTTGTCCGTTGATATCATACGCTAGGTTATCCGGCATGCAGGAAGTTTGGTATACCAAACTGCGAAGATTCCGTTTCTCTAATTTCAATATCTCCCGGCTCCCACCACTCAAGTAACCGCATGCAATAGAGTCTTGTTAAATCAAGAGTATGAAACAACAATTATTGCTTTGCTTCAGACATTCTCCAACTGCTGTAAACCATCGGATGAAAACAGTGGTGACGAAGAAAGCATCGATGAAGTTCATAGTGATGCAGGGGTAAACACATAATATATACGGCATTACTTGAAATATGTAGTCCATATCTATTGCGTGTTTATCCTACAACTGCCACGCAGTTTTAGTCCGTTAGTTTAAATCTGAACGTTAATTGAGATAGTATGAATTATTACAACACAATATATCCTGTGATTGGTCCGTATAACTTGATTGACCTAAAAATGGCTCAGTGTGAGTGTTATAACAGAATTAATTAATAGGGTATATTAGTTCAGTTGTCTGTCGCAAAATATCTCAATTTGAACTTTATCACACGGCAAACTTGAATATATTGGTATTTCACCAATGAAACATTCGTGTATAACATTGTATCGTGTGTTAAAAAACTGATACAGACAAATTATATTCCAGTTTTTTGAGTAGTATTTTTTCAAGTATAGTTCACGTATTTTTTTAAACTCAATTATTCAGAAGACTTCTTCACAGTCAGCAAATCAGAACGATATTAAATCTCCAATAGCGGAAAAGCATCATTCTGGAATCGGGTAACGTATATTTTACGTTTATATATGTGGTTAGCTAGTGAATGAGAGAGGAAGTTTTTTAATTAAAAATTTATGAAATGTGCCGTTATAGTGTGAAAGCGAACGTCACAATACCGACTTTGGGTCCATATCCAGTATTGAGGAGGTCCGAGTCATTGACTCGACTCCAAGTTGGAGTGAGTCATCATTTATCAAATATTCGAAGTGACTCGACTAAATTTGAATGGAATGACTCGTTCGTGTCATTAACTTAATAGAAGTGCGATTTAACTCAGTGACTGACTCGACTTCGAATGACATGGAATGCTACCCAACTCTGTTCATATTATTCTTGATTTTTATCTCAACTGCAATAACGAGTAACCTCAGATTCTAGATTCGAATGGTTATTTTTTCTTAAGAAAACAGATTATATTTTTAGGAATAAATCGAATTTGAGTGACCAACTGCAGTTGAAAAAGTCATCTGACAAGATTAGTAGAATCAATGACAAAGAAATACTTTCTGATATCGACCATGAGCGATACAATGAGGGAAAACGTGGCAACGCTCTCCCACCTCTTGGAATACCTGACACGAAATCACCAAGGTTAGAATTTATTGGAAAACCAGACCAACCCCGGCTTATGATACTAAAGATCTATACATCATCTAGAACGAATTTATACATAATTATATTTTAAATTTTAAAATTCGCCTGTAATTGATTCAAAAATTTATTACGAATGCTGATACTCACTGCTTGGCTTCGTATTAGTCAGGTATTTGAGAATAAAATTGACAATTATCCTTTATTTATTCAAAACGAATGATCTGCGCAATGCCTAAGAGTCTGAGATTAAAATTTTCTTTTGTATAGTTCTGTATAAGTAATCGACCATAAGCCTTTTCATTCTATAATGAGTGATAAATCCAAACGTTTGTACGAAAATTTAAAATTTCTCTCAATATTTCTCCAGACACCTCGTCAGCGAAGAAATTTCGAAACTTCAGTCCAATGGTGATACACAAACGAAACACCCTACCAAAAACAACACGAATGTTGGAAAAGAACTTTCAGATTCGAAAAGTTCTAAAAATCAAACTCATGATGCGACATCAGTGTCTGTTCCACATGTATTGACTGAAATATCGTTGCCATCTAGCGACAAGTCTGTCGCAGCGGAATTAAAAGATAACAGTCAGAAAATTAACATAGGAATGGACGACAACATGGTACGTGAAAAAGTGCTGACTTTCTAGAATTATATTCTAAACAAACCACCCCAAACTCGTAAAGCATTTTTATTTGCTCAGAAATATTGTTTTTCATTATATTAGTATTGCAGATTGGGAACTTCGAAAACTTTATAGTTTGTCCCAAGACTGTGGAGTAAGCGTGTTTTCATTTCAGATTTAAGGTCGTACTTTCGAGTCGAGAGTCAATGTCACAATTTTGAAGTTTTCGAATTCTCGATCCAGAGTTGGAATTTCGAACTTCTTAGGATGATAATCGAAGCAAAAAGTTTAAAATATTAAGTTGACAAAGCGTTCCTAACAGTATATTAGGAAGTTGCAAACGCAAAAGTTTTATTATCAAAATTTGATTTTCTCGGGAGTGTGGATAGAGAGTAGGAAACGAAATTTCCATCAGCCCAAAGATGGGGTTGACGTCAAAATTTTTTTACTAGGAGTCGAGAAATAGAGCCATTTTTTTTTCAACCGTTGGTGTCGATCATACGTTTTCTTTCACAGCCATAATTTGTCGATCGGTCACGGCAATTCTAAAATTTATTTGTGTAATCTATGTCGAACAGTGTTTTTTTTTTAACCCTAACTTCATAGGCCTAACCCTCAATTTGTTACTTGCGTATATAGCCTTGTTCAAAAGGTTAAGTTGAATACACCTTTAAAAATTTCTTTTAAACAGTGAAGTTATTGATATTATTTCATGGTAATATTGCAGATGAAATTCATGAAACAATTAGATGATCAGAAAAAATCATTGATTTGTGGTTTGGAATCAATTGCTTCTACGAAACTATTGTTTGAAAAAGGCTTGGAATTTATTAACAAAAAACAGTCTCAAATGAATTTGAACATAAAAGAAGATTTTGGTTCGACAGGAGAATCAACATCGTCCGAAAATATTTGCAATTATGGTGAGATGCAATTTAACTTTGTATGTTTTTTAATTTGTATACGATATTATATGTGGACAAAGTGCATGTCGTTGTCAACTGTCAAGAAAGTAGGTTTATGTAATGAATGAGATATATTATAATGTCGAATTTAATTGCGTTGAATACTGCATTTTCTCAAGCGGGAGCCTATTCGAGCAACTTCAAAATTGACAACGTAACTGAAACCGAACAACAATTACAATCACTCATCAACACAGCGAAAAGAATGGAACATTTTCTAACATCTTCAAAAATATGGGTAAGTCCTGTGTGTTAGCTATAATCACTACTTATGGCTTCATAACGTATAACGAGAGTTGAAATTTGGTCAATTACATTAAATTACATTGGAGTTACCCAACTAGCTTCGAGCAAATTGCTATAAAAAATTCATATTGCCTGGACAATCCCGAATGCATCAAAGCTGAATTGTATATAGAATTTGTCGTGACAAACGCCATGCCACCAAACTTTTTCTAATGCCATCTTATCTCGTATCTGTGGCAGCTTTCTTATGGATTGGTTAAGAATGAATACTATAACTTATCCTACTTTAATTAATTGCTATTTTTGCAGACAATGGAAAAATCAGATGACGTCAAAGCCAAGGTATCGCAGAATATATTTTGACATAATCTTATCTAATCTTGTTTTTGAGTATATATATGAGATTGCCTTCGTGTGGAGTCGGGGCCCGGAGTCGGAGTTTTAATAAAATCGCTAGTAAAGTCGAAAGTAGGGATGGAATATTGGAGTGGAATATTTGAATCGAATTGAATATTTAATTATTCGAACCATTTCAGATGAAAATTCAGAAAAAGGGTGAATTCCTCAATTTATTGAGTGAAGCCACATTTTCACAATGCTATTCTGGCATATATATGACTCTTAACTTTCTACTGATTGATGAAACACGTTTCTCAATGTGTGTGAAGATCAAGCAAATTGTTCTAATGATGGATTCTACGTTTTTAGTAATTTATGGGCCCCAAGTATTCGAGATTTGATTCGAAAAAAAATATTCGATTCTATTCTGAAATCTTCAGATATTCGAAAATGCCAGCCCTAGTCAAAAGTTTAGACTATCCTATGCGTTGGACTCAAAAGTCAACACATAAACTGAGATCGAGTTTACTCGAAACTTGCAACGGTTTTTAAAAGATCCATTTGACCAACGTTTTTGTCGTCAAAATTTGATTATCTCGAAGTAACTATGTTTTAGCCACAAAAACCAGCTAACTCCGAAAATTTGAAATGCTCGGATAGACTAAAATCTCGAATCACCGAACAGATTATATAGCGTATTTTGTATTTTGCAACGTATTTGATATCTTTCGCTTAATAAATGGCATAACCATATTTCAAACAAAATCTTTAATTATTGTATTTGAACTGTAGAACCCATGGAAATCACAGACTGATTTGCAGCTCTATACTTTCAATTGTGGAAGCACCTGCTAACTTTTTGGTGTCTTTTATTTCAGAAATTTGACCAAAAATCAACTCAAACTACTGATCATACAATCAGCAAACAAAAAGCGGAAAAGGTTGGAGTGAGTATATATTTATTCGTAAGATGAGATTTATAAATTTCATTTAGGTTATCTCGGAGAAGTTGGTATTTTTTTTTTCATTACTGTTCAATTCTGTAATGTAACTTGTAAGAGCTTTTTTTGTAGGAATCATCCCTTTTCAGAAGTAGAAGCATAAATATTAAAAGTTGACCAAACTCAGTGCTTTCAAATCTTTTCCGACAAGTTCCTCCCTTTACTTATTTCGGAACACGATATTTCTTCCTCGCTATGCGAGCAAACTCTGTTCCTGTTATTTGTTCATACGCATGATAGGCGCGTGCAGCACTCTTGTTATTGCTCAGTTACAATATTTATAATGTATCCGTAAATTTATATATATAACAAACATATTAAAACAGTAATAATATTAAACGGAACATCATTAGTCGAACTAAACCAAATACAAAGTAAGAGTTCCTCCATAGGAACAACATATTTCTTCATGAAGGAATTCCTCATCGATTAGAAAACGTTGGCTTTACTGCAATAACGACTCAAAATCTCTTCATTCTAAGGTTACCTTGTGCGTCTCCTGAAATTGTGCATGATATGCGGCAAAGCCCCAATCCTATAACCATGGTTATATTTAAATCTAGGTAGTTGAGAACAAGGCTGCTTCAGTAATTACACCTCAGACTGACGAAGGTGCAGGTACTCTGCTGAGCAGCAATGCAAATGTAAGTCGATTTGATCGTTATCACGTTATCCCAGAAATGGGATTGAAAAGTTTACCAACCTCCCATTCCAAATCGAACTCACCAACAATAGGGGTTCTCTCAGTTCAGGACGCCATGCCGAATTACAGCTTTATAAGACATATGATTACAGGATAAGAACAGCCAAAACCTAATATTTGCTGATGTCACCACGCAAGCTACAACACGCTTTACCAAATCTATAACCTAATTTCCAAAACGGCCAACATATCGCTAGTCGCGAGTTGCGGTGCACCTTACCCATTTGTTGTGGTCGGCAAACGTTAAAAAAATGAGAACGAATTCGCTGATTACGGTTCCATTACTTTCGCACCCACGTACATTTGCACCCGTATATTGCACCCTGGACACTTGCACCCGTATATTAAACCCTTGGCATTTGCACCCGTATACTTTTGCACCCACGGATATTTGCACTCATGAACAATTTCACCGATACATTTGCAATCTTAGATTTTAGCACCCGCATACAGATTGCAACTATGAAAATTTGCACCCACGGACATTTGGACCCAATGAGCTTTTCACTCACGAGCGTTTGCACCCATGGACATTCGCGTCCAGGACATTTGCACCTGGTACATTTGCACCCACGAATATTTGCATCTATGGATATTTCCATGCAGCCATGGATTTTTGCATGAAATGAACATTTAATCATAAATATATATTTCTTTTTAGGTAGCAGAGGACAAATTTCCTTTGCCATCTACGTCTGCAATTGACGATGCTACCGTACCAACCAACGATACAAACGTAATATTCTTTCGCGGTATTTATAATCTTAAACTTAGCTTAGTTGTAACCGGTGATAGATTTAAAATTTAAGAACGGGTTATCTTTTGTACTAAACTCACTATCAACGGATTCCCTCGTTTTAGGCAATACGTGTCACTACGCAAGTTGGATGAATGTGACACGCTTTACATAAATCTACAGTACATAACTTTGGAAACGACGATTGTTACGCTAGTTGTAACCTGCGGTTCGCGTAACACATGTTCTGAGCTCGTCTAACGTCTAAAACAAAAAGCAATAACTGAATCGCTGAATAGAATTTATTAACGAATAATGAGCTGATATGAATTGATGATAGTGAATATATGAAATGCAATTCGTTGCAAGATTGTTCGATTACAAAATTTTCTATATAGCTTGCATCTTTGGAATATTTTTTTATTCTAATGCATTGCTTCTCATTTTTTTAAATATATATTTCAGCAATCCCAGACGATCGAAATGAACCAACTGAAAAATGTTGAAGTTGATAAAGCAATAACTAAAAAAAATGCCTACGATCCTTTCTATGATGAACCGATATGCAAAGTACGCCAACAATACACACTGGTATTACATGATGGTTGTCAGTTATTTGTATTTTTGTTTGTTGCTCGACGGCGTGATAGTTAGAAAAAAATATCTACTAGAGTTACATCCATAAAACTGTTACTTTAGGCACAAATTTAGAATGACTGTTAGAAAAGAATTCATTGACTAGAAGTAAAGAAGTTCTGCACATAGCACTTTCAATTTGATTGCATTTTCAAACAGGCGAAGAAGAATGAAGTCAATGAAAAAAAATATTCTTCAGATGGCATCATCATGAATCATTTACCCAAAAAGGTATTTTGTAACACTAAATTCTTCTCTTAATCCTGGTCAAAATACAAAGCCTTACAGATCAGAGGTTCTCAAACTGGGGTACATATACCACCACTCGACTTTTCAAGAAGTACATTGGATTAAGTATAAGAAAATTCTTTCCATAACTTCTAATCCGCCTTAAATTATTTTATCATGTTTTGAAGAACTCAAATCATGGCATGCAAGACAATTTTTGGAGTACACGAGCGAATCTATAAATTGTTCAAATGGTACTTACGAACGCAAAGTTTGGGAAAACTAAACTTAGGAAATCTAACGTGGCGTTTAAATTTTATTTTATAAATTTTATTGCTAATAAATAAGGTATAGATATATATATATATATTATAGAACTTTGAGTCGAATCTGTGTTCTAGTTCTAATAGAACTAGTTTAACGTGTTTGGCACATTCTTGTTTGCATACATTATACATTAAATTATCTTCATGTGAAACGTGTTTTCAGAACGGCGAAGACAAACTCGAGGTAAAACCGTCTCCCAATGAAGTTCTACAGCAAGCGGGAAATAAGGTAAACTTGTATAAGTAGACCCTTTTGTAGACCCGTTATCATTTTGATATTAATCAATCTGCATTTAACTGATCTCTAAAATCTTATATTCTGCTTTCAGGTGGTTGATGACAAATCTCCTTTACCATCTGCATCTCCCATTTGCGATGCAAATAATACTGTGCTTGCCAGCGCTACAAATGTAAGATTTTTTTTTGTATTTAGAATGCTGATCTCAGTAGAGTTTGAATGTTTGGTGACAATAGAGAAAATCCATATTTTGGATGTTTTATCTGTTGCTAATCGACGTGCTGCAATGCAACTGAAACAGTATGCGGCAGAGATGCCATCAGTATTGATAAAACAGAACAAAATTGCAGTTGTTTGGATACCCCTCTTGAATAAGCTTGCTTTTTCTGTGTTTGTGGTATATCTCTGTCTTTAATGTTTTTTTTATGTATCACAAAGATCATTTCTTTGATGTTCACCAATCAAATTTGTATACTGTGCTGAATTGAATGTAACTTTCTCTGTTTTCAGGTTGTCGGAGCCAAACATGAAATTGAAAAAACGTCTTCCGATGCAAACTTACAACTAGAGAGAGAAGAGGTAAAATATTCGAATTTATTCCATTTAAAAGTGTCAGCTTGGAGCTATTTTAATTCTCGATTTGTGTCTGCTATGGATAACAGTAAATTTAGCAGACATGCTGTGAAGTAAGGAAAAATAACAATTAAGCTAAAAAAAAATGACTCCGACTCCAGGGCCGAGGATTATCAAATTTTGATTGTTAAGAAAGCTTAAAATAAGATTTATATATTTTTAAGTTTCTGTAAAAAAATTCACTTTTGCTATCAGTTATCATCATTGAAAATCTGAAATTTCAAATTTCTGTAATATCTATTTTCATACTTCCGGACTCTGTATTTGAACCCGAGATTTGAGTGTTATGAACATGTTGACAAGGAAAATCAATTATCCAAACTTGCACTTTTTTTTCGAAATGATCCCATAAAGGTATATTTGTTGTTGTTTTTAGTCAGAGGAGAAATGTCAAAAACCGGTCGACAAAGATTGCGAAGATGATTATGAAGTAAATATTTAATTAATAATTTCATACAAATAATGATATGATTATATGTGAAATAGGATACGATATCAACCGAAAAATCACCAATATGCTTACGTTGCTATCACAACTAAAGTATGCTACTTACCGAGATGTACATATTTAAAGGTACCGAAGTCGGGTACCGGCTTGTCGACGATCAGGCCTTTCTGTGTAGAGTAAATAACGCTGTTGAGATCTGAAAAACTCAACTCCGACTTTAGGTAGCAAAAAATTTGAACTTCGACTCCAGCTCTGTCCTCCAGGAAAATCAAATTTCGAAAACAAAGACTTTGGCGTATACGAGCTTTCTTGAAAATCGGTCAAGAATGCTTAGTAAACATGATGCATTTTGATTATGTAGAAACTTTTGACTTCTATTATACCTTACCTTCTATTATTAAAAGTATCGAATCCGATTCCGGGAATTCAAAATTTTGACTCCGATTCCCCGGGCATTTTTATTAAAATACATCTTCGGCGTCGACTCTAGTGAATACGACCAACCTTCGACCTAGACTCTGCAGCCATGGTTAGCACAATCAAATGAAACTTCAAACCGACAACTTCTCGGTGGATACTTCTAATTCCAAATTTGGATATCACAAACTCCGTATGCGCGCTTAAGAATGATATGAACAGAATTTCAAGTACCTGGATAAGACACAGGATTAAGTCACAAAATCCTATACGTATGTATATATTAAAGCTGAAATTGTGAAATATAATAAATGATACTTTTCATTTACACAGGATGATTTTGAGAGTGATACTGACGAATCAAGCAAATCATCTGTAAGTCTACATTCGGTTATTTTTTCCAGAATATATTTCTAAGAATATATATTACAGTTAGTTCACTTATTTATTATGATTACTATTATTATTGGACAGGGATTGGACTTAAGGTACGTTTCCAACTTCTTGTTGTTGTTATTAGGCTTCCCGCTGCTTGTCAGCAGGTAACCTATTGTATTCCAGTGTTTTATTATTATTAATATTTATTTATTATTATTATTTTTTTCAAATTGGTCCTACAAACTTGAAATTCACCTCAAATGTGCAGAAGTTCTCAGCTAGCAATAAAATGCAAACTTTTTTTTTACGCGGGAAGCCTGTTAAAGCTGCACGCAGCTCTAGTTCTATTTGTCATGGCTGAGAAAACAGAGCTTCTTCACAACTCACACATCTTCACAACTCATGGACCAATCAATTTCAAATTTTCCGTATTCAGGATGAAAAAAAAGTCGATAACGGCCTATTACTTTCATTTTTGTTTTAAATTTCCTCCCAGTCGTAACAGGGAACGCTTGTTTATTCTATGTTCTTTTGTTTAATGAGAATATGTCTTTTTGATTTTTAGAGTGCGTCGGCAAGCGATGATGACCTCTCGACAGTTCCAAAGGTTTGTCTCAATTATTATTTGTTAAAACATATTTGTGTAGAACAAACATCTTCGCATGAAACGAATATATTTGTCTATAGGCCTACTTAAAACAAAGGTAGCGTGTAATGTTGCGGCCATGAATTTCGACGCATTTGTGTTTGTCATTATTTGTCTCAAGAAGAATGGATGCCCAAATCATCGACAATCAAAGATAATATCATGTGCACGTATATATCAAAAGACCAAATGAATGGTTTGACTAGTAGTTTAATACCGCTCTCAAAATGTTTGGACGAGACACTTAAATCCATGAAACGCAAAATTAAATGCTGTCCACTCTGTCGCGTTCCAGTGGTTTAGCATCCTCAGGTCTTTCCCAAGAAATCAATACCATCATTTGTTGATAATCAGATTTTATACCCAGGATGTTGAAATTACGAATTTGGCGAAATATACCAAGCCAGCCAATGATGTTCCTGGCAAGTCCTGTCTTGCTCCTGTACCTTCCAGTGGCCGAGCCAACGAGAAGAAAAAGACAGTTAGTTTCAGAGACACTCTGGAAGACGTTCGTTACTATAAAATAGACGATTGCCCTTCAAAAGCAGGAAAAGGTAAGATATAGAATTTTTTTATATACGACGCTTATTAACATAGATTATAAAACTTATCGACGTAAAACAATGAAGCGTCAGAATTTTTGCAGGTTCACTGCCTTGCTTTGGCGCGGTGTCCCAGCGGTTAAAGCGCTGACTCAAGTCAGAATTTATTGAAGACACGAAGTGACTCGATTCATCCAAATAAAATGACTCGAACTCATCATCAATCGCCAGTGAAACTTATGAACTCAGTGATTAACTCGACTCTGGACTCGTACTCGACGCCAAACGAATACCCAGTGACTCGACTAGACTTGCAGAGTTTTCGGAACTTTTATGAACATTGCTCATTAATATTGCTTGTGCCGTGTCTGGTTCAAAGCAATTTACCAAATCAAAAATATGATGACCCTATAATTATATAATACAACGATGTGTGTTGGTTTTTACTCTTTGAAAATGTTGACGCTATTTGCTCAAATTCTTTTCATCGGTAAGTCGAAATGTAATCACAAAAATACAGTACTTAACATTGTTTTATTGTATATTCCATTTTTAAATTTTTTTTTTTTTTGAATGAATTCAGGTTATTTCATGAGTCCTTTTCATATGCAAGAGCTATAACCAGAAAAACAAGGACGAGGATTTGAAATGCAGTATTGAATTTTATGAAAATTGTATAAATATATTTTATCGTTTTTCGTATTAAATTTATTTTTGAAATAAAGTATATTTAAAGAACTCTTTTTTAAACAGAGCTATATATATGTGGCTAATATTAATGATGGACTCAGTATTAATTGAAAATGGTTATTTGACTTTATTACAGCTGAGAGCAACCGCATTTTCGAAATGATAGCATTAAACTGTGTAGGAAATTTCATACATAACCCCACACGATCTTCTGTATGTGTCTCACGCGGTTGATTGAGTTTGGCAGTTCATCAGTATAAAACACACAATAAACTTATAGCGTGATTCGCTGTTTAACTGAATAGTTTTTTACATTTTGCTACCTGTTTTTTATTATCAGTTTTACATTGTGGATAAAGTTTACTCACTTCTCAATGGCTAAGAATAGAAATTTATCCCTCGTATAAAATAAACTCGATGAACTCAACTAAAAATTCTCGACCGGTTTTGGAGCCTTTTTTCTCAGTATTTCATTTATTTATATTGTAAATGTAAGATTACAACTTTCAAATTTCAGTAAAAGACAATGTGACCATAGATCCCTAAGCTTAAAATTAATTATCATTACGAAACGTCCCCAACACATTTATGAACAAATAAGCAATTACTAAATATATGGAGACAAAGGCCAAAACTAATTAATTACCATCAAATCTTTCACAGCGCAGGTGGTGTACCTTGCCAAAAACTCCCGACTGTGCTAACTACCAGGACGCTGAAATGTATCGCGATACCACCACACGGTGCGAAATTTTCTATTTTGATGACGTCTTCACGCAAAACTTCAAGATGAGAAACCAATTCCATAGAGCCCGCCACAATTGTTGAAATAAATTAAAGCAGCAGACTTCACCGACAGAAATCTTTGGGCCCTGATTATTTCAAACCAATTGTACAATCCCTAACGACTCAAAATTTTAAAGCAATCAGTCCAGTTATCGGAGATAAAAAATTCTAACATAGAGTTCAAGAACAACAACATAATAACAATAACGATCCATACGTCTATTTCGTGTCCAATAATAATAACATTAGTAAAACGATCCATAGGTCCATTTCGCGTCCAAATTCAAATCCCATAGATCTCACAAAAAGTTTTTAATAACAGTAATAGCCTTCTAGCAAAAATCACATAAAATTCTGGAGCAATTGGTCCTATAGTCAGGGATTCTATCGATCTGGAACCCAAAATAAGGACGACTGGAATTTTTTTTGCATTGTGAGCAGAAATATCTGGCTTTTCTATGGTCTCGCAGGTTAATGTCACAATTACAGACGTCACAGCAGAGCCATTATAATGGCTCTGGTCACAGTGTGCGAAGCACTCACCCGTCAAGCTTCGTTTAACTTTGAATTCTTTCCTGTACTCATCACGAAAAACGTTCTTACATTCGCTCATTTCAAAATTTAGACTAAAATACAAAAGGCTCAAATACACTACGACAAACCCCAAGGATCGCCACACTAACAATGTTTCATGCTTATCTGTGCCTTGCTTCTTTGTGTTCCAAATAGGATTGTGTTGCTTTTATGATGCCACGATAAAGCTTTGACGATAAAACAAACAACACAAAGCTTCGTTTATGAAGTCCAAATAATACAAAAAAGGACACGCAAGCCCAAAACAAGGACGCAAGCTGAAAATAAGTAAAAAATGAGGACAAATCTTAGAAATAAGGATGGTATGGAATCCCTGCCTATAGTTAAGAGTAAAACAAAATTTTCATATGGTAACAACAAGAAGAAAAATACTAGCAACCGCAACACGAACAACATAATAACAAAACGATTCATAGTCCAACCCCAAAGCCATTACATAATGGCTCTGGTCCAACAACAACAATTTACGAAATGTCCGTATCCAATATCCATGTGACCCTTCGGTGTCCATTGCGAAACGTCACCAATAACAGAAGCAAGCGCTACCGTATCGTTAGATTTCTTTCTTCACTTGTTGATTTTTAGCTCTCTGTTCCCCGCGATAGGCAGGATTACTCTCGTCGTGCCTTGCTTTATCAGTTTATAGCTGTCTTCAGTAGGTATAATTAGGTAACTCCGCAGTATACCGGAATGTGCCGTATTTCAGTATTTACATATTTAAGCTATCCCACGCAAAAGGAAAAATGGATTAGAGAGTTCTGGAGTTGCTGATAACAGGAAGACGTTGTTACGGATTACGTTGCTTCAATCTGCTGATATGATTCTGGTGTACGGGTATTTTCCGATTTTGGAGACTGCGGTAATCATTTTTTATTCACGTGGTTAACTTCGCAGCTTCTGACAGTCTGAGCTTTGACGTTGAGGTAGTTGGGTGTGTCTGTGTTGTGTGTAGGTATTCAAATTGCCAAATATTTTACTGTTTTATCAAATAGAATATCATTACTGCATTTTGGACTCCCTCAACATCCATACAGCAGTACAGGCAGCAAGATAGATAGATAGATAGTTTATTTTGGCTTGTTTGTAATAATTTGTGGAATCGAAAGCGTAGAAATTCATCTTTGCGCAGGCCAGTAAAACGGTTCTTGAATTCATTTTTGTTCCAAGTGCCTGAACACAGAAATTACTATCACCATCTTTCAACATACTATCACACATTTTTAGAGATTTAATTTATTATAACTTATGTAAAATAAAAATCACATTTTCTTAAAAAGATTCGTATTTTATTAATTCGATACTAAAATCTAGATAATAAAACATGGCCACATTTTTGTATCTGTTATTTCTAATCTCCACCTGAGTCTTAACTCTGTCATCCAAAGATTACACAGTTACATACAAATTTTTTTGTATGATCATACTTTATTATTAAAGCATTATTGAGTAGTTTCTGTGTGATGTAGTAAATACATGCATAATGTTGCATGGTTGTTACAATGTTCCGAACTTTCCTTTTTGATATAATCGTCTGATTATGTTAAATTGTAAAGGTATCATAATTAAGGCTAAATTGCTTTATTAATTTCGTTGTTCAATGGTATATACCTAATGTTTTACTTTTTATCCAACTCAAAATGAATGATACCCGTTAAATTTACTCTAAATGGGGAAAACGATACTAATTAGTCATGAGGTGATTCACAGCCTTGTTTCCTGTTACATGTTTACTGGTTGAATTAAGAATAAGGATAACTGGACTTAACAACACGCTCAGTGTTTAAATGATTATGGTAGTACCGACTGCCATGACAGCATCCCCAGCAACTATGATGAGGAGTTGACCAATCTTGTACATCAAATCCACAAACTTTTCTCCTGGTGATCCCTATGCCACACAAGTATTTCTAGCGTGATATGGCCCATAGTAGTTAGAATTCTATAGTAGTCATATTGCAGTGTTGTCTTGTAGTGAGATTGAGCCAAAGTTTTCATGGGTTGTATGAAGCCAGAGTTATAATTTTCAAACTGCCTAGAGCAGAGGTTCGAATTGCATCAATGGCGATAAACAATGTCAAAATCTTTTATAGAAATTTTCATCAAATTTTTCGGGACTCCACAGACTGTTATTTCATGATTTCAATGTTACATAATTGTACATTTGAGAAGACTCAATTCATTTACAATGTTCAGGTGTGATATAATTAAAAATTTATTTGTCCTTCATTGTGGTTAAAATCTCTGAAAATCTTGGCATCCAGCACCGAAGAAAAATGGCTTCTCGAAGAATGAAGACCTCGCCAATGATGGCATGTTTGAAAACCCTGTTGACCATTTTCAATTTCATTTTCTTGGTAAGTCAGCATAGGATTTGAAATTTGCCATTTAGGTTCTCTATCATTTGATTCAAGTTATTGGATATACTTTCATAAAACTGTATAGACGAATATATATAAAATTAACATGGAATACTGAATAACATCAAATTTCTGACCTTTAGATTGGTAACGCATTATGTGACAGGTATCTTGGATTGTATTTTGCATAATATTCCTCAGTAGCATGAGTAAGAATTCAACAATTTTCAGATATCTATAGTCTATGACTCTATACCATCATAAAAAACTTGGTGTAACGCTCTTCCTTTCAATAATATTAGTAAACTTTTTAACTGAAAGCATCATTTAATAAGAGTGAGGTTGAAAAACTTAAATTAATGAGAGCTGAATTGACACTGACATAAATACTATTTGCCAAAGATCAACATACATGACCCATTTAGAGGACATTTTACTTGGATATGGATTTGTTTACGGTGTTGTATACAACTGTAGCACCCCAGGCATTACTTGCACATGCAGTAAAACAATTTAGTTTTCATAAAACAAACTATTGGATATATCTGCTACTTTTTATTAGTAATCACTGTGCTTATTGCACTGTTATTGGTCTTAAACATGTTGGCTAGTAATGAATTTTATTTGCGAGCTCCATATATAGCTTTAAAGTTATATACTCTTTGCTATATAGATGCATTCACTATTTTTCTATTGTAACCTATTCAAGACTGGGTACTTGTTTATTAATCTGAAAGTCTATGGTGATTTTTAATCTATAAACAGCAGTGCAGTGAACAAAATGAAGTATCAATTCTGTTTGTGTTAGTAATAACTGATAATAGAACAAATGGGAATGCTCTTTATTGATTTCTTTATGTCTGAAATTTTATTTCTGTCTCTATTCTAGGTTATTGGTTTGGGAATACTTGTCGTTGGCGTCCTAACTAAAACAAAATTTGAGTCTTATTTGACGCTTTCTACCATTGACTACTCCAATGCACCATGGGCAATGATTGCTATCGGATCATTCATATTCATTGTTGGCATTATGGGATGTTGTGCAACTTTGAAAGGGAACACTTGTCTACTGAGAACTGTAAGTAGTATTATAATTCATGGTTCATGCAATATCCATCCCTTCGTGGTCAATGTTCCTACATATTCTGGTAATCGAAACGTTATTTCGAATAGCCTGCGTCTGTTGGAGAAGAATAGGTTTAATTTATTTGCTACATACAATTACACTCACTTGCTTGGACAATACATTTGATATAAATGGAAGTAGTTATGACAAAATTAAGTCTGGAATAATAGAAACATCTCCTAGCTTGTCCACAGCCCTGTGGCAATGCTTGATAACACTCCACTCGAATGACATAGATAGAACAGTATCATTGCATAACGCTTAATCATGTGATAGCCCATTTCTTGCTTTAAATCATCCATGTTAATAAATATATTACGATAGTAATCCTTTTACTACCTTTTTCCCTTTTTTCAGTATGGACTGTTGTTGGCAATTGTTTTCATATGTGAATTAGCTGGTGCCATCATGGCAATTGTTTTCAAGGGCAAAGTAAGTTAACACCTTTTCTGGTCTGGTTGTTTTCAATTGCTGAAATTCGATACGTTCTTCTTGGTTGGCTTTAGTCAAACATACAATTTGAAATGATTTAGAATGCTCAATCTAGTTGGTTTGGTCAGTTTTACTAATCCTGATTAGAACAGTGGCAGATGAAAATGAATAATTTACTATCCCAAATTCCCAATGTAATAATTAAGAATATGGAATATTTAATATATTTCATATTGACCTGATAATATACCCAAGGGAGAAATTAGTAAACATTGAGCTATTTTCAGAAGCTGGAATTTGATGATTACAGATAATGTTCAATAGCGTTGCTTAAAATTACTATCATGTGATTATGATTATTTCATAGGCAATATGTTCTAATTAGAAACTAGCTTTAAACTTTTCATTGTAGTACTACCTTAACCAATACCCATACCCAAAGATATTTTCTTGGAAGTCCAGTTATGTAGAATTCACAACCTCATAGCTATATTCCCGATCTATTTGACATAAGCTATTCTAAATCTTGGTCGATCGGCATTTACTGATACTCAATCCCACACTATAAATCCTTATAGTTTCCGTAGCTTTTCGCATTTTAGTTGTTTTTTGTATCTTCGCTCAGAGATCAATCTCCTTAATTTTGAGTCAGTGCGCATATGTGACCTATCTTGAGAAAATGAAAAAATTTTCGAGAATAACTTTCTTCTAATTTTGGTGTATGTTAATGAGTGATATTACTTTTACATAAAGACGAAATTAATTTTTATTAGGTGACTGGGCGTCAGCAGCCAAAATTGATTGTAACCATCAACCATCTTAAAAGGGTATTCCTATTTCTTCTTTATCTTCATTTTTTAGGTTGATGTCGGTTTCCAAGATGGAATGACAATAGCTGTTCAAAACTATACTCAACCGGAATATAAGGAGGCTGTTGATAACGCTCAAAAAGATGTAATTTTTTTTTGTAATGTTTTGTATCCCTGTTTCCATTATGGCTTTTATGTTGTGATACAGTATAATGTACGGTATATTTTTTTATTAGTAATACTTATATCAGCATGTAGAAGAAGTACCCTGGAATCATATTATAAAACATTTTTCTATGGGAGTGGGGGATTGTTGATTGTAGGAATATGCTTGCCATTATTCTGCTTGGATTTGAATCGTGTGGATGATGATCATGCTTGATGTACTCCGCCTTTCGTAGGGATATTCATGTAATGGCTGGTCGGTTATGCTTTACACCAAGTCCATGTAGTTCGAACAAAATAACTGGCTAATTATACGACATGAACTGGTGACCGGATGAGAGATTGTGATTATGTCGTCTTTTCTTTTTTGGGGATAATTCCGAAAATTCTGTCCTGTATGAGATAAGATAATTTCATGTGCTTCATGCCCGTTTTACAATAAAACACAACTTTTTATAATATATCTTATATACAGTTGAAGTGTTGCGGAGTGAACAACTACACTGATTGGTGGAAATTAGAAACATACCAACTGAACACAGTTCCTGCCTCATGCTGTTCCAACAAGACCTGGTGTGATTCAAACTTGTACAAGAATGATACAAACATTGTTGATATATCCAGCATCGCTGGTGGTGATGTCACAGTTGCAATATATGATACGGTGTGTATACTTCATACGTTTTTTGTTTACACTTTTTATATTGATGTTAAATACTGTAAGTGTAATGTTGTGTTCCACATTCTGAGATTAGCAAGATCTCAAAATGTTTGGTATTTAAGATATCAATTTTGCTATCAATTCTAATTTTATATATTATAACCAGAATATATAAAATAAACTTTCGTAGAATTTAAAAAAACAATAGAGCTCAAAATGCTAAAATCTATGGAGTGAAAGATCAAATGAACAACCACAGTTATTAAACCACAATTAAATCATTAGGTATGAGAGTATGATACTTAATGTAAGCTTGTTATCTGATCATTCAAATGTATTTTTCATTAAAAGCACAAATCAATTCACGTTAGTACCCATTAGGCCGTAGCTGAGGCCCGACAACCGGGTTTGTCAAAAAGATGGCAAACTTGTCTAGTGGAATGTCAAGATCAAATGTCGATATATGCTTCAATGAATTGGAATAAAACACAAGGATTTTGTTAAAATGTCAGGAGTAGGAGAAAATTGGTAAAAATTTAAAAGGGATCAGGGTAATGAAAAAAGATTTTTACTGCAATCCCGAAAATGGAACAACAATTTAGAAAATGATTCATATGTCCATTTAATGTCTATAAACAGTAATAAATATTTCGTTGAATAGGTTTGTCAACTCCTATTTTTCTATTACTACTTCCCTATGCATTTCATGATGCGAGATGACCGTGGTAAAAAACTATTAATTAAATGACGTTTTTGGATCACATTTTCAATTTCAATTTGCAGACATAAAGTTTAGAATATATTTTAATTTACACTCCATTTCACAGGGAAATTACGCAGATTTCAATAAATTTGGTGAAGTTAAATTAAAAATGAAAAAAAATTGGCTCAGGGTATTTTTAATTTTACCAACTGGAGAAATCCATTTTCAAATCTAACAATGAAATTTTTTTTTAAAAACGAAAATGATTTCATTCTTGCACATTACTATATTTTATAACGTATTTGATTGCTAAGCCTCTGTCGTTATTGTGAAACATAATAGATACATTTAGAACAGGGTATTGATCAAGTTTTTGTTGCAGGATTTATGCAGCATAGTATTAGTAGAGTTATTTTTTCGCATCCGTTAGAGAATGACTCATTCTTGTGATATTATACTGTCAACATAATTGATTAATTTCTGACAAAATTTAAGCTCTGATACATAACAGTGTATGGGGATTTTGAATTCCTATTAATTGACTCTTTATAATCAATTAATATAGGTAATGATTTTCTGATAGATAAACTCGTTTTACGTTACAGTTTCACAGAATTTTAGCATTACTTATATTATCAAATTTAAAAACGTAATTGGCAAACTTGATCCAATGCTCTTATTTAAAATTCTGAAAGTAATTTGTAATCAAAAGTAACAGTTTAACAAGATGCAATGTTGCCCCATACATAATACTCCTCTGCTTTACACTCTGCTGTATAATATCGTGAGTGTGATTGATATAAGGATATAACAGTAATTTTTTAAGGTACTCCTTTAATATGTGTACCAGGTTAGGGTTAGGCCATAATTTCATTCCGATTTTCCTTATTCTAGTTCTATTACAACTTCGGGAATTGTTTGTGATATCCAAGTGTTATTTTCGGCAAAATAAATTTAGCTCAGTTATCAAAGTAATATTTTTATACCAAATATGTGAGTAGGTTCTACTGTAGGTGAAATAAAAAAAAGTTAATTTTTTGTCTTACTCCAAACAGAAAGATGCAGTATTGCTTGCAATTTTTTCATTATTATCATAGCTTCATTCAAATATGATAGATTCAGAAATCTGGAAAAAAAATTGAAATACATTTGGAATAGTATTTTTGTGATTCTATTTAACTATTCCTGGTACATTTAATAGAACACATTCAAAATATTCGTTTGGTTCCGGCCATTTTTTGGTATATACTATTATCTATTCCAATTGGCCATCAACCAGGCTCAGCTTTAAACACATTAAATGCTTCAACCAAGTTGGTGTGTTATAATGAGACATTCTATATTACCTAGTTTTAAAATATCACATTTCAAACCATGCCACACTCCATTATATATGACTTTTATGTGAGTGATAGAATCAGGAAATGACATTTTTGTGATGTACAATAAATGGATGTTATGACATATATTTCACCACCACATAGCCTGTAGGCTATTCTCTTTCACTGATTCAAATTATCAAAATTTCACTGACCCTGTTATGAAGTCATAGTTCTAAAAAATACCCAGTTTTGCTTATATTGCTTCACCATCAGTTATTGTATTCACCACCCTTTATTGTATGAAAATGAAGGAATAAGTACATCACAGTCAGAGACTAAACTATTCATGGTGCCACTTTAACATGCTACCTCAGCTGTTGTGTGATTTCAGTGAATTTAGTATTAGCCTAACCCTAACCCAACGATGACAGGGTCAGGGTTAGAAACTGAATTATATGAAAAAAAATTTATGAGATTAATGGATGCTAGCATGCTACTTTAGTTTCCTATTGATATTGAGATCACGTTATTAAGCAAGTGAGATCATGTACCAAAGTAGTTTCATGATGCTGAGATTCACCAAATTCATATTCAATTTACATAGTTATTAATGCAGACTGCAGTCATCGCGAATGGTATCTAGTGAAGGCCTTTGATTGTGGCCCCCCTTTGACGACGAGGCCCCAATTACAAAACACCGCAATAGACAAAGGGCTAGTTGAAACATATAATTGTAACAGGAGATCTAGGTCACCGTTCACACCAAATATTTAAATCTAGAATAAACTTCTTACTCTTGCTCTCGGGACTCAATATAGATTTAACATATATATTCCAGAACTTAAGAACTATATTATAATGTAGATCAGTGGTTTTTCAACGTTTCTGGTGAAGCGGAACTTCAAAGACATATTCCAGCGGCTTGAGGAACCTCTTTGTATCAGTTTAATCTAAATTCTTGTCTATGAATATATCTAAAAGCAAACGTAATACTGGCAAAACAAAATTAACTTTAAAGTGTAGCAAATTTACTAAAATTGGCAAACCTAATAGGTATTTTAAATGATATATATCATAGACTCTCGGATAAAATAAAGTCAAAGTACACAAAAATTTTCACGAAAATTCAATTTTAAATAGGTATATAGCCTATAATATTTGATTTCCCAGGCATGAAAAATTCTCAAAACCAAATTGAAATTTCTAATGAGATGCAGCTGCATGGCTGTTGCATAATTTATGAGTTGGAATGCAAATTCCATGATTGTCTGTGCGTATATGACAGCTTGATATGGTTTATATTAATGTGATTATTAATTTCATCTTTGGACTTATGTAAAGCCTTGTTTTTGACCGTTTTTATACTTTTTTTTCGTGAATTTCACTTTATGAAATTTCTTTTCAAAACAGGGTTGCCACAAGAAAATGTTTGACATTGTTAAAGAAAATCTTGCAATCATCATAGGAGTCATGTTTGGAGTTGCCTTTTTCCAGGTATTGAATTTAAGTGTATTATTTAATTTATCGCAATAGGCTTTGCTTCTTTGTACAGTTTGAGCCATCTGGCACTAGTGCCTTCTATAGGAAATCTGAATGTAGACATTATGGTAATATTTCACACTGAAATCAATAAATCATTATTTTTAAATTTGTTCAGTATATCAATTTTTCTATAATAAAAAGTCAAAATTTTGTTAACGTTATTACTATTATCAAAATTGTTTTGTACTGCACACATATCGCATTTTTTGTGGTAAGTATAATTATATATATTAAGATACTATTTTTTGAGTTACTGCAAGAAAACAGCAATGAATTGAACCTATAAAATACTTTTTCTGCTACATTGTTCTGCAGTCATCATCCGAATAAGCATATTTAATTTATGTCTCCTTACAAATTTTTATTGAACAGAAGTCTATATCCGTCTGTTTTCATTTTACAGGTGATTGGAATGATCCTTGCTTGCTGGTTGGCTTCCAACATCAACACTAACAAATATGAACTAGTTTAATTGAAGAATAGGGGAATATTCTTCATTATTTACATTCTGATGTTGTTTAAGTGAATGTTTGAATCTAATTGCATAATGTTAATTCTTTAATCATACCAAAAACTTAGATTGCAGCTGCATGGAAAATCAACCAAACTTGATCCTTATCAGACTTTGTTACTTGTCCATAGATAATTAGACTTGATTACATCTCCAAAAATTAAATAAAAGATTATTTTTAATTCAAATTCCAGTTGGAGTTATTTCCACTCAACCAGCACTCCCACATATAAAATTTGAAAATATAGATTACAAAGCAAAAAAAAAAATATTTTTCTTAAACATAGCTTAAAAATGGAAAGGATTTGATTTCAAAATTTTAAGTTTTTTCTTCTTATTAGGCATATAAATAAACTTGTCTAGATTTCCCACTGTTCAGAAAAGTCAAAATTTGAACAAACAGAAAACCTATCATCTCTTATGCTATATTATATTTATTATATATACAACTTGGTGATGAAAAAGTAGATATATGGAGTTTTCTATTTGGTGGACTAGGGGTTTTCAATTTTTTTGCTGCTGATTTAAAGGAAATAAGTGGTATGATATATTCAATGTGAAAACAAGCTCTTTTTTGTTTGTAAATTGTGGAATTTGGTGACTGTATTATATATATTTCTTACCGAGCTTAATTGCTTACAATTTTGTTTTTCTTAACAGTGTCTTTTCATGTCAGTATGTAGTGTAATGAAAGTGTTTTTTATTTCACCACATTCATATTAGTAACTTTTCATGACAACTGAGTTAACTTTCTGAAAATAAGGGAAAATATTTTTTAATATCTGTAATTATTATAATACAAATTTAAGATTGTTCGAATTTTTAATCCAAGCGTAGCAAATATTGCTTATTTTATTATGCTTCCAGGAGATACACTTATTTTTTTGCATATTACACCTAATTACCATTTTTTAAGCTTCTGACTTCCTCGATTTCATTTACCCGGGGAAACAATTCAGTATTTGTTCTCGAATTATGACAGCCCCATGCCCCCATTATGCAGTTACTAAAAGTGAGAATTTTTAAAATAACCTAAAAATTGTGAAAAATCTTGAAACAGTATTAATAAGGAAATTTATATATTTTTCAATGTATCAACTGAAAGATCTTTATCCAAAGATGCGATTGCCATTCAAGTCTGAAATATGCCTCATCATATCTTGTTTCATTAGATTAGAATGAAATATCAAAATGCATCATGACAACTTAGGATTTGTATTGCAGCAATATAGAAAAAGTGTGATGTAACATTACCAAACTAGTCTGAAGATTACAAAAGTGCTATGTTGCCTAATCTTCAAGTACATTTCTTACCATACCTGATGATATACCATTATATATATATATCTTTATTTTGATATGTCGTTATGATCAAGAGCATTTTTAGCCTCTTTCTTCAATGAATTCCGACCATATTCTTAGTTTCACTTCTGCTTGTTTGCTTTTGGAAATAGGGTTTATGTTCTGTTGTATTGATGATATGAGTCATAAATTTGGTGTTTTGAAAGTGTTAGTAGCAAAATTTGATCATATTTGATTTTAGTATTGCCATATATTTATTACACTTTGATTATTCCTTTTTGCTAGCAACTAGGTAGGTAAATTATTTGAAACTCTTAAATTGGTGATGGTTAGTTAGATAATTTTGTTCAAATCGAAGGGGAATGTAGCACTTATCATATGAATAACATTCCATTAAACATTCGATGAAATTTGATCAACAACAAAGCATAATAATGTGATCATATCTCCTTTTACAAGTGGCTTTTTAACATTTATTCTATGCTATGTTATTTTCCTGCATGTTAAGTTAATCTACAGGGGGAGTAATTAAAGAAATGGATAAGTTTTAGAAACAAGCACTTGTCAAATATTTTGAACATGTGATCAAGACAAAACTGACTTTGGTATTTTAAAAATTTCAAGATTATATTAGAGCCAAATTACTCATTTTTTCACAATAAATTAAGAATTCAATTTTTCTGATTCAAGGATCGTAACAAACCGTATATATATATATATATATATATTCATAGTAGCAATATAATAATCAGTACATTTTTTTTTGTTTTCAATAAATTTTGCCTGTTGCAGTATTATGTTGCATATTTACGAATTATTCAGAAATGATAAATATATTCACCATTAGATAAAAAAGGTTTGCAGTGTGGACCCGGTTTCGGGGCCTTTTATTGCAGCTTTATTAATACCTTCAATGAGATCCTATATTTACTTCAGTAGCTGCCTAGTGTGCAGTACTATTATAGCAGCATTTGAGTTTTTTGTTTTATTTCCCAGACCTGCTCCAAAAGTGCATATTTGGCTAATTATCCGTCCATGAATAGTTTTATTGTATATAAATTATGGTGATTAAATTTATGTGATGCAAGTATTATTGGTCTTATTCGTTAATAGTCCATATGTGATGTTATTATTCATGTATCTTGTGTTATAATTAATAAAAGTTGTGAAATGCATAACATACTTGTTCTCATTTAGCAGTATTAGGGGTTCCTTTTCATCCCTAGTATTTTTGTGCAAATGGAGTATTTTCTAGGAATTCAGTAGGCATGGTATATGAAATATATAGTCCATGTGGCAGATTTGTTATTTGAACGGATATTTATACCTGCATTAGCTGGTTCATTCAAAATGGTATGGTCATCCAGTGATTCGTTTCCTTGTTTTCAATGATTGGAAAAATATCAACTGTCTCAATATGCATTGAACCAGTTTGGAAATTGTGAGCACTAAAACTGAGCAGCATGTTATATTACAAAAATGTCTCAATTGGTGGAATCTCACTTCATATGCCAAGTTTTTGATAAAATAACATATCATGAATCCCACTTATATACAAGGCATCTACCCATAATTATGACAGTGGGACACAACATCTTTGAGATGTCAAGATATTGGTGTGATGAGGAAAATGCAAAAAAAAGGAAGAGATGATTACAGTTTCCGTATCATTGAGTTCAGCAAGCTTACTTCTATTAAAAATGGTACTTCCCACATGGATTTGGCCCGAAATTGAATCCGCTGTCTTGTTTTTGTCTAGGTTTTACAATTTTGGCAGTCCTTCGGATTGGTGTTTCAGAGAAATAGTTCACAGCAAGGCCATATCGCTGCTTGCCACAAAACACCCTCCGCACGTACAGATTTACTGTTTCATGAAACAGGAAGTGATCTGACTAAACAAGCAGAACCTTTGACCAATAACGCATTCCTGAAAAAAAACCTCAATAAAAAGGTAAACTAAAAGCAGAGAATTTAACCAATAACGCATTCCTGAAAAAAAAACTAAAACAAAATATGCAAATATTCATATATTTGAAGCACAAGAATTATTGAAAACAGTAATTAAAAAATCAAAGTTTAAAAATAAGATAAAAAGAAATTTGAAATCATGATCAATAGCAGTGGTGGTAGTGTATCCAACATTGGAAAATACAGTTTTAAGGATACATAAAATGTACTCGGTGGGAAGAATCAAAAAATCAACTGAGAATAATGAGTTACTGAAACTGTAGAAATAAAGAATTAGATAAGATTTAAGTAATATGCAGTATAGTAATTGCTTCATTTCATATATTTTTTACAAAACATTCAAGAAGTTTTTAAATTATAATCTAGAGCAGGGGTTCCCAAACCAGGGGTCGCGACCCCAAATTGGGTGGAGTGATAAGTAAGTAGGGTCGCTGAGGTATGGTAGAGGATGGATGTACAAAACATCTGAGATTTCACAAACCATCTTAAATTTAGCAGTTTGTACCATGGCTTACTGTAGCCCATAGGCATTGCTCTACACTTATGCTATAGAAAATGTAGATGCATATTGTGACATCACTGTTTGGTTTTAGCTTATTTCACTTAATACCACCACATAACCAAACTCAAAAAGTCCAGTGAAAGAAGCTCAAAAGTTTCGTGAAAAATTTATATATATTGACCTGGGGTCGTTTAGAAAAAAGCTTGGGAACCCCTGATCTTGAGAGTAGAAATATAACAAAAAATGTTTTTCTTTTACATTCCTTTTTTAAATAGAAATTATAACTTTTTATTACCTAAATATCAAAATGATTTTTTTAAATATTCTTCAATTTTGGCAGCATCTGATTTTTAGCAATGATTCAAAATATATAGTTTCTGCACCAAAAAAAACAGGTTTTTGAAAATAATTGGCAGCAATTTGAACTGCAAGTAAAATGATTTAATAAGGTAGAGTAGCGATCGACTAATATTTAAAAATAGCGCTGATCAAGGAACTTTTTCAACTGCCTTGGAACTGGTAAATTATGAATATGATCAACACGAGTATTCTGACGAATTACAAAACGACACAAATCTTGTAATGAACGAACTTCAGTAAATCTTGACACAGGATGCATAAGACGTACAGGGAAAGATGTCGAAAAAGGTTGACGAGAACGAGAGTAACAAAACACTCCCTGCTCTTCAGAATCCTTTATAGACTTCTCAATAAGTTCAACCACAGATGTATAAGAATTGGGTACATGATCCTCGTAAAAACTAAACCTCATTCCAGAATGCTCAATTCTGGTATGCAGAGTCCTGTTATTAGATCGAAAGCTGAGAGAAAGCAGATACCGGTCATCTGAACTATCACGAACAAGAAATGAAGCATCAGGTGCATTACATAATCTTCTCTCCGCTTGTTCCCGTGTCAAAGGACCCCAGTACCAGCCTTGTTTTGCTAACTTCTTGAATTCATTTATGAAAGGATTAGAATAATTCAGGCCGTTGTTTGCTTCTATCACTTCCTCTGGTCTAGGTGGCAAGGGAACATCTCTTGTCAGGGATATAGCATTACTATCTTCATCATTTAGACTGGAATATACATGATTTGATGAGGTATTCACATTAGCACTCTGGCCTTCAGTAGCGGTGGTCTCAGATTGACATTCATCATATAACTTGTCTATCTCACCATTTGAAGTTGTTGATGGCGGTCTCGTGTATGCTTGTAATATATCAAGTCCAGCATCAGGTTTTGAGCGAGATAATTCAGGGTCATGTGAATATTGCACTTGCTGTCGGCCAGAAGTATCACAGTACATATTGCTTCCAGCATTTGACTTTCTATTTGATTCATCTTTGTTGCTAGACTTGCGTCGAAATTTTCTTGAAAGTCTCTTCATTTTATTTATAGGAACGTAGATTAATCTACACTGCTAAAGTAAATAATATTGGTTTAAATTATCAGTACGGCAGTATGCTTGAATATTATTAGTTTCCATGCAATCAGCATAACACAATATCCATGCGGAAATCTGGTAGAGGACGAAGACATGGAACATAGAGAGGTGGGGGTCAAAATGTACCTGAGGTCAATTTTTGTTAGACGAATATTTATCGCAGCCCAGTGGCCAAAGCGCACATTTTGATTCCCACTACCTTTTCACATAGATTATTCTATTTTTTGATTGAATATAGATGAACAGAATGGTTCAGCATTAGAATTTTACTGAATTAGGATTTTCATGTTTACCCCACGAAAAAGTCCATATTCAGAAAATTGCCATAATCTACCCGGTCTTACTACTTACTGAATACAGCGCGAAACACCGCAAAGAGCGCAAAACAGAGGGAAACAGCGCAAAACAGTGGGGAAACAGCGCAAAACATAGAGAAACAGTGTGAAGCAGAAAAAAATTTTGCAATGAGTTCGGGGCACCTTGTTTTGAGTTGGAGTACCACGTGCAAATTAGTTGGAGTACCGCAGCAAATTAAAAACACAAACCAACGTATGTAGCCAGTAATGCTGTAATGGCAGGTCTGCCCCTGCTGGTGACACATTTTGGGTACCATAATTTAGAACATTTTCCATATGGATATGTTTGGCTTTAGGGTTAGGGTTAGATCAAAAGGGACCTCCAGAAGTATGTGCACCAAGATGGCGCACAACCTGAAAATAGTATGTGTGTGTGTGTGTAGCGGATTCAGGTTGTGCGACATATTGCTGCACATACTAAAAAGGTAGATAAAATTTCGCATCTACCTATTAAATCATTACATACAGACAAAAAAAAACACTCTGGACCCTGAAAAAATGTTCTAGAATTATTGGATTTAATTATTTGCAGTTAATCGGAAAACAGAACATTAATTCCAATTAATGGCATTCGTTGAACATAACCTATAACCAGTTTACAATTATGCAGAGATGTCTGGATTTAGAGTGTATAGTAATTTCATTTCAAAATTTGTCATTGATTTCGCTTCTTACACCTGCAGACTGTAAAAGAGAGAATATCCATTAAAACAATGTTTATTCTGCAACATTGATTTATAAGATTTTGAATGAATTTATAATAAGGGTTTGTGCCAATTCCTTTCTTGCACATGATCCACTTTAGAATATACTCCATGTTTCATTCACTTTTTCATTTTTCTCACTGTAGACTATCAACAGGATGCTTTCTCGAGGATTGCTGGACTCCTCGCCGCCGTTGGGTGGTTCAAGTAACAGCTGGTCGTGGTTCACCATATGATTGAGTAGGCTTACCATACGTCCCGCCGTCCCGACAAAAAGCCAAATGTCCCGCTTTGGCGTTTAGCCATCCAGCATAATACACGAACATTACCAATTAACACGTTTTCGTTACTGCTGTTGCTTTGCAGCACTTGCCTACTTACTGAAGATGAATGCGTTATTTTGTTTGTTTCATTGTTAGCGAACCTAGACATGTAAAATCAATACTAATTGTTCCTGCTCTGACTTTTATGTGAAAGTAATATTGAACAACGTCTTTTTGAAGAAGGTGTTATCTACAGAAAAGTGTGATTGGGCTATATTAATATTCTTTCTTCTTTTTGCATTTGTATAAAAAATCTAAATTTGAATTAGTCTATTTTGTATCGTTAACGTCAATTGATTTTTATTTTTCGAACTTAACCCGATATTTAGACAGAGAATATGCACATAAACTCTCGATGTCAATGAAGACAGCCGGGATTGCTTTAAATGTAGGCCTTTGTAGTAAAATCGGAAAGTGTGAAGTTACAAAATCACAGCTAAGGGATCGTTGTCTTTGGAGGCGTCCGCTTTGAAGTTACAAAAATATGGTAACCCTATGATTGAGACGTCCTATACCTTTCCTCTGCCGCGGGATCAATACCGGTACCGGTAAGTAAATCCTATCCTAATATTAACACTTGAAATATTATCCTGGTCTTGCCGTAAGGGTACCGTACTGACTTAACACCATAACTCTCGTGCCTTCCTTCAAAAAGCGATGAACTGGTTGACGGAACAGTCTATCGATTAAATACTGAAACCCGTCCAACTAAGACAAACATAAAATCCTGAAAACGTAGAAGCGGCAGTCATCAGAAAACAGAACAACACGGAACCTCTGTGTGAGTTTTGAGAATGATCAGTGTCATTCGCGAGAGTTTCAATAAAAACCTTTAGCGCGAACAGGTGTTTTATTTTATTCATTTTTGAGTACTACTTAATAATGCACCAAGCTATTTTAAAACTGCATTAGATCCTAAAACCAAGATTGTATTTAAACCATCCAATAACTCTGCAAGAGGAAGTGCAATGAATACAACAATAATACATTTTTGTGAGAATAATTTTTTCCAATGAACCTTTCCCCGAGCATCGACTTCTTTGTATACTTCGTGACATTGGTCAATCAGCAAGATGCAAAAAGTGACGTAACAATGCTCCCTTTTCGCATCCGCTCAGCCACTTTTCTCACTCGGACCAATAACATTGAATGTGGAATGCTTTCAAGGCATGGCACGGTAGCAATGGTGTTCGTGCCTGCTTTGACAGTTGTTGTCGATTTTAATGATATTTTGGAAAATTGAAGGTAAAAAGAAATCGGAAAAAGGTAAGGTAAATACTATTGTTGTATATCACACCCGGGCATCGCACTGTTAAATACATGTGGAAAAGCCAGCTTTTGTCAAATACTACGAAGTTATTAATTCAGTACGGTACGTAGTTGCCTATTTGCCGAAATTGCGGTTTCAAATAGTTCATGCACCTTCATTGAAGATATATAGGATCCACTGAGGATATATACTCATTGTTGTAACATACTATTGCTCATTCACTTTTATTCTCGTATCGAATCAAAGGGTTAACAAGTTCACCTAACATTTCACTCATACCGGTCTATATTGTATAGTCTCATCTCTCAAGTATTTGGAGCCTCGAATGCTTGTAATTTTCTGACTAAACCCCTTTATTAGTTGGTTTATATACCAAATTCAGTAAAACATTTTTTGCATAAAACATGAGATATTGGATTTATTAGCTTTTCCATTCTAAATCATATAGACTGCTTTATCTATTCTTAACGAAAATTATTAAATCTCCTCTCTTTCTTTAAATGTGAAAGTTGTGGACAAACCTGTCTAAGCATTGTGAGACTCCTGCAGCACAAGAGGCAATAGCAAAAATAGTAAGTATATCAATCAAGTAATTAAGCCGACATAAAGCAAAACTTTCAACTATTCGTCTAAATTCAATTTCCAATTATTTATTCACAGGACGACTGTAGCAGAAGGGAAGATATCAGAAGTCTGGCGACATATCAGTGACAGTGTGATTCCAAGAAATATAATTAGAATACTCCATAAATGTTTTCAATAGAAGAACAACCTATGGAGGCATGCAAAGACATTTGACCCTCCTGTAGAGTTGTGTATGGCCCCTACATCCTGCAAGGCTTGAGGAAAAGAACTAAAAATTCCGAAGCGTAAGATTGCATAAGCGGTCTTGTTTGTAAAAAGGCACAAAACATGTCATACATACTTAAAACAGCTTTGAAAAATGGGGATTACGAGTCACTCACTACAACTGTGTTAGATTTGGTTCATCAACTTTTGGTAGTACTATAGAAGAAATTTAGGAAAGGGTATAATCATGATTCATGATAAAATACTATTATTTATTTTAGACAACTTCAATCTAGACCAGGGATGTCAAACTCGCGGCCACAGAGAACTTCCAGTGCGGCCCTCGAGCGCTTAACAATAATTGTAATAGTATTTTGAAAGTTTTTTTTATCTAAATGTAACAGATTTTTCAAACCTTTTAAAGTTAAATTGAATATTCACACAGAAAACAATTTACTGAAAGTAGTTTTGGAAAATTATTTTTTTTTTGTTCACATTTTGACCCAATTAAGAATACACATCAAGCTAGCAAAAGAATACTTGAATAAAACACTTGAGTGATTAAATTAAACGAAAAGTACATGAAGAAGGTGGCATTTTCGAAGAAAATGGGAGTTGCAATATTTCTGCATTTCACAAAATTCTGAAACACATTGTTTAATTTGTCATATTTCCATCAGTACAATGAAAAAACACAATTAGCTCAGCAGTCAATATGACAAATTCGAAGACCAACTTCGAACAGAAAATTTCCATGTGTTTGTATATTAATATAATAATACAACGACTTAGTTACTAAAAATCAATATCAATAATAATTCAAGCAATCCTATGCCATGTAATGTGGCGCGAAATGTCTTGTCGCGAAAATCTGTCATTTGTTTTTTACTGATCTATACATGAAATAATATCACTTCAATTAAATTGAAAAAAATCTCGCTATATTAAATACAAAATCGTTGCTATCATAAAGGTATACCAATTCAGCCACTCAATCAATCAATCATTTATTTCGGTACTCTGACATAAAAACAGAACAACACAAAAACTGGACAAACAAACAAATGGCAGAGATACCTGGAAGGCCAGCATAACTTAAATAAAGTAAAAAACGTGAAAAGTACGGGCCCGCCCACCAAAAAAAAAATAAATGAGACAAATGTATTGGCCTTTACAAAGCAATGGAGGCAAAATTGAGAGTTCATGAGCTATGAACTTTTGTTCTTTCCTTTGTCTTGAACTTTTTATACTCCACAGCCCCTATTAAATTTTTTTTTAATTTCAATTACCCTATGATGGTCATACATATCTTTAACTTGTATTTTCTGTCATGATGTATTATCTCAATGTGTCAAACTTTTAATTAGTGTACATATTTTGCTTCCAGATGACATAAATGTATTGTCTTGTTTATTACCTCAGCTTGGAGTATTGACAATGAAAAGGTGCCAGTAAATTACGGAAAATTTTTTTTAACTCTTTGTTATAATCAGAATTCACAATTAATAGAAATTATAAACAGCCAACAATCAATAAGAATTATATGCGTAATCCCTCA